ACTATTCTTGATATATGTTTTTTTAATTACAATATACAAATAATTTATAAAATATTTCGAGTCGTACCACTTAATTGATTAATTCTTACAATACTAAAAAATAAGTGGTGTTAAAAAATTATGCATTGTAATCATAGAAGAATATGTGTGATAATATTAAAAGCATAATTTTCTTTTAGTTTTCATTTCAAATTTTAAATTCATGTTTACAATATAATTGTAACAAGTCACGCGTAGCGTGGCTACATTCATCTAGTATGATTAAAAAGATTTTTTCTTTTACATTTTTTTGGTTGATACTAAAAGTCTAAAATCATTTTACGAAGAAAATTATGATTTTTGTAAATATTTTTAATAACTAAGAAGTTCTAAACAAAATCTTGACCTATCCTTTATTAATTTATCTGGACTTGCTACCACTCGTTTATGTTATCTATTAAATTTTAGTAAATGTTAAAAGATTTTAAATTGAAAAATCTCAAATCAAAACACATACTAATTTTACGAAACTCATAGAAATACGAGATTTTAATGGCCAAAAATAATTGAAATCCCAGTAAAAAACCCTAATTATGCTAAAAAAATGAATCTTTTATTTACTACACCATCACTTAATTAGTTTGGATTTTGGTTTGTAATTCCGGCGTTAACAAAAAGACTTGACTTATAATACTTAAACTTTAAGTAATTTTATTGAACGACATCAAATGTTATGTAACGAGGCTCCTATGTGCACGTAGACTCTATGTATTTGAATAATTGAATGCAAATTAATACCATACTATATATATTTGGGGAAAAAACAAAATTTTCAAACAATAATCGATGAGAAAAAAACACACACAAATAATTGATGATAAGTTGGGTCATGATTATTGATGTTGTCTTTGTTTTTTTTTTCCAATGATGTTTTTGTTTTTCACTCAACTCTTAAATGATTTTGTTTTTGTCCATTAACTCTAAAATTATTGTTAAAAAAAAAGATGGATGAGGACAAATGAGAGAAGTGGGGGTAAAGGGACCTACAAGAAGGAGAAAGACAACGAAGTCTGAGGAATCTGTGTCGTTATGTCTTCAGATTCAGATTTGTCTTCTCTCATCTCTCGTTTTTCTAATCTATTTATATATCTTATGTTTTTTTTTCTTCTTCTTTAATTCATATTTGTTACTCAATATTCTTTTTACCTTAAACTTCGTTTCCTCGAAAAAGAATAATAATTCAATTTGCAGTTTAGTAAAACTATGGATTTGAATGATGTTTTGATTCATGCTTGACAAGAAAAAAGATTCATCCATGAACACAAAATGAAGAAATATATTTTATTTGTCTAAACTCTAAACTTTACATTATATTTAGGAAAAAATATTACAAATGTTTAATTTTGATGTGCTATGTTCCAGAAACATTTACAGAAAAATGTAACTTCAAACAACGACATAAAATTAATGGTGAAAAAACATAGCAAATAGTGCAGAAAAATTGTTTAAATGGTAAAAAATGTTTAGATAAATTATAGTCGGTTCATTTAAAGAGTTACAGAAAAACAGAATTGATATTTGTTTTTATTAATGAAATAAAGTATGAATAAAAATGAAGTAAGATACTCCGAATCTGCTGATCGCGAAATAAAAAAGAAAAGATATTTTAAATTTGTAGATCCTTTGCTTCGAATTTTCAATTAGTAAAAAAAGTATAGATGGTACAATACAATTTTAAAGAACCTTTATTTCAAATTTTCTCTTTAGAAAATCTAGAAACAACCATAATTCGGTCTATTCTTGGAATTTTGAGTGCACTTATCTCTTTCTTCTTAAGAATCTATTTTATCTTTTAAACATCTTTAACTACAAAACACTTTTAAACAACAATCAGATCATAGATTTTTAGATAACATATTTACCAAAACATTATACATACATGATGCTAAAAACATTTTTGTTAAAACATACTCCCTCCGTTTTCGAATAGTTGTCGTTTTAGAGAAATTTTTTTGTTTTTAATTAGTTGTCGTTTTCAGTTTTCGATGCAAAATTTATTACTTTTTTATTTTTTATATTTATTTTTATTATGCAACTTGATTTACTATTGGTTAAATTATGTTTAGGTAGATAATTAATGATATTTTTATATTGAAAAACTAACAACATTAATAGTTTCTTAATTTGTGTGCATATAGTTAAAACGACAACTATTCGAAAACGGAGGGAGTACATGATAGTATTGTTATGAATCAATACAATAATAACAATAAGGATCTCTCCAAGTCTGACACCTCAGCTTTTTGGGATGTTCTCAGGTTGACACGTCATTAAAATCGTCGTCCAATGAAAACATTTTAAATAATACAACTCAGCATTTTCATCCAGTAAGAATCTTTCTCTGTTCCACATCATTTTTCTTATTTCATTATCTTGGGCTTTTTTTATTCAGAAGTGGGCTTATTCTCATTCTGAAGTGAGCTTTATTGTATTTTTTATTTCAGTCGTCATCTCACGGTCTCACCTACATCTTCATTTTTTTTTCTCGATTTAGAATTCTTCACAAGATAACGAAGACGAAGGGTGATCCGATCAATCCTTAGGTCCAGTTCGTCTAAGTCCATAAATTTCCAAAATTCATCGAGTGTTTAAGTTTTGGTGAGTTTGTTTTTCATGTCAATTCGATAAAAGCTCCAATCTGTCGCCACTTTTGATTGCTCTGTAATAGCCTCAGTAAGAATCTTTGGAATACATAATAATTGTATCTTCCACCTTCTGTTTAACTAAATACATAATAATTGGTCGGTAGGCTAGAAACATCAATGGAGCTAAATAGCAACGTGTGAAATTCCATTGCATGTAGGCCATTGAATTTAAGGTCATTGTACACTACTCTGTAATTGAAGGCTAAAAATGTATGAATTGACCTATGCTTTGTGATTGTTATTTAGTAATTCTAAATTTTAAGGAAACAATCTCAAGCAATGCACCAAACATTTGAGTTTGTGATTTTCTTGTTGATTTTGATTAACATCATTGTTTTGGTCCTTTTGGATTGGTGCAGTTGAATTGTACTGTGATAATCTTTTTTAGAACACTGAGTTTGATTGATGGTGAAAATGTTTGTAGGTGGTGAGTAAGATGTTTGGAGGATCATTGTTTCAATGTACGGACGAATAATAAAAGTGTTTTCCTTCACCTGAATCACTTAAGATTAAGATCTTAATCTCAACAAAGCCACCAAAAGAGTATCTTCAGACCCAAATCTCTCAAGGTTCAACAACGGATGAATCCATTAAAGCTAAAGTAAGAAAGAAAAAACAGAGTTAAAGTAACCATTAGTGTGTCTTGATTTTTTTTAAGAGTCTTGTGTTGTGACAGATGCAGAAGAACATGTTCAAGAAAAAGATGTGGAGAGTGCAGCGATCGAATACAGAGACTTCATCTCGATTCACGTTGGGAACTACAAAGGAGGGTTGAAGAACTGCTTGAATGGAGATCCTAACCGAGACATACGGTTAAGCATGAGTGAGCAGTGGCTTGAGACTTTGGCTAAAACTCGTGGACCTGATTTAGTAAAGTTCACGCAGTGGAATCTTTTGAGGATATATCCCAAGACAACACGGTTCGACTCGTATAACTATGATCCTCTCGTTGGATCGATTTATGGTGCTCAAATGGTTGCCTTCAATATGCAAGTAATAATTTTAAGTTTTAACACTATCCTCTCTATCATAAGCAGAAATTTTCAATAGTTATGAAGCATTGAGTTAAGTTCATTATTGGACACGACATAACTAAAATAATCTTGTCTCTCTCTGGAGTTCTAGGCTGAGAAAATGTTGTGATTTTTTGTTGAACTTGAAGATAGAATAATGTACTTTGTACCATGGAGAATGTTTTGCAATTCTTAATTTCAAGGAAACAATTTCAAGCACTGCACCAAAACTCTTGTCATTGTTTTATTAATTGGAAGTATACTCCTTTTGACATTTGAGACATAGTTTAACTTAGAATGAGTTCAATCTTTTTCTCTCTGCAAAGAAAGCTAAAATTCCGCTATGTAAATTTTGTTGAAGTTCAAGATATGAAAAGATAATGGAAGTTTAATACAAAGTCCACTTGTGCTGTAACCTGTAAGCAGTGTTTAGTGATTCTGAATCTAAGGAATTGATTCAAGTATGGTGTATCACAAAATGTATGTTTAAAAAAAAAATATATGTCTACATAAGAAAACAAAATTAACTTAAAACAGAATGTATTTAGTTTTTTGGATCTTTTCAAAGTACGTCGTTGAGAAAGATCTTTGGTGAGATGAAGGAGAAAGAGAGAAACACTATATGTTTGGAGTGGGTCCGAGTCAGAATAAACCGACCCATTAGAAGTGTATAAACGTTAATAGCAAGTTTAGGAGCATAGAGAAAAAAACAAAGCTGAGTGAGAGTTTGTAAATGATGTCTAATAAGATGAATTTAAACTATTATATCTTCTGCATCTTTTCAACTTTTTATATATATATTTTTACTGGTTAAGTTCAAGTTTGGATACTTTTTTTTTGTTACCGAAAAAACAACAACTTTCATTGAGTAAAAAAAAAAAAGTTTCATAGTGGTGTTGCAAAAATTTAATTTGACAAAAAGTCATTAGTAATAAAAATAATTTGCAAACAATATCCCGCGGCATAGCGCGGGTTTTATACCTAGTTATATTAATATCGATACATTTAATATTTTTTCTCGTTACAAACTTACAGACGAACACTTTCGAGTTTGAACTTACCTAAGTTGGTTCGAGACCTCTTGCTTTTTCAATAATCTATAATAACATTCACTTCACTTGGTTAACACTAACACTATACTTATTAAGGATCTAGATGATTTATTAGAGGGTTTAATGGTCGGATACCTTAACGGATTAGAAATCCAACAAAATTGACTGTTTGGTTTAGTGGAATTAATCTAAGACTTCTGTGGACCGATATGATTAATTTCACAATTCTCGAAAATTTAAAACCTTTGAAAGATTTGACATATGCTTCATTTTACATAAAAGAAAGGCTTGCGAGGTTATTTTATCATTTTGCGATATGAAACACACATACATACATTTTCTCTTTGTAAAGCTTTGTTGTGTGATAATGTAGTAAAGGAGAAAGAGTAAAAATGACATTGAAAAATAAAATAATATGGTTGTTCCTCAAATAGCTTAACAAAAGAAAAATGGCATTACACTAGCTACTCTTACAGTCTTATCCAAAAGGATTTGGCAATAGACCTGTAATCCGCTCGGGCTGGCCGTGGCCGGGGACCGAAGCGGGTAAATTAGTCCCCTTTTCAAAGACGAGATTCGAACCTGGACCTAAGGAGCATTACACTATGATAAAATAGATATCAGCCAAACATCTTCTTTCAAACATAACCATATAATTAAACAACACTAAGAGTCTAAGACCCTAAATTTCAACAAAAATCCTAAACTCTCAGCATCAGATAAAAACGAAAAGAAAAAAAGACAAACACTAGACCCTAGTTTTATGAGAACATCAGTCTTTGAGAGATAGATAGTTAACCAATTCTACAGATCCTCACAATTTTGTTTTTCATTGACCAAACTCATTGGTCTGCCGAAGTTACAAAGCCCTGGTTTAGTCTCTGCTCGGGATGTCATGGCACGGATCTTTCTGGTATCAAACTGGCCTTCATCTTTGCTTCTCATCTGTATGATCTTCCTGTGCATATTTGAATGCACAGTTGGGATGAAGGTCGGGCTTGATGCTGGACGGTATTCTGGAACAAGACGGCCTGATCTGAACCGGACTCCGCAAGCATTGCAGAGGGTTTTAGGACCACTGGGTCCTTCCCTCCACTGCGGGGTATTGGTTGTCTCGCAATGAGTGCATTTCTGGACTCTCCCACCTGAGTTAAATGGTTTTGGACTGTTATGGACCTGGTGGATAGGATGACTCTTGTTCCTCTTGCGTTTTTTGTTGGCGGATATCTCAGAAGAGAGGTTAATTTCAGATTCTGATTCATCCGGAGCAAACTGCTGAGACATTTCGAATCCAAATGCCTGGAGGAATGTAACTCTCAGCAGTGTGGGGCGTTTGCGCTTGTTTCTGATGCCTTTCACAGGAAAGGCCAGTTTCAGAGCTCTGTGTAGGTTTAGGGATGAGACAGAACCGTTGGTACTCTCAAGAACTGAGACTGGGCTTGAGGATTGAAATAGCTTTGGGACTTTGACATCAGCAGGTGAGTTATCAACAGTAAAAGCTTCCGAAGAACACGACTGCTTCTGCACGCACAAAGTCAAAGCCAATGAATCTAAAATTAGAAACATATATAATGCACCCAAGTAGTCAGAAAAAAAAAAGAAAGAACAAAACTTCTTCAGACAAAGAAATCCATACACTTCAACCACTTATCAACTCAGTAGATCCATTAAAAAAGTATACAAACAAAACAAGCATGAGCATGATTCCATATAGATCAACAAATTTCCATATCAGATTGACAATGATACTATGCCTAACCCTTCTTGTGTTATATATATGTATACACAGATAGATTCAGAGAACGACTTTATTCCTCTCTCAATAACAAAAACAGGCACTAAACTAACCAAGGGAACTTAGAGTTTTGTTGTAGAGAACCCAAAACTCTCCCTGCCACAAAGGCTCCAAACTACTACACGAACATTCAACGCCCTTACCTCTATTACCACATCCTACATTTATACCAGCTGCTGAGCTGGGAACTATTCATATCCATGCGCATTTGACTCAAGACAACAAGCTAAAGTGAAAGACTCAAAGACCTAAGACACTGCACAGTCCTTTTCTCATATAGTTTCAAACACATAACATATACACTCTCGGCTGCACCATAACGAAAGGATTGTATTCCAGGTGCTTTCCTAACTGGGTAAAAAAATAGTAATTTTGTTTCAAATCCAATACAAGAATTACGCTAGTACTTCAAGGAATTATTTCCCTCGTGCAAATGCATCGTGATTGTGTTGATAATCTACTAAAGCAATAACTGATGCATAAGAAAATGCATAGACAATCTACATTAGTACGCATGATCCTTTGACTTTAACACTCATTTCTAACATAAAGCAGCAAAAAGCTATGGAAACTTGAATCTAACAGACAATATACCAAATTCTTTCCTAATGCAAATCAATATTGTATACGTGACCTAATATGTGTGAATGATCAAGTAACTTAAATAAATGAAGTTCGAATACAAAAAATGCACTTTCCTAATGCAGATATGAGTGATTATTTTTAACGCAGTTTAGAAACCAATACAATATAAACAAACTGAAGTTTGAATCCAAAAGAATTGATATGTTCAAAATGAAAATGTGTGAACAATATATCAAGTTGCATAAATGATGCAAAGTGAACTCTCTTTTCTCGCATTTTTCTAACCTTATGTGGTAAAATAGCTATTGAGATTATAATCTGAAAGAACAAAGATGTAATACTATACTAAATTATTGTCCTAAAGCAAACGTGTGTTGTGCTCGTGTAAAAATCTTTCACGTAATATGCATGAGTGGTGAAATATAAGCGTGACTATTATTTTACGCTCTTATCTTACCTTACGTGGTAAAAAGCTATCAAAGCTTGAATGGGAAAGTATCTTTCTGTTACATTAGACACAATTTCCTAACTCAAATGCGTACTGTAAATGTGGTATATTGTAATAAGTTATATGCATAGAAACATGATTTGCTTGCACACACTTTTCTAACCTACATGCAGCGAAAAAGTTACCAAAACTTAAATCCAAGAAGAATCATTATGTTACTGAGTCGTCTATACCCAAACAATGCTCAAATGTAAACGTGCGCAGTGACTGAGTAAATAATCTATCAACCATATGCGTAAATGATGTATATAAGCGTGATTCATTTTTACGTGCTTTCTAACATAATGTAGTCAGAAGGCTAAATCTGAACATAAATGCAAATGGGGATAATGGTGACTCACCAAACTGGGTACAGGCTTCTGGACTGGCACACGCTGTCCATTGCAAGAAAACTCAGAGGACAAACTCGTTAGCACATCCAATGGTGGAGGTACGAGGTTTTGAAACCCGGCATCCCAATCTCCCTCATCATCGGCAGTCTCGATGTCTTCCAGAGAAAAATCATCATTAGGATCAATGAGATTATCAAAGAAGTTATCCGATAGACCCTTGAAGTCCTCTTCAGGTAACCACGAACCGTTACTCATTTGTCACCTACTGTCCAAAAAACCACAGACAAGTACAGAAAACAACATTAACATATAATACAAGAGTAAGTAAGCCAAGCTAAGTAACAAATATCATTTTCAAAGATTTCAATTGAATATGAATGCGAAAATCGACATCAACCTATGAATTGATTAATAAAAACAGTAGTTTCGTTGAATGAGAATTAACCTAAAATATGAATTTCCATTAGCTTACTTAATATGTTGACTCAAGAGTGAACATCAATAAACATAAATGGCAAAAGATTCATTTGAGTCAATATCTACAAGATTCATTTGTCACCCACTGTCCAAAAACCATAGAAAAGATAGAAAAACAACATAAACATATAAGAAAGTAAGAAAGCCAAGCCAAGTAAACAACTAACAAATATCATTTTCAGAGATTTCAATTGAATTACGAAGGCGAAAATCGACATAAACCCGCAAATTCATTAATAACCAATATATATGAGTATACCTAAAATATGAAGTAAGACTAAAATTCAATTACCATTAGCTCTCACTCAATATGTTGACTCAAGAGTAAGCAACAACAAAACAAATTTTCAGAACATAAACGGCAAAAGATTAATTTGAGTCAATATCTATAAGAAAAATCATAACTTTTAAGGCAAAAAAGATAGAAAATTTCTTCATTTCATCATTTGAATTCAAACCCATTTCGAGAAATCATAAGAACAATCACCTTTTAACATTTTAGGGCACAAACAAAACAACAAAACACGAGGTAAGAAGAATCAAGACAAAGAACAATTCATCATCTTCTTACATGTATATTGTCTCACAATCAAAAACAACAAAAAAACACAACGAGAAATCTCCATTTCAACGAGATATAGAGAGAGACAGAGACACACGAACCTTCTGATACAGTAGCTGACTACAAAGAACACATTCCCCAAGCACGAGCAAGGGAAAGATATAGAGAGAGACAAAGAGAGAAGAGAATCTAATTTGTCCGAAATTGGGGATTTAGGGATTTTACACAGAACATGAAACTGTGTGTGTGAGAGGAGAGAGAGTTATAATGTGTGGTAATGTACATGGGATTTTCAGTGTGTCTTTTTTTGGGAAAAATGAATTTCTATATTTTATATTTGTTAAGATTTCTTCACTTTAAAGAAAATTGTTAATCATTTTGTATGAATGAAAGGAAATAACTTCTGTCATTTTTAACACTTGCAGGAAATAAGGACAAAGATTAATGGAAGGATTTCTATTCAAAATGTATATATTAAGCAATTAATTAAAAAAGGATTCTATTCAAAATATTTCTGTATTTTATACAAGATTTTTATATACACTCATTATTATTAGAGGAAAAAAACAAAAAACAAAAACAGCTATTGTTATCAAAACTTATCTTAATGTTGAGATTTTGCACCAATGGTATAGGTTGAATAATATATTAACCTAATCTTATTTGATCACAATATGTGTAAGTGATAATATATGTAAGAAACTCAGTAGTTTTATTGTTTTTGTTTTCTTTTTGGAAAAAGACACAATAGAAATACAGTAAAACTTTTAATTAATTGATAGTTAAACCAAAAACTTTAACTGAATTCTTTTTATTGTTGTTGGGATCATTGTATTTTATAATTTAAAACTATGTTAATGAAATGATAAATTAGTATTATTTTATTTTTAAAAAATACGAGTTGTGAGTATCTAATCTATATATAATAGCAATCTAATAAATACCATTTGCACATCTGAACGGTTGCGTCTTTTTATCGCAACCTTTCGTTTAAATCGGTTATTTTTTACGGTTATTTTGGTTGCGTCTTTTTATCGTAATTTTCGTTTTAATCGGTTATTTTTTTACGGTTATGTCGTTTCCAATAAATACCATTTGTACATCTGAACGGTTGTGTCTTTTTATTGCAATCTTTCGTTTAAATATTTATGGTTGTTTTTCTTACAGTTATTTTTGTACGGTCATGTTGTTTTATTGAATTTCTTTTTACGTAAACCAATAAACTACATATAAAATTGGTTTATTTCATAGTTTACATATGGATATATTTTTAATTTTTAAACTAAAATTTATATTTTACGGGTATGTTTTTTAGAAAATTGCAATCCGAATATCTTCTGCGGTTGCTTCTTTTAATTGTACCTCTTCATAAACAGTTGCAACCTTTTATTTGAATTATTGCAATATTTAGTTTATTTCACGAACAATTGCAACCTTTAGTTTATATCACAAACAATTGTAACCTTTGATTTATATATTTAGTTTATTTCACGAACGATTGCAACCTTTGATTTATATATTTTGTTTTGTATTTCACGAACAATTGCAACCTTTGGTTTATTTTACAAATTGCTATAACATCTAATTATCTACCGTCGCGTCTCTCGGTATAATTTTCATAAATTAATATTTTTAATTTTTAATTACCAAAATGCATTTAAATGAGATTGTAATCGTTTAATTGAACCGTTGAAACATTTGGTTTATTTGACCAATCATTGCAATTTTTGGTTTTGTTTTACGAACCATTGTAATCTTTAGTTTATTTGACGAACTTGACGAACCGCTACAACCTTTGATATATCGCAACATTTCATTTATTTATTTTTAAACTAAAAAAATTATTTTACGTTATGTTTTTTGAGAAAGTTGCAATCCGAGTAAATATTTTTTACGGTTGCATCTTTTTATCGTAATTTTTCATAAAATGATTGCAGCCGTTTAGTTGAACCATTGCAACATTTAGTTTATTTCACGAAAAATTGCAACTTTAAGTTTATCTTATAAATCGTTATAACATTTAATCATCTACCATCATTATTATTAATTTTCGTTTGATATTTTTTTAACGATTTTTGAAATATTTTTCCCGCGACATCGCGGGGGTCCGGAGTCCTAGTTAGGGTAATATTAATGTTTTGGATGCTATTATCGGTTTGGTCGTTAATAAATGTTGAACAAGCGATGGTACAAATATTATTTTTGACATTGAAAAAATCGTCTAGGGGATGCAATATAAAAATTTCGATAACTCACTTGTCAATACGACTTTCACAAATTTAAGGTTTTTATTAATGATCTTAGTATTCACAATAAAACGGATTTCATTAGCGTACTTATTACGTGAGGGAAATGATGTTCACAAATCAGAAGAAACCATAGATACTTTAGTCTTAATATGGTTTACAATTTTTAAAATTAGGTTGAATCTAATTAGGTTTACATAAACTTAGGTTTCATTTTTTTAACTAATAAAATTATAGACTCTTTTCTAATTTTGATATACCTTTAGCTAGTCAGAGATATATTAAAAACCCAAAATTTCATATTTATGTTTATATTGTTTGCAACTTCTGGAAACCTAATATGATCAGAGTAATATATGTCATTGTATAACAAGTTAACAACAACATGTTACAAAGAAAATAAATTGTACCAATTTGATGAAGATGATAGATAATAGATAATAGAGAAAGCTATAGTCTCAAATATTAAATATAGAATATGATTGTGTCGAGTAGTTAGGAGCGATACAAAAAATCAAGCACATGAACGGCCCACATGTCAAATCAGATGACATGCCTTGATCAAGGATTGCTCGTAGATCCGATCTGATTCAATTATTGTTTTCTTTTTATTATTTCTAATTGAACTCTTAATTTTGTAAGTATTATCATTCTATGTCAAATTAAAGATGAAATGGAGAGATCACCGACGATTACCAAAACTTAATGATTATGGAGTTTCGTTATGGGAAAGCGGGTCTCCTTCTGCCTAGCTTCCACATGATGGGTTCTATTAAATTTCAAGATAGAGTTTTATTGTTCTCCTAAATTTATAACACCACCAAAACATCTAGCAATATGCAGTCATTTTTCATAATAAGTAAATTTATTTTTTGTAATAAGTAAATTTTATCACCGGACAACCTTTTGCTCGACAGTCGCGTAAGTGAAGCAGGTTTACGATGAGACGTAACATGCGTGTCTATCTACCTAAGAATTTGGTAAGCTGATATACCATATTTGGCGAGAGAGAAATACAAGACGTCATGGAGAAATCAGCTCACCCTCAACTCGCCTCATAAAGCTCATCGACAAGAATGTGCACATTGCACAACAACAGAAGTAGCTCGATCAGAGACGCGTGAGACCATAGATATGACGAATGCCTAAAGCTCTGGCTCTCCACGCGACCACTATCTTAAACAAAGTTACTTTGCATTTCTTTTCAGAATTACACTCTCTGTTTTCCTTTCAAAAATTTAAGAACAAACATATGCATCTATTGTAAAAAAAATTTTGGTTGAATATAATTTTATTTCAATTAAAAAAAAAATACTGATATTGAGACATAAGAAATGTAAATCTATAAATACTTCATTAAATTCAACTTAAAAATGGGGGAACAACCCCAAAAACCTATAAACAAAAATCTCTTATATAAAAATAAATTAATCATTCTTTATTACACTCATACAAAGACTAAGAAAAGAAATTGAACAATTGACTTAATAAACCATTCTTATAAAGCTTAATAGACGCTTTTTAAATTTGGGTGTTGGAAGATCTTTGGAACACACCGCAACCATTTCTTATGTTTATCTGCTTTCCATCAAATGATCCCTAACAGCCTCAAAAATGACTAGTGAATAGTGCTCGAGAACATCTAACATCTAACATCTAACATGAGGCACTATGAGACGCAACATGTGTATCTATCTATCTAAAGATTATTTGGTATGCCGATATTCAGACATGAATAATGTAAGCTCTAGTTACTTTAATTTACTAGATTCAACTAAAAAAGGGAATAGCCGCCAAAACTTAGGTACAAAAATCTCTTACATGTTAAACTCATATAAAGACTAAGAAAAGAGATAGAACAATCTACTTAATAAACCATTCCGATAGAGCTCAATATATATACTTTCTAAAACTTCAAAGTCGAAGGATGGAACGGTCCAATACTATGGGCTGCCTAAAGCCAATTTTTTTTTTTTTTTGTCCATAAAATATTAAAAATATAGCAAAATGTTGTTTGGAAGGCTCAAACCAAGATCATGAGAAAGGGTAATACCCAGAACACCCACTGCGCTATAAGTGAATTTATTAATTTGATGCCCTCAAAATCTTATATATATTTTGGCGCCTAAAGCCTTTGCTTGTTAGGCTTTAGGTCAGGACCGACCCCTACTCATTTCTTTTGTGATAGGGGTTTATCAAGTACAAGTTAAACGCTCCTAATAATCTCAGCAAACTATTGTATGTTGACTACACCATAATTATTGCAAAAATAGTTTGAAACCTAGAAAGAAAGAAATATTTAAAAGCTATATTGCGGCGACCATCCCTTAATGAATACACTAATGTCTTAAAAGTATTGCACCATAACTAAGAAAGGTGAAGGAAAATTAGTAGCTACACCAATGCTCGCAAGATAAACAAGACTCGGGAAAAGAAGCTACCGAACACTAGATGGTTCAAATGTGTGCTGTGATACCTATCTCTACCACATAGGCTTGGAAAGCGCTTTACATGTTTGCTCTCACCTAAAACGCTTTCTTTAAAACTTCACCAACGAACAAAGTTCAACCACCGTGTCCTGGAACTTCACTAACTTGGAAAAAACTAAAAAAGAGACATGAGTCAAACAATGAAACACAAAAATCACAATCAAAGCACATCCAAAAATTACTCATCATAGAATTATACGCCACATTCTCACACACACATCCAACAAACATAACAATTTTAATGCAACAATCATCCAAACATTTTCTCATCTTACTACACATTCAAACGTCTTGAAACAATTTATAGCGCCTTACTATCGACATGCCATAACATCTCAATTCATTCAATCTTATACTCTCTCACATGATCATCTATCTATATGGTTTATTGTCATGAAATTAACACATGCATCTCATGTATCATATTCCTAGTTGGTGAGCCTCATCACTTCATTTCCTTGTTTGAACCCTAAAATATGGCCGTCCTCACTTTAATTTCTAAACAAACATGTCGACCATGCTCGTTCAAAACTATAATGGCAAACTCCGACCATCTTAGCACTGAACTAAAATTTTGACAAGGCTTGGCCTAAATGGGTAGGGCACAAGGGTAATAGTCCAAAGGCCCAACACGTTTATAAATTTTTTTTTTTATGTTTAAGGGCCCGTTTTAAAAAAATTAAAATGTAGACCAATTTTTATCATTTAAGTTTATGATAGGACCTACTTTAAAATTATTTTTTTTAAAGAGTCCAAATAATTATTTTAGTATAAATATACCTTAGAACTCTATAATTATATTAAAATTTAAGTATATATATATGTGTGTGAAGGATTCAAACAAATTTTTTTGCTCTAAGGCTCTAAAAATTGTTGGGTCAGGGTTGATTCTGACCACTCTATCTCTCAACTCTAGCACATAGTTTAGTATCCTGGCATCAGTTCAGAACTCTCTACATAATATCCGATCATCATGGTTTTAAACTCCATCCATCATATAGCTACTAATATACTCAACAACTTTGGAAAAATTAACTTAAAAGTTAATTCCACTTATCACGTCCTCACTTTTGCAAAATATGCCCACTTCTTCAGCTGTAGAATAACAGCTTGAAAACTCTTTTGTTTAAGTAGATTCTTGGACATTAAACGAGGTTTCTTTCAACTAGATCATACCATTTGGTGTTTTATACTAGGACATTAAACGATGTCTTACTGTGGTATAAATCATATCCAGTTGACTATGGTTTTGGTGTTTTATCCTCTCTTTCGTTTAAGTTTATGGACCATTTTCTTTTCGGTTGCACGTTTTTCGTATCGCATAAAGTTTATTGTTGATTTATTCTGCATGATCATGACATAGTTTTTTGTGTTTTGGACTAAAAATTATAGTTTTGCGAATTTTACGAGTTTTTTTTTTTTTTTTTTTTTGACAGTTTCGACGAGAAAATGTAAATTTGCGATTTGGGAGAAAAATGCAATTCTTTGATTTTAGCAGAAAATGTGTTTTGCAATTTTCGCGGAAAAATATGATTTCGTAGTTTTAGTTGGAAAACTCGATTTTGCGGTTCTGGCAGAAAATAAAAAATCATATTATTTGGCCCCCGCGAACAGTCCAGTTGGTTATAGTCATATTTGGGCTTTGAATATTTATGTCCAAAATACAAAAAATGTCTAGTTGAACATACCTATTTCTATTTGGACTTGGACAAGCCATTTGACATCCTTACACAAAACCACCAAACAACAATAAGCTTTGTGAAGAAACTCTCTTATCGCATTATTCTCGACTCTTGTCCTTCTTGTTTAATTCAGATTGATTTTTTTTTTGAACAAGTCTACTTTAACAATAACTTTAATTTATAATTTAGTACAAGAACAGAGTTTCCTTAATTTTTTGTAAACGGTCCTGTTCGTTTGACAATCGTTGGATCCAGCGACCAATCGCAACGATCAGTGACCCAAATTTTTAGTCATTAAATTTTTCTGCAATCTTCAGCGACTGGTAGCTGTGATTGGCCGTTAGTCGCCAACGACTGTAAAACGAACAGCATGATGACTACAAAATAAAATAAAATTAATATTTCAATAATTAATTTAATTTCAAATAAAATTAAATAAATTAAAACAAAAAATTAATAAAATAAATTAAATAAAAATTAAATAAGCTTGATTTTAATTACATTGGTTTGAATTAGGTTAAATTAAACTAAATTTAATAAAATAAATCTAATTTAAAATTTTATAATTTAATTTAAAATAAATGAGTTATTTAATGACTATTTTTTAAAAAATAATTAGTTTCTTAAGAATGTATAGTATATAACTTAAATTTTATTTAAAACTAAAATTTTCATAAAATAACTATTTTAACATTAAAAATTTAAAAATATATATACAATTCCATAAACAATTGCTGGTTCTAGTCGCTGGTTGCTAGTCCCAACCCCAGTTCTAAAAATCCCCGCCTAGCCCCGATTACTCCCCGCTTAATCGCTAGGCCCACCCTATCCGCCTCGATTAATGACTAATCCCCTAAAGAAATCAGTTACCCGATTACTCTCCGCCTAATCCGATTACTTCCCGCCTAATCCGATTACTCCCCGCCTAATCATACATATTTCGATTATTTTTAGATTGCAAGTATAAAAAAAACTTTTTATTTTTGTTATTCAATGATTTGAATTGGGAGTTTGTGATGTTTTACAATAACTTATGTTCAAATTTTAATAAAAATGATAAATTTTGAATAAAAATCATAAAAATTTGTCTCAAAAATACATATTTATATATTTACTGTAATTTTGAAAACAAAATTAGATTAATATGTTTTAAAAATATTAAAATAACCCTAAAAGTAATCCCCGATTAATCTCCGATTTTAATCCGATTTTCCGATTAATCGCTAGGTCCATACCGAGCGCCCGACTAGCGCCTAGTGATTTTTCAAACAAGGGTCCCAACTACTAATAAACGTACAAGGCCGTAATGTTCATTTCACCAATCATCCCATTTTAAAATTTACCTCACAAATTCTCCCCTCAGAAAAATAAAGACCGGACACAACAAACACAACTAGTTGTGTCATAGGCGAGAACTCCAAAGTCTCCTGAAGAAATGAATGTTAAAGGAGAGCCGTCAGATCTGAAATGCAATCAATCGAACGGCTCAGATTAACTTCAATTTCTATTTCTCATTTCCAATAATAATATAAATACAAAAAATCCCTAAAAAATGGCGCAAACAAAAGCAAGAGCCGTCAGGTACACTCTCTTCTTCTTCCTTTACTCTCTGCAAAAAATCCCCAAATTTAGATTCGTCTGATAGATTCGATTCTTCTTGTTCTTAGATCTCTTAAATTCAATGGAGCAAGAAGAACCATGTGAAGCAAAAGAAACAGCTTCTTTGATAGAGCCCAAAACACCAAACCCTAATGTCCCAGATTCGATTCCGGCTATTGATTCTGATTCTTCTTTATCGGAAGAAGAAATAATCACAGAGAAAGACAGAGGAATCGTCACTTTGTCTCCTTTGTGTATTGATTCTGTTTCAGTCTCAGATTGTGTTTTGGTGGTATCTGATGAAGAAATTATAGAGTCAATTTATCAGAATCTGTTGAGATTTATTGTCTCTGCTTCTTCTACTGAGATTTGGTGTTTTGATGGTTGTAAGACACCGCCTCCTTCGTCTCGGAATCTCGATTCGAATATGGTTAATGATACTTGTCCTGGAGCTCCTATGAAGCTCACTAAGATAGCTAGGAATATTGATTCTGGATTAAGAAGAAAACTCTTCTGAGTATCTGACTTGAGAGTTAAAAACTGACATGAATTGTTGTTGTGGTGTGACCTTGTTGTAGTAGCTATAAGAGCTTTAGAGGTTATAACTCTTAGGGTTCTTGATTTGACTCTTGTTTGTACAGTCTTCTTAGGGTTTTTATGTGTAATTGCTAGCTAAAGCTAGTTGTTGTTGTTGGAGACATTCAGTTTCTGTTCTTTCTTTCTTGTCTGTAACTTATGAATGGTGAGGAATCTATAATAAGTTTCAACTTTTCCCCTTTTGTATTCAAACTTACACATATGTATGTCACAAAGGTAATGTCTTTGTTAATATGTAGTTGTGTTTGCGCCTATATCGATTGGTATTTGTGAAAAAGGTTACTACAAAATCAAGGCCTTTGCTCTCTCTATAGATGGCATGATTGCAACTCTCAAGGTGATGAACCTAGTGTCAAAAGGGATACGCTGAAATCTTTGTTGTGTGCTAACATAGTGCATAGATCAGGCTTCAGTTTGTCACTCTCGGTCGTCCATTTAGACCAGTCTTTCGCGTGCATAAAGCAGTGGTGGAATCCAAAACCAAAACTTATAAGTCCTGAAGCTGGAGAATCAATGCTTAACATGGAGTTGTATCAAATAAATCTTGTTTAAAATATAAAAGAACTAAGTCTATAGGTCACTATACAAAGGACTTCAGCAGTATCACCCAAGATCTTATCAATGGAGTTGTTGCATATGAAGTGCCTAACTGTGTCTATGACATTCAATAGAATTTCAAAGAATACTTTGTCTGAACTTTTGATCTTTGCTTTGGTCTTTTATGGAATAATTGAAACTGCCTTGGAAGCGTCTAAATGGTTAAACCGACAGGTTCCAAGAAGATATTCTGGGAGCTCCTCTTCGGTATTCGCCTGAACAAACAAGAAATTGCACACTCAAATCCATCGCTTCAGTAAGTAAGAGGTAAAACCGAAATTGGCTTTAGAGTTAAAGCAGGAAAGAAGATTGGAAACTGGTTTACCTGTACCAAGAATGCCATTTCAATCACAAGTTTGTTAAGGTAACCAAGAACAAGACTCACAACTCCTCTTGCAACCGTGGATGACCCAATATCAACGCCCAACTGAAAATAACACATGAGGCATGTTAAATATTAAGATTTCATAAAATGCTCGGACCAGATGTGGAAAGTCTCACTGTTGCGGTAAATACTAATTCCTCTTAGGATCTTACATCCGATCCTACTTTGTTACCTCAATATAGTTCTTTCCCCTGAAGTAATTGATCTCCAGGGCTTGACCAATAAGGCATGCTTTCTTTCCCACACTCTGCTTAACTATCCAAGAGCCCTGATAATATCGCAAAACCAAAAGTCAGGTATGAATACATTGGACAGACAAAGAATAAATATATCTAAAAAGAGGTAGAGTAATCTTTTACGCTAACCTTGGATATGTAGGGAATGAGCTTGAACCTTGAATTCCTATATGCGTCATCACCATTAACAAAGCTAACTAGCAAAGGATGCTCTTCAATGGGAGTGCTCATCATGTAATAAAGCACAAGGCTGTACGTTGTTGATCCAGGCACCTATTATTCCATCAAACAACTAATTGATTCTTTACGGACAAATGGAAAGGCTGAATAAAAAATACAGTGGTCGCCAGAATGTCCTCTTACCTGTATATTCACGATGAAAAAGAACTCTGGTCCACCTTTTGCTGCATATTTCTGCATTTAAGAACTTGTAAGACTTCTTATAAAAAGAAAGAGAGAGGCTAATACATCAGAACAAACAATAATAATCAAAACCTGAACTATGCCTCCTGGACGGGACCCCAAATCATCTTCCCGCTTGTCAGATTTTAGCCAGTCTGCAGCTACCATTTCCATCAGTGTACCCTTTGCCTTGACCTGGATCCACCACAAGAGAATGTTTACAAATTGAGTAACATTATACATATTGATATATTCAAGCACAAGTTATTTGCTTTTCTTTACCTTCTTCTGGTCATCAAGATAAGTTTTTCCTCGAATGAGAAAAGTAGACGGGTCAGTTGTTGTCCAACTACAGGGCAAATCACAACTAGGATCAGTTGGAAGCGTGGTTCCATAGCAGCAAGGCGGGCTGCGGGCTGCGTGCGGGCTACTCTCTTCCCTCGCCCTCTCATGCAGGTCAACATAACCCCTCTTTTGAACTGCTCGCGACAAAAAAATGATAATCAATAAAAAGACAAGACACAACTAAAAAGAGCAGAATTTATCCATGAAACTTAGGATCACCTGCAAGATCGTGTAATTTCTTCACTAAACTCGTAGCGCTATTTAGTTTTGGCTGGCGGGATTCCTGCAATTGGCAAACGGAAAATCAGAACTGTTATCTTTCCAAGCAGATTTAAGTCCTGTCTGATGTTGCTACCTGGCAGCATGTATCCAAATCAAAATCTGAGGTCCAGCTGTCATCCAAATGGTCATTATCTGATGGTTCTGGAACGTCGAAAAACTCATCCAAGTCTACAAGGCTTGAGCGCTCTGAGGGAAATTTGTCTCTCTCTTCATTTGCAGTGTCCTTAAACATTTCGCTTTCCCTCAGGGAAGAATCACCAAACACACCATCTTCGTTCTGAGTCAATCTTGCACTTCTTGACAACTCCCCTGACGACAGATTAGGAGGAAAGCTTCCATGCTTTGCCCTAAAAAGCTCTCTCAGAGCTGATTCACCCAGCAAAGATGTTATGATAAAAGAAAAGTGCTTAAACTGAGAAATTTTCTTTTAAGAGAGAATTGGCAACTACCAGAAATTCTTCCAAGCATTTTCACGGTAATAGATCTAGCTAGGGATGGTTTCACATAAGATCTCCAGGACTTCCAATCTACAGCAAGCATATGCTTCACAACTGATTGTTTTCCGTTGTCTATGGGAGAAATCACATAACCGCCACCTGTGATACAAAGGAGAAAGTGTCATTTTGCTTTGATTCTCAATCCAAAATTTCAATTGGAAACATTAGTTACACAAAAGAGATCAATAGTTGCAACGGAAAGCATAGTGATCAGTATGTATTGCCCCAAACCAGCAGATATATATTCTTTTAAGAAACTGAAACAAAAGCAGGCTTTTGTAGAAAATGAGAAGTAAAACTTTGCTTTAAATTTGTATCTCCTCTTTACAAAACACTCTAACTAATTATAAAAGAGTATAGAGATAAGTAAGTTTCCGCAAACACCAAGGTAGTTGCACAAATGAACATGCAAGGAAATGCAGAAACTAACTTCTTCTTTTTTAATTTAAATCTAGGCGTACATTACTTTTAAGGCACGCACGGACATAGCCTTTCTGAGGTGGACACTTCTTGTGAAATACAGAATGATAAAGAATAACTGCGAAAGAATGAACAAAGGAGGAAACAAGTTAGTTAATGGAACATTTGGCAGAATCAAATGAACAGTTATTGCTATAAAGTGCTACAAACCATATGTGCCATCATCTTCCCTTCTCCAGTAACGCCGCAGCGAAAAATCTCTTCTCTTCATCCCCCTGTTACTACAACATGTTAGTAATAACTAATAAGACAAACAAAGACACGAACTCTGGCAGAAAAAGGTGAGTAGCTGACCAAGGTAACCAATCGCTGTATAGCTGTTTGTGAATTATATCAGTGTGACCATCAAGATGTTCGACCACACTGCCTTGGTAGAAACAGAAATCCCATCTGCAAAGTTTCGAGAATTTAGTTCAGAAAAAGTAAACAATACTTAAACAAAAATAACCCAAACCCCACATTTTTTATGTTTTATGATTTTTAATATCTTAGGCTTGCTTGTCTAGAAAGTGGCAGTGGTACTTACTCTGATCTGGAGGGTCCAAGAGAAAGAAGAGTTTGGAAAATGGTTTCTGAAGTTCCATCAACAACACCAACAGCCATAATAGCCGGATGATCATCCCACTGTGAATTCAGGTAACAGAATTATCAAAACATAATTCCCTTAAAAAAAACACAATGAACATACCTTTTCAACAGATTTAGACTGAAAAAGATACTAACCCTTCCAAGAGAATCTCTCTCTTTTGCCTCTTTGAAAAGCCGAAGACCTGCATGCAGCACATGTTAAAACTATGCATTCCAGCCACACAAAAATCAATGAAATTTGAGTATGCACCATACCATTTTGACAACCGAATATTGTCCACGGAGAAGGCGCAACAACATCAGTTGTAACAGGATCTACTCGTGCAGACGACCGAAGTGTCCAGTCAATAGAATTTGAGTGATGGTCCCGCACTGAGCTACTCAATCTGATTTCAGAAAATTCTTTCTTTTTAAGTAACCACAAACCATTATAGTTACTAAGTAACTAACAAAAATTGAAGGAACTACTGGCTCAGCAATTTATTTAACGGTTAGCTTAGAGACGTATTCCATTGATTACAGTAAATTGTGGAAACACAGGTACCTCAAAGAGTCCCATCGGCTCCTCGAACAATTAAAAACATCTCCTGGAAAAGGGGCACCCTGCATAAAACATATAACTATAAGTCTCTATCCTTCAAATAGAAGGAGCTCTTAACTTGTTACATAAATCCCTTATATAACCTTTAAAGCCGCCTCCTTAATTAAATTGATCCACCTTGCTGCATCCTCCGGACTGCTTGCTCCTAACTATACATCAATCAAAACAAGAAGCTTAACATATGAAAAAGAAAAGTTCATCATCACAACAAGTTAGTCCAACAAACAAACTAATCAACAGAAATTACCTTACCTTGAGCTGATCATTGTGATTTGAGGTATTGTACAGTGTAAATATGAAGAATGCCTACAAGTGATTCATACAAACCCATTATAACAAAAGCATAACTAAACTCCACAACTAAAGATTTAAAACAAGAACTTTCATACTTTTCTATGAACATTTTCTCTCCCATTGTCAGTAACCCGAATACACGAATCTATCACCGCACTTCTTCCAGCATCCTGTAAAAGCCAAATTGAGATTATTCCAAGTGACATCAATCTTAAGATATTATAAACAACCAAGAGAAAAAAATTGACCTTGCTTTTAGAATCGGAGATAGACTTGAAACTCTTGAGAAGATGATCTCGAAGAACAAAGTAACGTTTTCTAGAGAAATGCAATCCAAATCGATTAGATCGAATTATATACAACCAACCTTCCATCTTCGTCTCGCTCTCGTTTTCAGACCCAAAAGCCATTACAACTCCAAAACCAAAGCCCTAGAATGTGTGAATAAAACCAAAATAAGAAAACTTACACTTTAAGAACCCTAGAAGTTTCTTGATTTCCAAGGAAATTATCAATCCAATCAAAGAACACAAAACCCAGAAAGACCCACCTCTGGAAAAATCTCGAAACCCTAGAAATATCTTCTTCGCAATAAGAAGTCTTCTTGTTTTCTCCGTTTTACGATACAAATCAACCCATAAAACGACAAACCCAGAAAAAAATCGAGAGTAGAAGAAGATGACGAAGGTAGTGGAGATCGGATTTTTAAAATTGGAGAACTTAAGATTTGAATTGATCTCTCGTCATCATCATCACTTTTTCCAATTTTCTCTCTTTCTCTAATTTTTTTTTTTTTTCCTAACAGGTTTCTTCTGGTTTAGAGAAGAAAACTGGAAAAAGTTTTGGAGTATTTGGAAAAGTGACAATAAAGATTTGAGGACGAATGATTACGAATTTAAGGAAATGACGTTATTACCCTTTTTGTGTTTTTTGATGTGTTCAAAGTTTTAACCACATAAATTTTTTTTTCTGATTGGTGGTTTGGATTTTGTCCAATTTCACTCGTTTTGGTCTTTTTGATATAATATAGCATTGGCCTGGTCTGGCCCTATAGGGTTAAAACCGGTTTTCGCTTTTCTAGACAAAACGCAACTGTTGTAATTGGTTTCACTTTTGCTTTAAAGTTTAAAAGTTTAAAAACAATATAGAAATAAAAATTTTGGGAGAGAAATGAGGATGGAAAACTGTATTGGATAAATAATTTTTTGGATAAATAATTTAATTAGAGTGAATGGTAAATGTTCATGCGGAATTTTGGTGTTAATTTTTCTTTGGGTTGGTACACACAAAAAAAAGGTTATTCTTTGGGTGGTTTTCAATATTGTCGAGGAAATTGATGGATTTGCGCTAAAGAAAAAACTGTTAAAATTTTAGAGAACACAAGAGATACAATCCTATATATTTAATCAAAAGTTTCTAACAGTTTTACACAAGAGATATAATCTGAACGCAAAAAATATGTGTAAACATTTCAAACACTTTTGCATCCGTATCATTTTTTTATACGCTTATATTATTTTAACTTTTTCCAAACATTTTTTAGTAAAAAAATGATATGGACGCAAAAGTGTTTGAAATGTTTGGAAAAAGTTAAGAAAATAATGTAGGTGTATAGAAAATGATACGGATGCAAAAATGTTTGAAATGTTTACACATGTTTTTTCTCTCCAAAAGGTAAGTTTTTTTTTTTTTTTTTTTCTGATCAGAGAGTTTGAAAATCGAGTGAGATTGATATGTCTCTAACAAATGTTGTTCAACGCATAAGAATACTAATTTTTTTTTTTTGACGGCACATAAGAATACTAATTATGTGCGGGTTAAGTCATTTATATTTTATTTGGACTTCTACTAAGTTTTGTACATAATTTTAATACGACCCGAAAGATTAAGTGATATAGGATGTTAATTAGTATTCTTATCGACTTAACTCTATAATTGTGGGTGCTTAGTGATATAGGATGTATATTGATATGTCATATGTCCCAAAAGATTATGTGTCACTCGGTCATTGGCTGTCGGAGAAAAAAAGTCATATAGGATACTTAAACGCATTAAAAATATGTGTGGGTGGTTTGTACATCAAACACACAAGACCCCTTAAAAATATGTTATTGCGAAGAAAATCAAAATAAACATATATATCACAACAAGACGTAAGAATAAAAACAACTCTTGGGAGCTTAATCACATTCACATACTGAAACTACTTATACTAAGTTGACTATTTCAATAGAGTTGAGAGTGTATAAAATGGCTAAAGAAAGTGAAATCAATCCAAAAAGTTATATAGAAAACAAATTAAGACAAAATAGTAATCTTGAAAAATAAGCATTAGAGTTGCTTGAGAAATTTGTAAGAACGTATCACAGTATCGTTGGCCAAAAGGCCAAAATTGTAGTAATTTGTAGCCTTGTAGGAATAAGTCATCATCATATAATTTGTTCAAAACACAAATAAATGATTTTTAGTTGGATTGTTGGTTGTTGCAAACAAGTTGGCATATTGATGAAGATTGAAGACCATTTCTCATTTATTAATTTTTCTTTTTTTTCTCTTTTTTGTTATTCGTAACTTGCAAGTCTCACAACCACTAGTTTTAATAAAATTTTATTCGCTTTTAAGGGAAAGTTTCATTGCCAATTATCTTTGTAGGTCCATAAGACCATAACATAAATGTATACATATACTATTCATGGAAAGATAAAACAACAACGACAACGTAGCATGTGAACAGAGGATGAATTCTCGGAACGTTAGACGTATCACGCACATGTAATATATAACAATATGTCAATATGCATAGATATAAATATAGATTATAAAGAAGTATAATATTTTATTGAAAAATTTATGGAAAGGAAAAAAGAGCATAAAGCATTTCAATTATTAGAAATTTATGGTTCCTAGTATCCTAGAAATCGCCCATCATTTTCTTCCATAAACTCAAAAACTTTCTAATCACATATTAATCACCGAAATGTCAAAAACCATTTTGAAATTAATTGTATTTTAAATTCTATTCAGTATGCTATTTTAATCTATCTTCTTACTAGAAAAAAATCATTTGATCATTTGAAAAACACTAACATAAACCAGAGAACACTAGAGAGAAGATAACTTTATCCTTGTAATATCCAAAAAGGAGGAAAAAGAAATAGGTAAATGTAATTATAAAAAAGAAGAGAAAATGCCCATTGGCTATTTCAATGATTTCTCAATTACAAAACATTATCAATGAATGAACAAAAAAAAGGGGACAGAATTATAGAGACGAAACAAATAGAAAGAGTTATATTATTCACACTGGAGAATGCTTGTCTAATTTCTTGGCTTCATGATGGTTCTCTTTTTCTTGGCCTAAAAGCGGCGTCGTATCTCTATCTTTCCCCTGTAAAAAAAAAGAATAAGACCAAAGTACTTAGAAACTTTCAACACTCATTATTTCTATCTTTTCATTTTTGTGTGGTTACGTACAAGAAAAGTGGAATCCGAGGAGACTTGTTTGGATTTTGAAGCAACTGAGCAGAAGTAGGAGTAGAGAAGCATGCCGAGGACCGCGATGAGGATTCCTGCGATGTTACGAGGAGTGAAAGGATCGTGGAGGAGAGTGTAACCAAATGCGAGCACCAAACACGTTTTGAGATGTCCCAAGACTTGGTATGTCACCGGAGATGTCTTTCCAATCACTAAAAACGTGCTGAAGTTAACCGAAACCGCTATCAAACACGACAACGTTATGAACCCCTGCATGATTCATCATCGTCAAATATCCCAAAATTCTAGGAATGTTATGATATAATCATAGCTCAAAATGGGCCGGACTAATCCATCACAATGATTCTAATTATATTTTAACACCAATTGACAATAAATGGAATTGACGATGTAAAATTACCACGACGATGGGAGAGTAATGGAAGGAGAAAACATTGAGGCGAGTGAGGTATTTGTCGACAAACGGACCCGAGACGAAGAGTATAGCGGCTTGGAACGGGGCTGATTGGTATAGGAGTTGTGTTGATGTCACGTTCAGTCTCTTCTGGATTGTGTTTGTTAGCTTCACCACAACATTTTATTAGTCATATTAATTATACTATGTATTAGTTATTAAACAATGATTAATGAAACTTAATTAAAGCATACAATTTGGCCGACGCAAGTTGTGGCAATGGCAAGGAGAGAGAGAACAGAGCCAACAAAATTGAGCTGAAGATCTGTGATTGATGCTATACCAACCCCAACCAGCAGCAAAAATAATGAGAACTTTATCTTCTGGCTGCAAAACCAAAATATGTCATTTTTTGAAAAATAATTATATATGTAAACAGTAGAAAATATCGAAATAGTCTTATAGCAAGTTTGGTTCACCTAAACTTCTTGTTGAGGAAGAGGGTTTCTAATAGAACAGTGAATGGTATGATAGCAAGTTTGGTCATCTGCCATTAATTATGGACAAACATCAAATTTTTCAATCATATAAATGTTACATAATGAGGATCAAAAGTATGTCGAACATATATATACTTGATAGAAGCCGATGGAATTGAAGCCGAGGCTGAGATTTAGGAGACCAATGGAGATGCCATTGAGAAGGCCAAAGAGAACAACAGTTCTCATGTCTATTGGTTTATTCTCAAAGAAGTTTAGTTTATATGCCACATGAAGTGTGCAATATGTTACCATCAAATGCCAACTTGTAAGTGTTGTTGCTGTAACAAAACCATATCGAAAAAGATCAATCCTAAGACGAATAATCGGGTTTTTGATAATGATCTTACAACATATATTGTCACAAAGTAATAAAGAGGAAAGTAGTAATTACCAAAAGGGAAACCAAGATTGGTCATCAAAGCTTTGTTGCAAATGACAATGGAGACAGATGATGCAACTGATAGAAACAATGCTCCAATCACACCCATTTGCATACTCTTCATCTCTCCCATTTTTTCTCCCTCTCCCTCCTCTCAAATCTTCAAATCTATCAAATGAAGAGAGAGAAAGTTAAATATATTGATGTGTGAGAGAGAGAAGGATTGTGAATGTGATGAGTGATGAAATGCAAAGGTGATATAATGAGGTTTTTATTATTTTGTTTGTATAAAAATGGTTGGTGTCTAACACCAAACTTCTGTTCTTCCTAATTATGTCATATATATATAATTATACACAAGATACATGAGAAAAACTATAATGATGTTGCTTAATATATGTTTTTCCTCATAAGAGGCTTCTACTAATGATATATGAAAGCAAATTCTTAACCATAAAAAAGACTCTGAAATTGAACAGCCAATAGAGGGAGACATTATGGTTTTCTATGGACAAACAATTGACTTGAACTAAAAGCAAAAAGGAAGGTGAAACTGAATTTCTCATACTTTTTCTATTGGAGAAAATATTGTAAATTAGAAACTAAAAATGAATATTGAATATTTGCATTTGGTGTAAAAGCTTCACACTCACTCCAAAGTCCAAACCAATACCTTTCTCTTCTCCTTAATTTCTCTACCATTTACGTTATCTATTGAGAGTAAATATAAAATACCTAATTTATGAAATTGGGTGAAATAGATAAATCATGAAACTGGTAAGTCTTGTTTTCTTATTGTCTTTTCACAAGTCAAAAGGATTATGAAATTACACCATGTGAAAGCATATTTTTTTCTAAAACATCTAAGATTGTGAAATGGAGGAAGTAACAAACAACATTAAAAAGCTCAATCAAAATGTATAAATCACACACAATATCAATAACTAGGGTAAAATATTTGATATACAGAGTATATGTTTTTTTTTTGTAATAATAATTATATAAAAAAAGAAAAAAAAAAACCTATCCTTTAACCATCCTCCCAAGGTACTCTTTATCAGCATCTGCCAATCGGTTCTGAAACATTGTCCATTCCATTTTGCATCTCTCTCTCACTCCTTGCCATGGTGCTTTTCCATTCTCTGACTTTCCTTGACTTCCAAGTGACGGTATCACTTTATGTATTATCCATTGCGAATCCACAACACCAATCTTCTCATGAGCAGGCTGCAAAAGCAAAGCACACATATTTTCATCATCAGTCAAGAGAATATATATAGTTATGAAGCAGAGGGCCAACAACTACTTACTTCAACGCATCTTCTAAGCGCAAAGTCGAGACCCCATCCATGAACCAGATCGTTCTGCATCAGAAAGATAAAAAAAAATTGATCAAGTTCTAACTATATTTCAAATCCTTAAGCATTATTTTGAAGGACTAAGACTAGGACTAGTTCTCTGTATCTACAGATTGAAAAACCTGAATCATATGCCACACACATCGCCATGCTTCTCGAGAAAATACAGGCGCCATTATTTCCACAAATCTGTGGGAGGGAAAAAAATTCAGAAAACTCAGTACTGACAATGACTAAATACTCCTGAGTGGGTCTAAAGAGAGGGTTTTAAAGAGACAAAAGAGGAACTTACGCGGCACATGGAGGTAAATGTGGGTCTTTACACCATCCTGGTTTTTCTTTTGTATCTCTGTTCAACAGTACAAAAAAACAACACATTCTTAATTCAGAACCAAAACTGAAAGGCAAAAAAGTATGGTTAGAGAGGGAGATCTTACTTGTGGACCTCTCGGTCACCTCTCCTTTTTGTCATTTCCCATGTGAGTCCATTGTTAGGTTCTAGGCCTGGTTGAGAAATCTCTAAACCATGCTTCTTAACTAACTCAATGTACCTGAAGTTTTAATAGAATTCCATCACAAAATGTAAAAGATGACATTGTTCTGCTACTCCAGACAAGTATAAAACTTACTTATCCGCATTGAAGTGCTCCACTCCAAGATCTTCATCCCATATAAATATGTACTCGTAAGCTGACACAACATCAGGATGCAAAAATCTCTTCGCGTACCACCTGCCAAAACCAGTAGAGAATTTCGATAAAAACATACTCGACAAAGATTTTCCAGAATGTTTAATAACCGCTCATCTTTAAACGACCAAGACGACTAACCATTTTGTTTGTTTTCTCGTACTAATATGAATCGCGCTCTTTGACCACTCGAATTGGTCCCACTCAGTTGTCCGGCCATCATAATGGAAGAGCAAGATTTGGAAATCTTCAGAAAACTGAAGAAATGACAAGAAAACAAAATCTGAGTGTATCCAACAAAGAATATATAAAAATACTGGCTAAAACACATGCCGATATTGCAGAACCTTCTTAACAACTCCATTAATATGATTCCTCTGCTCAATTCCAACAGTAAATGTCACAAGATATTTTGGCTTCTTCTTCAAATCCTGCAAAAGATTATTGATTTCACATTAAAAAGTCTAATGGCCTTCAGAGATAAACCATATCTGTTGAGAAAATAAATATAGAAACACATACTTCATTAGGTTCTCCCCACAATCTACGCAAGTAAAAATCAGTTTTCGCCACAACAATTCCTGGCGGTAGTAGTTCTGCACCACGCGGGTTAGTTGGAACATATATCTGCAATCACATAAACAGAAACGATACACTTCATCCGAGTGAGGCACTATTCTAGTACATATAATCGAAAAGCTAACGAAATAGAACCAAACTAAAAAGTTTATAAACCTCAGGAAACTTTCTTGAACCGAAATCTTCAGGCGATTTGTCACCACCAGACAACAATTTCCCATCTGATATGGCTACATCAAGAGATGATATAAGCCGCGAGGGTAAGTTAATCTGCAAGAATACAAAACAAAAAATTCAACAGGTGCAAAAATGAAAGGGACACATAAAAGGGACATATGGAAAACAAAACTCATACCTTAAAAGAAAGTGAAGGTAATGTGATACCAATGAAAGTTCCAAACACTATCCCCAAAATAGTAGTGATAATAACCTTTGCATTTTCATTCGTTCTTCGAGGAGCACCACTGCAAAGCTAACCACTAAGTAGTAATCTTCATATTGAAACCAAACTCACAAAAAAAAAACTCTTTTTTGTATTACATTCATACAGTTAAAGAAATTTACCTGCGGTGCATTGTTCCCATTAGGGTTTCTCACCCAAATACTAAAAATTCAGTCTTTTTCGCTTCAGCAAAACTTCTTGTTTAAGCAATCAAAGTACTGACCAAAAATATGAAAAAAAAAAGACTACAGATTTAGGAAAAGTTTCAACATTTTAGTAATAATCTTCCAATTTTCTTAAGTATCAAATTCAGTTGCATAATAAACGAATCAACAATCTTGAAATTAATCTTGAAAAAACAGAGAATTGAAATGGAAATGAGATTGCTTACAGGGTTTAGATCTGAACACGCCGGTGAAGAAAACTGAAAGATTAGAGCTCTCAGAGAAGATTCTCCGATCTGCGAGAGCAGAGAGTGAGAAAGAGTGTGACAGAGACAGATTTGGTGGAGAGGCCTATTTGTGATGAATTTTGGAGGTTTTTAAATTCTTAAAAGGCCCAAACTTTTTTAATTAATTAATCAAAAGATAACCTCTATTATTAGGACATTACTATTTGTGTTTTGTTCCTGTCTTTTTATTTATTCAAACTCATTTATTACATTCTTTGGAGCCAACAAGATTTGAAAATTAATTGTTTTTTTCCTTGTTGATTAATTAATGTTAGTAGACTTCTAAAAATCTTAATCAGTCAAAACTTAATTAATGTCATTTGTGTAACAAACAAAGGAAATATGATAATTAAGAAAAATATGTTGAATAAGAAGAATGTGATAAAATGGAAACATATGGGCTAAGTTTGAGAGTGAGTGAGCCCATATATGATCCATGCACATGTAGCAACTCCATGATTGGGCTTAGTATTATATAAATATTTTGTTTGTGTTGTTTATTTGTTACTTTTTTTTTCTTTTTACTGTAAATTTTGAGGGAATCATATTTTATATTAGCTTTTAGTTTTACATTACTATATGGGAAAATTAGATTGGGTACCACATTTTGCCCAAAAGTTATCACTTCTACCACATTTGAATCCCAATTATCATTCATACCACATTGTGTTTGTAAAATGACCATTTTACCCTCCAACTGGTGAGATAAGGAACTGCAGTTGATGTGACCTTTCGAAACAAAGTTGTCCCCGAGTAAATCCAGATCTTCGTCTTCGTCCCCGAGTAAGTAAACGAGGAAGATCAACACTGTTTGCTTTCATTTCAATCCAGATCTTCGTCTTCGTCCCCGAGTAAGTGAACGAGGAAGATCAACACTGTTTGCTTTCATTTCAATACTCGACAAATGAACCATCTCATTCCATGGTGGCTCGATTGAATTAGCTTTGTAATCGTGAATTATCATCGGCTCTGAATTCTCGTCGTCGTTTTGGTTTGGGACATTGAATCTGAGAGTTAGCTCTTGGATTTTTTTTGAAAACTCTTCGTCGGAGAATGGATCTAAATTTGCGCTATAAACTCTTCGAATCGAATGAGTTTTGATCGGTCTAGATGATGATGATGATGATGATGATGATTCCCATAGCTCACAGGATTTGGAGCGGTGAAGCTTCGTCGATGGAGTTCCGAAAAAATTGTCCCCGAGTGTAATAAAATTTGTCCCTGAATGTAACAAAAATTGTCTCCGAGTACAATTAATGCAGCTGTCCTTTTTTCTGACACATCAGTCTGTCGCCATCAAGGGCAAATTCGTCCATAAATTATCACATGGCAAAAAAAGTGGTAGAAACAGAAAACCTTTTCCAATTGTGGTAGATTTCAAAAGGAATCGTCAGAAAGTGGTACATTTGCCAAGATTCCCTTACTATATTACGAATTGATTAACAAGGTTTTTATATGCTTCCTGCATTTTACACAGTCGCTTCACTAGTTTACAATTTTTTAGAATTAGTAAATCATTTTAAAAGGCGATTTCGTTATTCTTGTATGGTTAAATATGTTTAATGGTGTATCACATTCTACTTTAGTTTTAGCGGTTTCAAATTGGTTAAAGAGACTTGTAACTTCAATCCGAATGTTCATATCCATCAATTTTCAATTTACTATAATCACGACAAAAATGAAAATCTATTTAACAAGAATTCAATTTAAAATTCTCTAAAATGACATTTTGGCTTACCAAAAAAAAGAATTCAATTTAAAACTCATCAACAAAGAAAGAAATAAAAAAAAACCCCTAAAATTGAGTTGTTCGTTGGGGGACATATTACAAAATACAAACTAAACAATACCAACATATTTTCTGTCTTTTCTTTTTCCCGGATAAAAATCTAAAAAAAATACATTAAACAACAGAATCAACTACACAAAAAGAAGAAAGTCAATCTGTTTTCCGGTTTGCTTGGACTACGTTTTACAATCAATAAAGAGGATCCCAATTTTGGAGAGAAACATTCAATTGGGTTGTCCTAATTAAAGAAATTAATTAGTCCTTTTTCATCTTGAAATTTCACAAGTGGGACTTAGCCCTATTTGCTCCATCTCCCAGCTTTTCTTTGAAGCTACCTTCTCATGCCTTGGTACATAATCCTAATTTTTTAAAATCAACATAAGTTAAAATTTTTGATTGAAAATAGTTAAACAAGTAAAGAAAGAAAGAAAAAGGAACCTCAAGTTTCTTGACAAGTTCTTTAGCAGAAGGAGCAGAGACAATGATATGACGAGCAGTTGGTGATATGAAACCTTCTTCCACTGCTTTGTCTATGAATGATAACAATGAATTGTAGTATCCTTCCACATTCAACAATCCCACCTTCACATTGATAAGATTAAGAATTATTCACAAAAACAACAATGTATAACCTGGTATTTAAGAAAGTAGTAATGAATTAAATAAATTTTTTCCGTCATGTATTGTTTTCTTATGTGAACGTCTAATTTATTAAAAGAAAAATTAGAGTTCGCGATTTCACTTTTCTTAGAACACATGTGAAAAATAGATGTCAATCTAATAGAAATAAAATAACGTGTTACCAAAAATATCATGTATTCTCTTAGGAGATTTTCTTTCACTATTTGTTGACAATAAGTCATATGATTGTTATTTTTCTAACATTTTATTTCCTTGTTAATTACCTAATTCAGTCTAAGATTACTTCAAGGAGCTCTTCAAGTGATTAGATAATCACTTGGGAGTGTATAATGTAAATAGAAATGGAAGCAAAATGATTACTGGTTTATCATGGATGCCTAGCTGTGCCCAAGTGATAACTTCAAGAAGCTCTTCAAGTGTCCCATACCCACCTACATAATAACATCCAACAATTTTACTAATCAAAATTTTTGTATAAAATTCAATGATTAAAAATTGTGGATATGAAACAATGCAAAAGGAACCAACCAGGTAAAGCGATAAAAGCATCAGAGTGCTTAGCCATCTCAGCTTTCCTTTGGTGCATGTCTGCTACTGCCTTCACTTCTCCCACTGTCACTCCTGTTATCTTTATTCACATTTACACATTATTGTTATTAGTATTGTTATTTTTATTACCACTCACTCACCACTTGTGTCTTCTATATATTCCAAAACAAAAAGACAAATCTCTTACACACTCACACCACTTGTTTTATGGTTTTCTTCTTCCAAAGATTTGTGAATCTAACAAAATGACTCTTAATGCTACTGTTTTAGATTCATCATGTAATATACAAATCTAGTTTTATCTTTGTGCAATCATATTTTAGCCCATTATGTTGTGAGAAAGGATAGAGGTAATGATGATTTAGTCTCTCGAGGTGTTTTCTCTTACATTTATCACTTTGACCCCTTTCGTAAAAAGGTAATCATATTTTGGAGCAACATGATTGGTGGCCTTTTTATTTTTATTTTTCATTAGAAATTAACTACACATTTCAAAGACAGACAAAATAATTTAATTATAACTAAAAAAGAATAAGATAAGGGAAACATGAAAATATCACCGGCCAATAAATTGGCCTGTTTTGTCTCAATTGAAACACTCTCTAATATGAGACAAATGTGATATACGCGTTTTAAAGATAACATTTATGAGGTTGATGTTCTTGTTAAATTATCTACCACCAATTTCTTTAAACTCTAGAATTTGTTTTTATGAAAGTGGTAAGATAAAAACAATAGTTCATAAATATGATTCTGGAGTTATATTTCGGACGTACCTCTCTTGGCATTAGTGTCTTGGGGATAACCCTGAAGACAGTAACAAGACAAAAAAAAGTTGGTTAAAAAAGTAAACGTCACAAATTCTACACGTATGCCAAAATTATCCATTTTGTTAATTAATTGTTTCTTTTTTATCTTTAATGACTACAGAACATTGAAAATTTTTAATAAACAAAAAAAAAAGTTAAAACGAACCCAATGACATGGCGACCTCCATTGAAAACAGCTTGAGAAATCAAACCCATTAAACCAATGCTCCCTCCACCATAGACAAGATCGATATTTCTCGATACCTACAAAAACAACATTTGGTTTTAGTAATTTTTGGTGTTAATTTAGTGGTCGTTGTCAAAGTTAATTGATAAAAAAGGAATGGAATTGTGTCGACAAAACAGAAAAAAAAAAGCATTACATCAAATAGTAGTGGATAAAAGATATTGTAGAAAAACTATAAAGGTGGAAACTCCATAATTACATTTTCTGGTAAAAGTACCCACGAAAGTACATGAAAAAAAAAAGATGGTAAAACAAAAATAAAGTATGAACTTTCCCATCAAAAATTCAATTAAAATACTTTTGAATTTCATACTTTTTTAAGCTCTGGAACTATGTTTCTACCACTGACCACAGTAAGTACAGATTGAAGATGATATTTCAAACAATAATCATCTAAAGAAGATAATGGAAAATGTTTTGATATGAATAGTTGACTCCACTAACTCTAAATGGCTTAAAATGCTTTAGTTATGACAAGTCAAATGATTAAACCCATTTCCTAGCAACTTGTAATACTACCTTTAATTGGGTCAACGGAAAATAAATAAATTATTAGAGATCCATCCAAACATTTTGATATTCAGGTATTCACAAGTAGTCAATAAGTCAAAAAGAAAATGATAATGAATTCTTTTTGTTTTCGTAGCACAAAATTTTTGTTCCTCACACTACTTATAAATTATTCAAAACGGAAACCAAAATAGGTTTAATTAACTCTATTATGTTATTCATGTAGTTTTTGTATTTTAACGGTTTAAAAATTTACTACAAATGGAAACTTAAGTCTTTAAACAACAAAAACAAAAGAATCTAAGTCCTATATAACTCATAGGAGAATTAGGTCTAAGACATGAGTCTTCCCAAAAACTTGGAGCTCCTAATTCTCAATTTTTTTCAAACTTGAAGTGGAGAAACAGAGCTTTTTTTCTTCTGGGTTGCTCTTAAGCTTTGAAAAATGAAAGGACTAATTTTCCTTTCTATACGAAACTAAGTTTTAAGAAAGAAAAAAAAAAGAAGAAACAAGGAAAAAAAAACAAGATTCTAAAAAAAAAAAGGAAATGAAAAAGGAAATTTACCAGTTCGGTTCCGAGTTCGATAGCAGCATCTTTGTAACTGGATTTATTACCAGCACTACTTCCACAAAACACACATATTCTCTTGAATTTTGGTTCTATCTCCATCTCTCTCTTCACACAAAGTTTTGTTTTTAGGAAAAAAAAAGATTGAAAGATGAATCTATTTTTCTCGTTGTGTGTTGGTATGAATGTTCTTTGCTCATATATATAGAATATTGGGCGGTGGGGTATATACCTAGCTCATACGCTTCCTAATAGTAAGAATATCTCAAAAAGAAACTTTTAAAATAAATAAATAAATAGTGGCTACATGAGTTTGACATTCTTTTTTTTTATAACACGAGTTTGACATTCTTCCATAATAAATAGATTAGAAATGGTTAAGAAAAAATAAAACTTAGAATAGAAATTGTCTTATTGCTTAGGTTAGTTGGAGACCAATAATATACAATTACAATGTACCGAATGTCTTGAAACAAAGGTTCAAATTCACTATATATCACTTTCTATTTAATATTACTTCAAAGTACTTCTGTTGACACGGTGTGTGTGGATGCGTTATGTTTAGAAGTTGCCGACTGATTTCTACTGATTAAGATTTTAAATTGCGATAGCAGAGGACAAAGTACAAAGCAATCAAAACAAGCAGAAAAATCCGGTTTTGATAGCCTAACCGACGGATCACCTACACATTTTAAAGAGAAGAGTTAGAAATGTCCCGAGTGTGAGCACGCAAACGAAAAAGGGACTAAATTAACCTATGTTGGTCTCAGTCCGAAGAAATTATGGACCTATCCCCACAACATTTTGGTAAAAAAAAATAAGTGTTGGAGATGGGTTGTATTCACTCTAGCTCGATCTGAATTAAGATTATTGTAAAATCCACTGAACTCGCCCATGACATCATTACCGACTTAAGAAGAAAAAAAAACTGCGAGGTAAAAAGTAAATCTTAGATAAAATAAACCGACTTAGTATGCATATAAATAGAAGAAAAATTCATTGAAAATGCATAAAAAATACACATAAAAAACAGCTCGTTGTCGAGTTAGACCACATTTATAATTCGAACTATGGATGGCTTGATCATTTTTCAAAAAAAAATTTCACAATGCACAATTTTAAAATAAAATAAAAGTCAAATTCATCGTCGGGACGGCCTATATTCTCCATATAATCGTCGAGGTAAAGTTTTAACTTTTCAACAATAAGTATGGTTAATACATAACAATCAAACTAAAACTAACGAAACAAATACAAGTTAACAAAGTTTGAACGTCGATTTCAAATGGTATAATATCTAAAAAAATATTAAATATTTTTGAAATTTTGAAAAAAAAAAGAAACAAAATTGTTAGGAGAGAATTGTTTAAATAACAATAACTTACCAAATTTTTTAATATAATATATATATATATATATATATATATATATATGATATGCTAGAAGAAAAATAAGAAAATGATTATTGCGTGTCACCGTTTTAGAATTAAATTTTTTCACCCAAACTACCTTCAAAAGAAAAAAGAACGTCTTTGTGACTCTTAACAACAAAATTATAAAATGTGCTGGTTGCAGCGCAACACAGCGCAATACTATCTCAACTGCGAAAAGAGCATAGCTCTATTCATTTGCTTGAAAATTTATTGTTTAGGTTGATCCTAACCAATCTTGTTTAGCCACTGTTCATTGAACAAAAATGGCTGAGGCGATCGACTGCACTAAATTTCGTACGTACCACATATGGAAAACACAAATAACATGAGTCGTCTCTATCACAATGGACACATATGTTACCAATTCATGTATACTATATAGAAAACCTATGCCATGCGCAAAAAATATTTTTTTTATCTAAGAAAATCATTTATTAAAATATATAATATTGGTGTAGCTTAGTACAAAAAGTTTGTAAATGTATGTGTATAAATTTCTGCCTACATAAAAAATTGTATAAGTCAAAACTAAAATTGTTATAAATCAATAACTAAATTTTATTGTTATACAAGAAACTTTTTTTTTGTTACTTATTTTTTATATGAAAACTTTAATATGATTCTTAATAATGTAAAAATTAAATGTCTTGAAAACAAAAATTTAAGATAATATTAATAAATTATTTATTATTATTATTGATGTTTACGATATTTTATTTATTCAAATCTCTAAACAATAATGATTTTCAATACAACTAAATAACAGAAAATTAAAATTTGGAAAGAGTACGTAGGATGACCAGCAAAACCCACGATCCTAAAAGAAACGTGTTAGGATTGATGTTCTTAATTAGGACCGCAAAATTTAGGGGACCAATTGGTAAAAGTCTCAAAATCAACAAAATAATTCCACGTTTGGTTTATTTTGAGTTGTTATTGTAATGGCCTAATGGGTTATTTAAGTTATAATTTTATTGAAAAGTAATAAATTCGTAACATTAAAGAAAAAACTCGGTGGCAAATCATCAAATGGGTTGGGTTAACCAGCTTTAAAACTATTGTTGAAATATATTTTGATTGGGGTAATATTTTGATTGTTTTATTTATTCTCCACCAACCGTACTAAACACAATAACCTCATTTGTTTCGTACTAATCCTATAGATTGTAATGTTTTATCTACTGCAATCATTTAGTACTGTTATTCCCCATGTCCTGATCGAAGTTCTCTTAATTTTCTCTTTTCGGCCACTTAATGTCTTAACGTTGCAAAAGTGACTTATAAATCCCAAGAGAAGACTATTTGGTTAACATTACAAATTTAATCTTCATTTTAAGAAAGTCGATAGGTGATGTATGGTCCAAATTTATGGACTGTCGAAAAGCCAAAAAAAGAGTTAAACATGTGAAAAACATGGTGGTTTAAATGAATGGTTTAAATTGATGTGAACAGCACTCTCTTTTATAAGTACCACTATTTTTTTTAAAAAAAAATCAGAATTATTTTGTATAATATCCCAGTTTTTTTTTTTTTTTTTTTTTTTAATAGCCAAATTTAGGTTGAAGTATATATATGTAAATTTCCCACTTCCTCAATAGTAAAATCATGTATTTAGCATATTGTTTTGGATGAATTTAATTTTCCTTAGTATAGATAGCATCAATTTTTTTAATTTTTTATTTCTTAAAGGTGATCCATGCTCCCTTTTACAAAAGATAGTTTAATTCAAAACTTTATAGTGTACCAATTGCAAATGCCATGAGGAATGTAATATGGAAAATTTAAACTCATGACTAACTAAAAAGTTAAAATAAATTCACAAGTCTTAACTCATATTTTGTATAATATCTGTATTTTTAAGAAACTTTTCTGTTAGGCCACACAGCAATAGTTTTAAGTGTTTTGACACAAAAACAAATTCTACGATAAGTAGATGATTTATTTGAAAATGATTTACATGGTCATACAAAAACTAAACTTGTCAAAATTTTAAGATAGCGAATCAACCATTGGACGAAATTGATTCACATTATCTTAAAATAGATCAAGAGACGTGAATACTCACTTTTGGCAGTTATATATATATATATATATACACACTTGAAGAGTATTGAAAAAATGATCAAGTTCATGTTTGATAAAAGAATCTGATCTAAAAAAACTCGATACTGATCAGTTATCTAAATGATAATAAATTTACATTTTATATCATTTTTTAAAAAATGATGCAAACCAATAGAAATTAAATCAATTTTATTTAATTGATGTAAAATTAATTAATTATAACATCAGTTAATATAATTGATGCTAAACCATATATATTTGCTTCATTTATATATAAGTAATATAAAATAACATCATTTCGTTTTGTGATTCAATTTAAGTGATACAATACACTTATTTTTTTGTAGTGTGAGATCCACCTTCACTATGATTTATTATTCACCTTAATATTTACATATAGGACATCAAAATATATGTATATATTTCCTCCGTTCTTTTATAAATGATGTTTTAACCTTATATTTTTGTTTTTAAATAGATGATGTTTCAGTTTTAAATGCAATATTAATTAGTTTTTTATTAGTTTTGACGATTTATATTATGCAGATTGTTTTTACAATTGGTTGATTAGATAGTAAATGATGTTTTAGTTTAGAAATAAACAAAAATTAAATAATTTCTTAATATGTGTGCATTTTCCTAAAACAAAAGAACGGAGAGAGTATAACTTAATAGTTAATACTTAAAAATTCCAACGTCGGTGTACATAACAAATGCCATTCAAAGATTAATAAAGTAACACTGAAATAAATTACAACACACTTATTGTAGTGATTAGTGACGGTTTGCCTTTTCTATTTTAAGACAATTTCAAAATAGATGGACATTCCTTAATTGCCAAAGAACCAAAGATATAACGACACCTATCTCATACACTAACCATTTGTGGCCTCCCCATTTTAGGAAAGTATGGTCTACCACCTTGTTTCCATCAAATTCATTTTTAGTAGATACAACAAAGCTCCAAGTTCATATAAATGATAGAATCTGTCTCGAATTTATGTTTATATGCATTGAGTATAATTAGTAAGCATATAGCATTGGATATAACTTGTCTAAAACTAGTAAAATGGTTTAATTACCATCACATGGCCAAGATATATAACGAGCTCAATAGATGAATATCATTGAACAAATGTTGGAATGTAGTATATATTTATATGCTACAAAGCGCAATCAAAGTGTTATCAAGTCCCTATATTGAACATAACTTAAAAGCTACGTTTTAGCGAAGGATTATGGCGACCAAATAATAGCAATTTAGTGATGAAAGTTCTATAGTTGACAGTTTAACGAAAAATTAGAGTCTTCTTAATTTTATGGCAATTTAGCTACTTTGTCAATGTATTGTGATTTATGGTTGAATTTACGTACGTCCTTATTTATCACCATTTAGGCATGGAAATAAACTAGCGATGATAATTTATGTGTGTTAAGTTGTCCACTGTAGCAATGTAGTGGTGAATTTATTTTCTTTGGTAAATGTATGAATTCTTTTAGTAGTATATTACCGGCTCCATGACTTGACTGAACGATCGATTAAAAAACCAACGAATTATATTTTTTCGATTATTTATTGGACTAAAAAACTCTTTTGACTATTAAAAGAAACTTATCGTACTTATGTAGATACGTTTCCATTATCATAAGCAAGCTGAAAATGCTCTCCAATATAGTGAGAGGTGAGATAATAAAGAGAAAACGTTGTGTGACCACATATACTAAAACCGAGCTTTTTAAATCGTATTTTTAATTATTGTATTTTATTTTTATCATTCAAAATGAAGAAACAGAGTAATTCGTAGTTAATATATCAGATTTCTCATTTTCATTGTTGTTATATGACAATCGAAAAATACTTAATTAATCTAATTTTTCAGTCACACTAAAACTACTCGGTTTTAGCCCAAGCAAAATGGTGCAGTGGTCGTTGGACCATGACCTAGGGGAAAGAGATAACAACATCCTCTGACTATAGTGTGTCTGAGTTCGATTTCCACTACAAACTAAGTCATTTTGTTTGGACAACTTGAACTTCTGGATTTGAAGCTCAAATAATTAACTTGTGGGTAGGTTTGCGGAAAACTCCTGCCAAAGAGTCTATTCACCTCAGGGAGTAGTGGTCCTTAGCTCCGACTGGTCGGCAACCGAATATCTTGTACTAATCTAAATACAAAAGGAAAAAAAACTAGTCCGGTTTTGGTATGATTTTCATTATTGGAGCTGAACCATCCCACGATATATAATGCAAAACAAATGTACAAAACTAAGAATGCATGATTGTGAAAAAAAGGAATAAACAAAACTACAAAAAATGTAAGAAACGTATCACATGGAGGAAGAAGGAGAGGGAGGTACAGAGTACGTCGTAGGGGACCCCTATTATATCTTCTTAGTGTTCGACAGAGTCATTGTCTTCAATTTATAATGAGTTTTATTAAGTGCTTGTGAGAGTTGTGACACTATCTTCTATTAACCAAATCAAGTTTCAACATTATACATGAATTGTTGCTCTCAATGTTTTATAACTTTGACTTTTGTTGCTTCATATTTATGTAAAACCTTTGACATCTCAAGCTTTCCCAAAGACACAGTTCAGATACAGGAAAATGATGTACTTGAGGAGTTGAAGAATAAAAGTTGGGATTATTGTTGATTTTGCCCTTTTTTATTAAAATCTTTTGAAAATGCCATTTTCATTAAAATCTTACGGATTTGCCATTTTTTTACACTTAAAAATGTACGTATTTCGGATTTTTTTTGGTAAAAATACGTAGTTTATACAAAATACTAAACCCTAAGAACAACCACAACCGACTAAACCCAAACATAACGAATAAAACGCATGTTAAATCATATTTTCGTGGCCTGAAAAAGGGCAAAATCCATAAACTATTCAAAAAAAGGGCAAAATCCACAAATGCCATCCAAAAAAATGGCAAATCCATAATTGATTCATAAAAGTTAGATCATTATTCTTTTGCATGTGGAGGCTGTCCTGTAAAAGGCAGAGTTGATTTTTTTTTTCCTAAAATATATTTATTTGTATATTTACGAGATTACATTTTTTTGGTACATTGTTATATCATTAAATTACGTTAATTGATTGAATCATTGACGTCCTAAAATACTGCATGCATCCTCTGCTACGATGTCTCTTGCCACTGACATTTCCTTTCAACCGTCTATTGGTCAATCATCACAAATTCTTCTCGCACTAATTCACCGAGAGTAGGATTCTATGAGTAAAAATACGTAGCCATACGCCAAAAAGGATTTAAACCACTTATACGTAATTCAAAAGATTTTTTTTTTTCACGGCTTTAAGCAAAGTAAAGCTTGTGTCCCCTATTATCTAGTGAGTGACACAATTTATTTTATTGTGAACAATGTTCTACATGTCATCTCATAGACGATGAAGTTTTTCTAAATTAATATATTCCGTGTTAGTATTTGTAAATACCATATATGACTAAATAATGTTTTTATTAGTCCTTTACGATGTCTTGAGTACTTCTCACAAACCTTAAACTGCTCCAATGGGAAAATTTAAAAGTTTGCAGTAGTACAAATCTACAACACGTCTATGATAAATTTACCTCGACTTTGCAGATTTCTTTCTCTCTACTAAGTGATGAATTTGCAACGACTTAATTATCTTTTAGGTTATCTCCTTATTAATTAGTTATTAACTAGACCATAAACACACATTGTATCTACTTATATGAATGTTGTACGTACAATGATAAGTTGTTCCAACGATGGGATTCGAATAAAACGGAACATGTGTAAGAGACCATAGAGACAGAAGAAGTGGAAATCCCGTGTTACCATCTCTATCTTTGCTCTTTTGTCTGAAGTCAAATCACTCATCGTCAAATTAGTTGCACACACACACACAATGACACAATGTACAACACTTCATCACCAGGTTGAATAATAGATAAGTCTCCAGATTATTCTATTAACTTTTTTGCAGACCCAAAATTATGTGAAATTGGTGGGAATCCAACTACGAAGCCACCGAAGCAGTATTATTAAGAAACTTGTAGGGTGCAATGGGCAAAATAGGCCTTAATCCAAAATGTTGTCTCTATTTAAGGTTATTTTCACTAAGACATGTTCCCACATGAAACATCTTTTTACATCTCTATGCAAATCACATCTTGTCCCTCATTTCCTTTGGAACATCATCCATCATCTTCACTTATTATCCTCCAGCTTTTTTTTCCAAAATAATAATTATTTCCTTCCCTAATAATTATGTAGCTGACTAATTTGCTCTTATTATTGCACAGTTTATTATTATATATTAGTTTAAAACTACTGGTTACTCATCCGATTTAATTCAGTTCAACATTATATTGGATATATTAAATTAAATTAGAAAGTGCGGTAGTGGTAAATTATTTGTGAGCTTATTTGTCTTAATTATTTTATGAATTTTTCTTATTTATTAATTAGGAAGAAGAGAATAAATATTTATATCCTCCATATTTTTCTTTTAAACCAAAGTAAATTCTTAAAACAAAATTGAAAAAAAAAATTATTATCCCAAAAGAATTGTATGGAAAAAGTTGAATCAAATCAATATCAAAATATCCATATTTCTCATACAGATTTATCACAAAAATGTTTTTACTCATAACACTAAATATGAATTTAATATTTAATCCTTTACATCAAGGCAATATATCTTCAAGTTGATAAATTGTATAATTTCTTAGATTACCAAACTAAACCCAAATTATTTTATAGAAATAAATGAATATAAAACATCACGCTTTTAAATATTGAACAAATTTTCTAAAATAGGAGGACTGTTTATAAAACTTTAATTTTAATTATTGTTAAACCATTGACGAAGTACCTAATTACATGACCTTTCGTTAAGATTTTTATTTGAAGTATTTTAACGAGTGTTGTCCTTTTTAATGGTCGTCTTATCCGGAATTTAGAAAGATGATTTTCTCACGGAACAAAATGTAACAAAGAAAGTTGTAGCTAGCAACATCATAGTGATTGAACAACAACCAACCTAAAAAAGAGCCAATAGTAGATTAATTTTTCTAATAAAAGGTATGACACGCATTCAATAACTCAATAAAGTGAATGGAGAGATTAAAGAGACGTGTTAAATGAAATTAATAGATATGTGTCATTGTAAGAGACATTTTCACATCTCCATCTACAACTTCTAGTTCACTATCTCTAATTTTTCTTGTAGATGTCAAAATCTAATATTAATTTTGAATTGGATCTTATCCTTATTTTAAAGAAGAGAATTGACTTTTATTTATCCTTTCTCCAATTCACTTTTGTGTCCTATAAAATAACGTATGTCGACCAAAAGACTAATGATGATGTAACATGGGTCTCTAAATCCACTGTTATATATTTGTGTAAAGTCACTAACCTTATGTTTGTGTGGGAATTGAAATCTTTCTCACCATTTAATTTGGATGCGCTCTAGATGGACTAGCCAACTTTTTTCCGGTGGATTGTTGGAGCCAATGCTCCACTCCATATTGCCTATATTTTATTTTTGTAATCTTATCCAAAAAAAAGTTTTTGACATATTTTTCTGATCATTTTTCAACTATTTAAATCGGAAATGATTTTTTTTTTGTTAAAGCATTTAAAAGGAATTTTATATTGAGCAATTTAGGCGATTGTCTCTGATTCTCTATTGATAAATTCATTTTTTTGTCAACAGATTATATATTATTAAAAAGATTCCGAAAGTCAAATCGGAGGAATGTTGTTTACATATGACATAAGATGCGGAAGAACACGGATATTTCATGCTAATTTATCAACTTTTACATTAGCATTACGAGAAACTAGTTTCAAGGTAAAAGATTGAAACGCTTCTTTATTCTTCTCAAGCTGGCCACTCTGTTGCTGCTCCGTGATGAAAGTAACATCGATCATTTGTTCACCAATTCATTTTCTTTTGATCTATTTGACTGTGTTAAAAATAAATATCAACTGATAAATAAAAACAAGTTATATATTATCTATTCTAATTTCTATGAAAAGAATAAGGGAGGGAATATTCCAATGTTCATACAAAATGAAAAAAATATCAAAGCCACCTCTCTCATTGCCCACGTCTCTTCTCTAAGTTTGTGGACACTGTCTCAACTATCCACATCTGTTACACTCATCATTTTTGGTTATTAATGCGGTCCTCAAAGCAAGAGTCACAATCTGCACTATCACATATTATACTTTTCTCTCTTATTCTTTTATCGCATTATATAACCAAACTTTCACGTTTTGTTTTGCTCTTCTTCGGTTAAAATTAAGTTACTAAACAGAATTTTGATCTCTAGATGTGAAACTTGGTTCGAATACGGAAAAAATACCGTGTGAAATGGTAGATAATTGAAATGAAGAACTCATTGTAGCATTTAGAGTGTTTCACTTTCACTGTCTCAAGTTAAAGCCGAGCCGTTGGTCGGAATACAAGGGTCTTTGAAACAATAGAAAAGAACCAAAACATGTCATGTGCCGACATTGTTCCTGATCTTTGGATTTCAGATTTAAAATGCGCAGTCTCTTATAGATATTTATGAACACTAAGATGCAGTCAATACATCTTCAACATTGGATATTGGAAACTATCTTTTTAGGCGATACATGCGTCTAGATTTACGGCTTTCATTCTTGAAAATGATACAAGAAAATAAAGTTGCTTAGAGTTTGTGATAATTAGATATTAAAAGTTTTACAACTTAATCTAGATGAAATGAACTAAACATCTTCCTTGTCTTTTGACTCCTCTGCTTTGCTCTCTTCGGTGACCAATGAATTCGACTCAACACAACTTTCTTCAACAACAGCAACAGCAACAGTTGTACCGTCAGATTCACCGTCAAGTCTGTCTGATGGATTCTCGGCATTTTTTTCCTCTGTCTTGGGGAGGGATGAAGGCGATTCTGTACCTTCAGAAACCATGGTTTCTAAGTGAACGTGCGTGCCTCTCATTGCATCTGGGGATGGCGGTAACTGAACTTGAGGTTGTGACGAACATCCGGTAGAGACATCAACTAACTCACATTCAGCAGTTTCCACTTGATCTTTATCCTCAATGTTTGTTTGCTCAACTGTAAGAGACAATGAGGGATCGACATCAGCTAATGTACCCTCAGCATTTTCTTCCTCTGTCATTGGGAGAGATGAAGGGAATTCTGAACCTTCAGCAACCACGGTTTCAGAATTCTTTGCTGCCTCTAAGTGAACGTGCATACCTTCCTCTGGCTCTTCGGATGACGATAATTGAAGTTGAGGTTCTGTTGAACATCCAGCAGAGACGTCAACTAAATCACATCCAACAGTTTCAATTTGAATTGGATCCTCAATATTCTTTTGCACAACTATAGGAGACAACGAGGGAAGGATATCAGCTAATTGGCTCTCGGTAACTACGGTTTCAGATTTCTTTGTTTCCTCTAAATGAACATGCGTACCTTCCACTGGCTCTGCGGACGGCGGTAATTGAACCTCAGGTTCTGATGAACATCCGGTAGAAACACCTACTAACCCACATCCAGCAGTTTCAACTTGACCTTGATCCTCAATGTTCTTTTGCACAGCTGTCAGAGAAGATGAGGGCTCGATATCAGCTAAGTGGCTCTCAGCATTATCTTCCACTGTCATTGGGGGAAATGAAGGGAATATTGTACCTTCGGCAACCATGATTTCAGATTTCTCTGTTTCCTCTAAGTGAACATGCATATCTCCCTCTGGCTCTGCGGATGGTGGTAATTGAACTTGTGGTTCTGACGAACATCCAGTAGAGACATTAACTAACTCACATCCAGCAGTTTTAACTTGATCTTGATCCTCAATGTTCTTTTCCACAACCGTAGGAGACGATGAGGGCTCATTTTCTTCCTCCGTCAATGGGAGAGAAGTGAGTCCTGTACCTTCAGTAACCACTGGCTCTGCGGATGGTGTCAGTTGAACTTGAGGTTCTGACGAACATCCGGTCGAGACATCAACTAGCCCACATCCAACGGTTGTAACATGATCTTGAGCCTCAATGTTCTTTTCCAGAGCTGTAGGTGATGATGAAGGCACAATATCAGCGAGTTGGGTCTTGGCAATTTCTACCCCGGTCATTAGGAGGGAAGAAGGGATTTCTGTAGCTCCAGCAACCACTGGCTCTACGGATGTCGGTAATTGAACTTGAGGTTCTGTCGAACATCCGGTAGAGACAACAACAAATTCACATCCAGCAGTTTCAACTTGAGATTGATCTTCAATGTTCTTTTGCACAGCTGTAAGAGACGATGAGGGCTCAGTGTCAGCTACTTGGCTCTTGGCATTTTCTTCCTCTGTCTTTGGGAGAAATGAAGAGAAGTCAGTACCTTCTGCAACTACTTCTGATTTGTTAGCCCCTAAATGAACGTGCATATCTCCCACTGGCTCTGCAGATGGCGGTAATTGAACTTGAGGTTGTGTCGTACATTCGGCAGAGACATCAACTAACTCAGATCCAGTAGTTTCGACTTGACTTTGATCTTGCTCAATGTTCTTTTGCACAACTGAAAGAGACAGTGAGTGCTCAATATCAGCTAATTGGTGTAAAGACACATCAGCACTTGTCTCAGTGTTGCAAATATGATCCGCATCAGGTTCTTTGGATTCTTCAGTATCCATTTGATCAACCAAAATGGATGGCCCGGGCTGGATATCAGCTAATTGGTGTAAAGACACATCAGCACTTATATCAGTGTTGCAAATATTACCTGCACAAGGATCTTTGGATTCTTCAGTATCCATTTGATCAACCAAAATGGATGGCTCGGCCTGGATATCAGCTAATTGATGTAAAGACACATCAGCACTCTCTGTACCAGGTTCTTTCGATTCTTCAATATCCATTTGATCAACCAAAATGGATTGCGGGGGCTGGATATCAGCTGATTTATTCTCCAGCATAGCAGATCTGATATCTACCTGAGATTCCACAGACCCTATGCAAAATTGATCTCTTGAATCCCTTTGTTCAACTACTTCTGACGGTTCACAGAGTGATAAGCTATTTCTGTTCTCATCCTCAGACTGGATAGAAGATGAAGGCTGACACGTCTCACCTGAATTTTTGCCAACATCAATATAGGTACTGTTCTGCATGGTATCCATTTGCTCACAGTTGCCATCGTCTGGTTGTCCTGGTACATCGCCGGGCAAGATACTTGGAGACTGAATTTTCTCAGACTGGGAAACCACAACGTCTGGCACTACTCCATGAGGTGATGCAGGCACATCCACGTTCTCTTGCAAATTTTCAGGGACTAACCCACCAACTAGGGGAATGTCTGTTTGATCCTGAGACACTTTTAAATCATGTGATCCATCTGGGACCAGCTCAGATGAAATATTCATTTTTTCGTCACTAGCCATACTTGCTAGTTGTCCTGCCACATCGTCCGGTAAGATACTTGGAGACTGATTTCCCTCAGACTGGGAAACCACAATGTTCAGCGCTGCTCCGTGAGGTGATGCAGGTACATCCACATTTTCTTGTAAGCGTTCAGGGTCTATCCCACCAACTAGGGGAATGTCTGTTTGATCATGTGATACTTTTAAATCATGTGACGCATCAGGGACCTGCCCAGATGAAATGTTCATTTTTTCGCCATCAGATATACTTTCTGATACCTCATTTCCCCTATCAATACCACTTGAATCTGCATGAGCATGTGTCTCTGATTCAAACCCCTTATGTTCCATCACTTCCATTGTTGGACAGGAAACAAGAGACTCTCCATGTAAGTCATCTCCTTCATTGTCTTTTATCTTCTCAAAAGGGTTCTGGCTAACAGCATCATCACTGGTCATATGGGATTGAAGAGTTTTCTCTTTCTCCTCACTCTCAACTGAACAAACCACTAGAAGCTTGGCATCATCGGTATCCTCCATCTGTGTGTTAGCAGTACCACCTTTAGGCCTATCAACACCTTCAACCGAAACAGATTCTTCAGGATATTGTTCTGTACCAGCATCATCACTGGGTATATGGGATTGAAGAGTTTTCTCTTTCTCCTCACTCTCACCTGAACAACCCACTAGAAGTTTGGCATCATCAGTATCCTCCATCTCCATCTGTGTGTCAGCAGTACCAACTTTAGGCCTATCATCACCTTGTACCGAAACAGATTCTTCAGGATCTTGTTCTGTATCAGCATCATCACTGGGTATATGTGATTGCAGATTTTTCTCTTTTTCCTCACTCTCAACTGAACAATCCATTAGAAGTTTAGCAGCATCTGTATCCTCCATCTGTGTGTCAGCAGTACCACCTTTAGGTCTATCAACACCTTCAACCGAAACAGATTCTTCAGGACGTTGTTCTGTATCAGCATTATCACTGGGTATATGGGATTGAAGAGTTTTCTCCTTTTCCTCACTCTCAACTGAACAACCCACAAGAAGTTTGGCATCATCAGTATCCTCCATCCGTGTGTCAGCAGGACCAACTTTAGGCCTATCATCACCTTGTACCGAAACAGATTCTTCAGGATCTTGTTCTGTATCAGCACGTTTAGATATAGGTTCATAATCTTTCTGGTCAAGAGACATGGAGTTCTCATTGCTTGTAACTGAAACCAATGCCTGCATGGCAATGCTACTGTGACCCTTTTGTCCAACATTTGACAGTTCATCAGTCTCCAGCATAGACGATTGAATTTCAACAGAATTTTTTGCCTCATCTTCTTTCACCATCTGATTTACAATATCAACAGATTCTCCATCCACATGTGTAACTTCATCTGTTCTGCTGGCTTGAATTTCCTCAGAATTTGTCACAATCTTGGAGTTAACATTCGTCTGCTCTTCCAGACTTCGGAGGATAGCTCCTCCTTTATCAGCATTGAGATTTTTACATTCATCTTGAAAAGAAATATTTGTTTCCAACTTGTCAGTAGGTAGAGGTTCCACAGTTGTTGACGCAGATGCAATAGGCTCAGATGGATCATAACTCAATGAAGATGCAGTTTCTTTTATCAAGTCTACACCCACGTGGCATGTTTCACCATGACTAGCATGCGTGGTTTCACCTTCTTGAGACAATTTTTCTTCCACAAGCTGATCTGCAGTACACTTTTCCAAAGAGAGTTGTATTACAGAAGAATTTACTTCACCACCTGGAATCTTGACAAGGTCATTCTCGGCAGCAACCTTAGACGACCCAGTGTCACCATCCTTGTTTGCAACTGATCCTGAAGTTGTCAGATCACCAGTAACAGGGTGAGGAACATCTGAGACCTGTTTTTCTGCCTTGCTCAGGTTATATGGAGTTTCTTGATTCTTAAGACCAGAAGAATCCTCTGCCTTGTGGGTCTCAACTGTGTGCAAATTCATCTCACCTGGGGATTGTGCGTCAGGCACATTTGTTCTTGTTGTTGCAGACGGCTCTCCAACTTTATGTTTTAATAGGGAAGTCTCTGAAAAGATCTCTTTCATGACACGAGCAACATCAGTTACATCAGCAGTTTGTTTCCTAGCAGAACCACCAGTACCAGAGATGTCTCTTCTACTCTCCTGACTCAAACTGCCAGAAGAGTGAATATCCGGTGCAACTGCCTGGCTGAATTGGGGTTGTTCTTTGGCAACAGCATCAAACTTAGCTTTGGTGCCTGATGAATTACCAACCTTGACATCTATTTGTGGTGTTAATCCTGTACTCCTTGCAGAAGAGCCATCAGTAGCAGGTGAAGGTTGGCCACGCCTCTTTCCTTGGCGTTTAGGAGTTTCTCCTCTGCTTGGCAAATTGCGCCCTCGCCTCTTAGCAGGCAGGGCTGCAGGAAGAGAAGGAACATTGGCTTCTTGAGCTACAAAGATGACATGTACAACACGGAAAAAAATTAGAAATCAGAGCAGTTTTCAGAAAGTTACGATGCTTTATAGATTTATACCTTCAACCGCAGAACCAACAAGTTGAGAAGTCACTGGCAGAGTAGCATCAGAAGGTGCAGTTGTCACACCTGGCAAAGCTGTATATGTTCGACCCTCTACAGAGGCTACTGAAGGACGTTTGGATCCATCACAAACAGAAGAGACAGCACTCTGATTTTGCACTGGGCCACCACCTGCCAAAATATCATACAAGTTATAACTACACCTCCTAGATGAATATGAAAACTACAAAATGATGTTTGATTTACTTACCCGACAAAGTAGAGCTAGTGGAGACTGGCAAGTCAAGTGGCTGTTTATTAAGTCCTGGATGCTGGGAGCTCACACCTTGAATCAAAGGCCGCTTCTTTACAGCAGCTGCTTTTCTTTCCAATGAATTCTCAAGAACATTTAGCGTCTCAACATGGGATCCTGAATCAAAACCAGGTGGTGCATCTAGGTCATTATCTGCTGCTTTGTCTGATCGGACTGCAGTAGTAGCAGAATGCACGGGAGGTACTGGGTCAGGATATGAAGTACTTCCTTCACTAGGTTTAGGGACTCTAGAAACAATCTCAGCTGCAGAACGAGGAAGAGTAAAGTTTGTGGCGTCTGGATCACTTGCAAGAGATGTAGCGGTTTCAGTTCTTTGAGTAATAGAACTGTTGGAACCATGCAATACACCTTCAACTCTTCTTCCCCTTCCTGCTCCACGCCCCCTGCTTCTTCCCCTACCTCGACCTCTTGTTGGCGTAGGAGCAGGAGATGCTGGCAGCGATTGAAAACCAGGAGGAACAGATAAATCAGGCGAAGTCAGGGCAATAGACGAACTAGGATGAGAAGCTGCTTCTAGCTTTTTATCTGGACTAACAAAATCAAGACCAGTCACAGCCGATGATAGTGCATTCCCTGTTGTCTGTGTCCTGCTTACAGCTGATAATGATACCGGAGTCAAGGCTTTATCAGTTCTCTTCGGCCTACCTCGGCCCCGTTTTATAGGTTGTGTTTCTTCTTTCAGTGTCTGTGGCTGTGGCCTTACAGGTTCCATTGGCTGTACAGATATTGCCTGTATCGGAGATGTAGGGAGTAGTGTGTCACTAGAGTTTTCAACCGGAATATTTGATGTATCATTCGCCAAGCTCTTTTCACTTCCTTCGCCCATGCCTTGGGGAGAATCAGGTGACTCGGTTTGACACAGCTTCTCAAACTCCTCCTCTGTTAATTTCTCTTCATAAGACCGGACCTAATGAAGTTGCAATATTTGTCATTTTATAGTAGTAAGTAAAAATGCTACATGCAGTATCATATTACAAAGAGAAAAGTCAACAAACCTCTCTTGCTCGTTTCCCTCTTCCATATTGGTGAGTATCTAGGCCTCCCATAGAACCATCCTTCCGTTTCATGCCAACAGTTGATTCTTTTGCAACCATCGGGACATCATTTAGTTTCATTGTCTCATATAGTAGTTTTAAATCATCTTCAGTAACAAGCCGAGAGGGTATAGGTGGTACATGGGTAAAACTATCTGACCCTGGCCCATGTACCAATGTATTCCATGTTTCCTGCAGGGGCATATCTTTTTCAGATAAACATCATTAAACAAAATAACCCGAATTATAAGAACAAGCATACCATCTCATTTTCTTTCCTTTGTTTGTCGATGGACTCAAAAATATCAATCTCTGACTCCCTAGAAAGACAACAAAAAATGTCAGATCTGCAAGAAAGTTGACAAAAAATCGAGATGCATGGAAATGTAAAAAGATTGTCAGCTAAGAATTAGAAAGGAAGCCAAGCTATAAATTAACACAGAACACATGAAAAAACCCTGTAGATGCTATGCAAATACAAAATAATACGTAAAGATACGATAGCAGATAACTATTTACACTTAGAAAGTACAAATATTTTGTACAAATTGTTGGCAGTAATCTTGATAGAATTGCTAGATTTATCACAGTGCAAAAGCAAAGGAACCTAACTATCAGGATAATTAAAAAACCATGTATGCATAGGCTGTTGTAAAATTAAAATATGTACACAAGTAAATTATTCTGAATAAAAAACGATACGAAAAAGAGCAGCCACCTTCGAGCTATAAGATCATTTAAAGCATCATCATCCAATACTGGAGCATCTTCCTCTTTCTTTGATTCACGCAAAAGGGATTCCAAATATTCCTTACGATCTTCAGCACTGTTACAAAGTAAATTATTTTTTTTGAGAATTGGTAGTTGAAACTTGTTGAAGCATAAAAGGGATGTCTCTCAATTCACCTCGTGTTATTGTCAAAGAAGCCGGCGGTTATACTCTGGTTAGCAACTCCAAGTTTGTGCTCAGCTGAAGCTCTGACTTGCTCCTCAACAGAATTGACCTTAGGATACAATAAAGGACGAAAGACAAACAAACAGTTCAGGCAGCTTGATTATATATAATCACACGTCGATTGAAAGGGAACAAGCCAAGAAACAGTTAGTATCTCCCAAGAACACTGCACTGTTCTATGTGCCCCATTAGTCATGTTGAACAGTCATAGATTTAGGACAGCAACACTACATTATGTAGCCCAATGACGAAACAACAGAAACTAAATCACCAGGGCAAAAGTTACAACCATTCACAAATCAACCCATTTATTCAGATGTTTAATTTTCTTGAACACAATAAATAAAAAACACTAACCGTTTCAAAACGAAGAACAAGCACATCTTTTTTCTGGCCAATCCTGTGAGCCCTTGCTTGAGCTTGTAGATCAACCTGAAATGTATAATAAATGCTGCTTCAAATCCGGCCTAATGTCCACAGTATTCAACTATAACTTAATATAAGGAAATGTTATGTCTAACCTGAGGATTCCAGTCGGTGTCGAATAATATCACAGTATCAGCAGCTTGAAGATTAACTCCTACTCCACCAGCCCGTATGCTGAAATTCCATAAAAGATTCAGCAATCACATACAAATACATACTAGTAGTAGTGAACGCCCAAAAGTTTACAACTTGTAGTATTTTGGAACATAACTAAATCTATTAAGACTGAACATGAATCATCCACGATAGATATTAGAGCTACAGAAACCCAGGCCATAATATATGATGCATCACCTCAACAGAAATATGAAATATGGGGAACCAGACTTGTTGAAACCATCGATAAGAGCACCACGATCACCCCCAGATGTCTGCCCGTCCAGCCTAAGGTATTTGTACCCCTTTAAGGTGAGGTAATCCTCCATAACATCAAGAAGCCTCGTCATTGTAGAAAAGAAAAGAACCTGCGGGAATTCATGCATGCCAAAAATTCAAGTAACAACCCATTTATAAGCTTCTGTATTAAATTTAAGGTAAGCATGCAAAAAAGTTACAAATTATGATATATTATTATGATTTAAGGTAAGCATGCAAAAAAGTTACAAATTATGATATATATGTGCGTTTCACAAATAACAGAAAATTTATAGGTGACTTGAAGTTCTGCGTTAAGCGATATGGAAGCAACCAAATAAAGGAAAAAAAAAAAACAGTAATGCTTCATCCAATCAAAACATAATTTCAAAAACTTTTCGTGATAGACATGTTAATCCTTCAAAGGCGAAGGCAATGCAAGGTACTCTAGCACACTACTTGAAAACACTTTGTCCAACTTCAATAATCAGCTTTCATCATTGAATCATCAAAACTATTCTATCATGAGGGAGAAATCATTACCCGATGGTCTGTTGCTTTGAGTTTAGGTAACATCCGATCCAACATCTCAAGCTTCCCACACAGTCTTACAATTGGGGGCAGGAAATGCTTAGGAATTATGTTATTGACCTAATAAAAGAGAACTGCCCTTCGTTAGGGTTGTCCATGGTGTGCTAACCAACGCTTCATTGCATTTACATAAATAATTCCAGATAAAATGAAAACCATTACCTCCTCTGCATGCAGTTGGCTTAGATATGGATGATTGCAAATATTCCGAAGCTCCATTACTGAGTTGTGCACTGCACGAGACTGTAAACAAAAGAAAATAACTAAAAATATTACTCAACATTATTGCAAAACTGCCAACACCTGGAGCATAAAACAGCACCTTCGCATTTCCAATTGAACCCAAATTATCCTCAACCCTCTTCATCAACAGCTTCTGATAAGCAGAAGCCTCACAGCGTATCAATCTCTCTATCTTTTCAGGAAGCTCATTCTCAACCTACCAAAATAAATTAGTATGTTAAATAAAACTTAAAATAACTGAGATAAGTGCATTGGAAAGTATCCTTCCATATCTCAGACATATTAAAGTAACAAAAAGGAGATATTAAGTTATGAACCTTATGTTTCAGCCGACGCAGCACAAATGGTCGAAGAACTTGGTGAAGTCGATTGATGATCAGTAGATTCTCCTCTTCTGATAGCAGCGCCTAGTCAGATGGCAACCATAAGTGTGTAGTTAAAACCACAATGTCTTAAGAAGTGTATACTGTATACTAGTTAGTACTTTAATAAACACAGGCAATGCTACCTCTTCGGCAGTATTTTCTCCATTACTTTGAAATGGTTTGTTGAACCACTGTGAAAAGTCTTCTGATGAGTTGAATATATTAGGCAGCAGGAAATTAAGCAGCGCCCACAATTCTTCTAGGTTGTTCTATAAGAGATGTAAATAATGAGATTGTGGGCAATGCCAACAGCAGGAAATAGTAACAAACATGATCGGGAAAGAGTATGCGTCAATATCAAGATGAGGATAGAAGGAGAAAGAAAGAAACAGTACCTGCAATGGAGTCCCCGTTAAGAGAAGTCGGTGGGAGCTAACATAGTGTTTCAGGTCTGCATTTAACTTGCAGGATGCATTCTTTATGCGATGTCCTTCGTCAATAATAATATAGTGCCAGTGAATCTTGCTTAATTTAGGTCTATCATGCTTGTTCATTAGATACTCATATGTTGTCAGAAGGACATTGAACTTCTGATGAACAATTTGCTCCCTACAATGAAAAAGGAGATAGTGAACCTTAAAATCTGAGACATAAAGGACAAAAAAAACAAAATTTGCGTCTCTTTACTTGAATAGTTTGCGCCTTTCCTCAGGAGGCCCACAGTAAACAATTTTATGAATCGATGGGGCCCAGAAGTTAATTTCTGACTGCCAACCAGGCAGAACCGAAGATGGTACAACAACCAAGAAGGGACCTCTATCATTTTTTGTCTCCATCAGATAGCATATCAAAGAAATAACCTACAAAAACGAAAAAACAAAAAACTTTATAACTTATTGAACAAAGGCATCTTATAAGAAAAACTAACATGTGTGCCTATATTACAAATGGTATAGCATTAAATACCTGAACAGTTTTCCCGAGACCCATCTCATCAGCTAAAATGCCATTTAAGTGATTGTTGTACAGTGAAAGTAGCCACCTTAAGCCATTCATTTGGTACCTAAAATGTCAGGTTTTGTAGTTGTAAACATCCCACGCAAAACTATTACCAAAAGGTTCTCAAATGTATAGTAAAGCGGGGCATGGTCCACTTACTCTCTTAACTTTCCACCCACTAGGCACGATGGCTGCTCGTTAATATTTTCTTTTATACTGCAAAAAAAATCTTGTGAATAGATGAATGAGGAATGATATCCACAAATGACTTTATTTACAAACAACATAACCACCTTTTCGAGAAAAAATAAAAAGGTAAGAAAGATGACAACTCACATAAGAAACAGAAAGTTAAAACGTTATAATGTCATTAAGGGTAATGTTTAGACTGTGACTGTAGGATGCAGAATATTACCTGTGAGCCATCAAGTAGTATTTTTCGTTGCTTTCCAGGTAGTGCTGTATAGTATGTATTGTAACCATCAGATGGAAGAAAGCTCACCATAAGAAAAAAGGAATACTTGGGAAATAGAACTTGCCTTTGCTTGGTCGCTCTCATCTTCATTTTCAATCGCAGTTTCATCTTCGGTAGCATTTGAATTACGCGCTTCATCTGCCTCATTCTCAAATCGACTGGTCAAGGATTTAGCCTCCTTTAACTTGGATCCAAGTTTCTGAAGGTACTTTTCAGTCTCTTTGAGTAGTTGCTTTACTCGATCTGACTTGGCATCCTACATATTCACCAATATTCATATTTACACACCAGCATCAAAGAAGCAACATAAACCTAAAACTTCCATACTCAGTTCAGAGACCAAACCTGGACCATTCGCAGATAACCCTCCACATCATTAATCTTTAACAAATTAATCTTCTCACGTTGAATTTTGTCAATCTTTTCGCGGTGAAGCCGTTCCTTTCTTTTGTGGAACTCCTTCACATACCTATTGAAACCCTTCAACCTTTCTCTCCTAACTTTAAACAAATCCTCTAGTTTATCCCTATAGCAGGTTTCAAACAAGGATTAAGTACAAAGCAGTATAAAAAATATCGTCTACTATTCGATTCACCTAATAAGAGAATGAATTAGGTCAGAAAATTAATTGCACATACTTGTGAACTTCTAATCCCCCAAAGAACTCCTTCTGTCTCTCACGAATTCTTCTTTGTCTCTCTTCCTTCATCTTCTGCTCATACTTTTCAAGCTGCTTAATTCTCCGGCCATGCTTATGTTTCTTATATGACTTTAGATGCTCAACATCAGTTGCAATAGGTTTGAAGAAGTTGTAAACGAACTCACTGCTTAAACAAGTCAACAAAACAATAGCAGCTGAGAGGTGATACAACAGGTTGAATATGTATATGCACATATTTTACAGATATAACAAATAGTTTGCATCCTCTGTAGTATAACAAAGACGGAATATCTAGTTCTATCCCTGTTACTTCGACTTATTAGCATAATAGATATAAGAAGGCGAAACATCTCCTTCCTAATAATTTTTAAAGCAAATAACATACACCTACCTCCTCAATCGCCGTTGTAGATTTAACAGCTGAAGCTTTTTCAGTTCTATTACACTCTTGGTTTTTGCAGATATATCCTCAGACAAACTCACAGATTCCTGCAGATTAGGGTACATGAATCAGTGTTATCCAGATCCAGAATATATAATAGTAAGAACCTAATACTGTTAGGACACAAGTACAACTAGTTCCTTAGTGTATCTACAAATGTGAAATACAACTAGTTCTTCAGTATTACGTCAAAAATGTGAAGGTCATTTCAACAAAATTACCCCAAGGCCAAAACAGCTAACTTCGCAGTTATTTAAAATATGAAAAAGCGAAAAGAAGAACTGCATCACAGGAAGTCTTTTTAGTGGATGTTGTAAACTGAAGAAAATCAGTTTAATGGAAGACAAATACATAAAAGAGGTTACCCATGCTTGCCTAAGACAACTTGCTATGTCATCGCACTGAGATCAAATTTAATATATTGGCTTAATTAAAATTATTCCCAGGATCAGTCGGACAGGTTCTAGTGGGCAGAGCTGAAGATGGAATAGCTAAAAAGTTTACCCGATCACAATGTCAGGTACGCCTATATCTGTATGATCATTGATCTGTTCCAATAACTAGAGTAAGAACACAGAAAAGCAAGAACCACCACAAACAACAAGCAATAGCATAATGCAAAAAGTTGACAACTGGAAAAATCAATCACTCGTGAAAACAAAAGGTATCACCAACTAAAAGAAAAATAAGAAGAGAGAAGGGAGGGGGCTAGAGAGAGACCTTCAACTCATTGAACCGTGCACCAATTGCCTGGTCGGCTTTCTGCTGTTTAAGGGACCAACTGCGATCAACCAATAGTCTCTTATTCTGTCGACCCATAATCCATTTCTGTGACATGGTGTACTTAGGCGACGGTTGCAAATTACCTTCCTCTTCATCTGCTATGTGCCATATATCCATGTTCGAAGAGTTATCAATCAAATTAGTTCACAATACTACTATCCAAAAGGGAAAGACCCATCAAACAAACTTATCTAAGGTAGTCCACTAACCAGAAGCATGAAAATCATCGAGTTGAACAGCAGAAGTTGAGAGGTCATTAGTTTTGATTACTCCAGTCCACCCCACCAAATCTGATGGTGTGTGTTTGGTCAAACCAGGAGAAAACGTCAGTTGAGAATGACTAACAGCAACCTGAGATTGTGCTTGAGAGCCGGGAATTTTCGATGCTAGAAGCTTTTGCCCGTCAGAAAATACAGTACTTGCGAAACTTTTTTCCCCTAATCTTGATCTCTCAGTTTCTTTGGATGAGAAGTCCATTTCATCCAATCTTCCAGTGGGATTGTCTGTTCTTGACAACAGTGCGGAGACGTCAGGAATGCCACCCAGATCACTGGAGGTATGTGTTCTCCCTTTCGGATCAAACAGTTCTCCGCGGAAACCGTCTGTAATGAAGGCCAATTATGATCCAAGGAAAAGCATGTAAAAAGTGGATTAGAAAGTAACTTCAGTGAGAACCAACATTACCATCTTCGCGGAAAGTATTTCGAAGGGCGATCTCTACGTGCAGTTTCTTCGGCACCAAACCATTTCTACGAGATGAAAATCAACCAGAGATTTCCGGAGTTACAATTGCCGCACCAAAATGAGTATACAAGAGGCTAGGGGACTGTAAAATACCTGAGAGCTAGAAACACAAGGCACTGGGCTCTGAGTTGCTTTAGTTGTTGCTCTCTAAAAGGTGAACCTGAAGGCAGTAATCCCTCTGCTGCAACATTATTTCCAAGTTCTTTATGAACTGGAGGCCTGATTGCTGTGACTTCACTGCTCTGCCAGCCACACTGCCATAGAAAATAAGATGCCACATATAGAGGGGATGAGTTCGAACAAGGTATCTTTGGAAGGAAATAAAAGGGGAAAGGTCACTTTGCAGAGCCAAAGTCAGACTAAATGCAGGTAAGATTCAAAACATCATATAGAAGGCAAAGGGTTAATCGAATCACGTTTTTGAAAAAATGGATTTAGTGGCATCTAAGTTTTTTTTAGAAAAAAAGAATGTCATCACGGGAAATGCAAGCATTTTTTTCATATTTCCAATACTGAAACAAAAATAGATACAAAATCCTTCTAAGGAGAGACAAATGTTTCGGAGAATAAGCCACCATGTGCCAGCACTATATCTCCTTATACATTCTTAAAAAGTTTTTGTGCATCAGATATGTGTAGCACAAAGTCCCAAAATTTTAGAAATTGGCAGAGTCAAGGTGGCTCAAAATGATTTCATAAACAAGATGTTATGTACACAATATATATTTAATCTGGAGGGATTCGGGAAACTTAATAGTGTTATGTGTACCTGTGGAGTCGTGTATGCATCTGATGGCAACCCAACATGCAAATTCCTAATGTCACCTGAGGTTTAATGGCAACAATGTATACAAATAAGCTAACCAAAGCATTCATAAAAAATAATAAGGTGCTTCTTCTATTCTAGATTATTAAGGATATGTTTTGTTCTGTAAGAAACAACGTTGAAGCAAATATCCCTACCTGAAGTACCAGGCATTTCTATTTTGCTTACTTCTCCAGTTTGATCATCAATCTTGTGGCTTTCAAATATTTGAGAGTTATCCATATTCTGGTCCCATGAAAGTGATGATTCACCTCTCTTTCTCTTTCCACTTGACTTGGCATCTCTTTGATTCATTGTCTCACTCCTATTGTGAGATTGAGAAATTCCCGACGTAGAATCCAAGTTGGATGGACTTTCACGATCAAATGATCTGTTACTTTGAGTTCCAGACCCTTGGTAAAAGGTTTGTGACGCATTATTTGATCCACCAAGCTGCCTACCAGAAGTGAATGCATCGTATTTTGACATCTCATTTTCAGCTAGACTTGCTTTGCCCTCATTGCTAACTCCAACCGCTTGGGAAGACCCTGAATTCCACATTGATGCAAGAAGTTTAACATACAACAAAGAACCAAACCAAATTTTCCACATAATAAACAAAACAATCAACTGAAACAAAGGAGAGAAAAGATATACCAGCCAAATGTGCAGACCCAGAATCTTCTGTTTGGGTACCCCCAGCTTGAGGAAGACACGATGACTTCAAAGCTTCAATGTCAAGACCGTGTTGATTGACTACAGTGTCCATGGCCCTTGGAGTTTCAGAAAGATAATATCAGTAGAACTAAAATGAAAAACAGGACCAAGAGTGATAATTTTCAATGAGAAACAGCTTGAGGTTGAAAGACACAGAATAAAAAGCTTCGAATGAATTAAGTGAGTCTTCTGAGACAAAAATACAAGACAGCATGAAGTATAGAGTAAGAAATCCCAAGTCATAATTTTACAAAGCCTCGGGCGTGCTTTTTAAAACTAAAATCAAAGTCTTGAGTTATATAAAGGTTACACTACAGGATCTTATTCAGCAAGAAGCAACCACACGTCCTCACAGCATAAGAAAATAATCTCATTTTAATCAACCTAATCAGTAATTCATTAACAAATAACTAGTGATACCTAAGGAAAACAATACCTAGATATGACTTGATACGGCATTGTGTTATCCTTTCCACTGGTTTTCATGTGCTGCAATATCTATAGTAATCAAAAGAATAAACAAAGTTAAATCACAGGAATAAACCTCAAAATTACAACGTAAAGCATACACCAGGTTAAGCCACATTACCACATAAAGTTTAGTTGCTAACTTTGCAGGTTCATCTTTAGAATCTTGAATAAGTTTATGCAGAAACTTAGCTGCCTCCAACTCAATATTATGCGAAGGCGTCATCTTAAATTAAATTACACCATCACATAAGAACTCCCTGCATCACCACAAGCATGCAAATATTGATTACACAATTCAGAATTAAACGAGACTATCTCCAACCAAAGAAATGGTGCCCCAAAAAAAAAAAAAAAAACCCTAAATTCCTAGAGTCCATACCAACAGATAGAAAAAAAAGACCAAGAGCAAGTAAATAACACAAAGGAGCAAAATTTATAAACCTAAAAGCAAAACTAAAGCGAGAACCTAACAAAAAAAAAAAAAAACTCAAAGGTCCAAAATTCATGTGATTAATCCACGGGATACATATAAATTTGTAAAATTGGCTGATAGAGTTTAAAAATTCCCCAAATCGCAAGGAAAAGGAGAAGAATTCGCGACTTACTCTAGTTAATGCAACCCACAAAACCCTAAATAGCTAAATAACGATCCATCAGTGATGAAGAAGAAGAAGAAGAAGAAGAAGAAGGAACAGAGAGGGAGGCTTTACCAAATTAGAGATCGGGCTCTAGAAGACGAAGCAGAAGTGAAATTTCAGGTGAGAAACGTTGAGAGCTGACAAGTGAAGAAGAAGCTATGCGTCGTCTCTGCGAAATGACTCTCCAAATGAAATGTACTCAAGAGTCATTTGTCGCATTTCAGCCATTGATCATCAAGTTCTAAACGAGACCCCTTAATGGGCCTTGAGCCCATTACTGTAAAGCCCAAATTTAAAAAGCTTATATTACCAAAGACCCGCAAGAGATGGTGGATTGATAGACACGGAAAAGAGAGATTTGCGAGGTTAGGGTTGGATCCGAAGATGTTAGATCTTCCAAGTGATATGGAGGAGGAGGTGCTCTCTAGGGTCCCGGTGACATCTATGGGAAAATTGCGATTAACCTGCAAAAAGTGGAACACTTTAACGAAAGGTGAGAGCTTTTTAAAGAAAAAACAGAGGAATGGAATTGAGGTGGTGATGATGGTGGAATATAGAGTTTTCTTGATGAGCGTCAATCTCCTATATCCGTCTATAGAGCGTATAGGTAATCTCGATGCAGATGGAATCAAAATATCTAAAATCTCTCACTGCGAAGGTTTATTCTTATGCATCATCACCAAAGACAAATACAAAGAAGACTCATCTAGGCTTGTTGTTTGGAACCCTTATTTGGGACAAACAAGGTGGATCGAATTACCTAGCAATTCTACTTACCACAGATGGGAGAAGTACGCTATCGGATACGAGAAAGAGAAGAAGAATAAGAAGCACAAAGTCTTGAGATTTGTGAATGAGTACGACGGGATCAGTGGCAACCGAATTTGTGAGCTTGAGATGTACAGTTTAAACTCCAATTCATGGAAAGTCAGTGATGATTTCACTCCGGATTGGCGTATGTCGTTTAAACACGGTGGCTTGTCTCTAAAGGGCAACACTTACTGGTATGCTCAAGAGAGGCTCCTAGATCACCATGATTTCCTACTCTCCTTTGATTTCACAAGAGAGAGATTTGGACCGCGTTTGCCTCTGCCTTTCCACGCTTTCTTAGGAGATACTGTCACTCTTTCTAGTGTTAGAGAAGAGCAGCTTGCGGTGCTGTTTCAGAAACGCGGTGCACCTAGATCCGTCGTCAAGATATGGATTACTAATAAGATTGAGCCCAATGCAGTGTCGTGGAGCAACTTGTTCTTAGCTGTTGATATGGGACCAGTCATTGGTCGTTGGTTTCCTAATTTGGCTGGGAGTTTCTTCGTTGACGAGGAGAAGAAGGTCGCCGTTGTTCTTGGTAAAGAGAGATATAAATGTTACGCTCCCACTCGCAACATTGCTTATATCATTGGAAATAATGGAATCTTGAAAAAAGTGGATCTTGGCGAATCTAGAGACAAAGGGTGTTGTTACCCACTTGTGTGCTCTTATGTTCCGAGCTCAGTGAAAATCCGAAACACACCCTAATCTATTAATTTTTGTTTTGTTCATCATGTTATTGTCCAACTCACCCCCTCTTATTCTATGCAATCAGAATCTTTCACCTAATTAAAAAAAAAAACAAATTCATTTAATTGTTAAATCTAAACTCTAACCACTATTTTATAAACCTAAACCGACATATAATCTCGTTCAGTTACAAAATCTAAACTCTAATCATTCTTTATAAACTCAAACCGACATTTAACCTCATTTTATTGTAAAACCTAAATCTGTTTATAAATCCAAACCGATATTTAGTCTCGCTTAATTATAAAATCTAAACTCTGACCTTCATTTTTAAACCCAAACTATAATTAACCTCGTTTTATTATAAATCTAAACCCTAACCCTTCCTTATAAACCCAAACATATATATAACTTCGGTTTGATTGCAGATTGGATTTTACAATTGAATGAATTAATTTTTATATTATGTAGCAGATTCTAATTGGTTAAAAAAAAAGGAGTGAATAAAAGGATTTACTCCTAGGAGTGAAATAAGTATTTTTTTTTTTAGAATTTGATTAAGTTGGTTTATGTTAACCGTGTATATACAATCTTAGTTAAATGTTTGTAAACCAAAACCTTCTTAGGCCCTCTTACTATATATATAAGAGATTCCAATGTAATGTTTTCTCAACTAAGATGAATGAGAATTAATTTGTTTCTTCTTCTCTCTAACAACCTTTTCTTGATTCGTTGTTATTCCTTTAATAATTATATTGGATTCGTGAAAAAAATGCCGTTGTTTTTGTTTAAGCATGTGATCTCAATTGCTATGAGTTTAGAATACTATCATTTGACATTTAGAAGCTATAGAAACAAAGTAATAAGCTAAGTAATCGAAATCGGTGAATATATGTAAATCAAACAACAAAATAGATACATATAACTATCTATATTTCATAACATTACAACAAGCCACAATGAAAAAAATATAATTAGCAAACCATACAAAGAAAGAACGAGATCAGAATTTAAAACATATACTTGGTTTTATTTCTATTAGGAATGTGGCCTAACTTAACCCAAAAGCTAGCTCAAGAGTTAAGGATTGCCACATTCTTTATATACTACCCAAAGATCTTAATCCCAAGCAATGTGGGACATTCTAATAATTTCGTAAACGAAATTTCACAAAAGAGAAAAATTTATACAAAGTTTGATGGTCCTCCCAAGATTCATCATTTCACCAATAATATTTTCTCCTTGGTTCCCATGAACCGACATAACTACCCGCCGCGTCAAGAGCATCTAACTGTAGTTGATGTATAATCGCCATCTCTCTCATTTCTTTTTCAGCCTCCATTAATGACTTTATCCTTGAAGCCGATGATGAGCTTGATTCTCCTTCTTCTTCTTCTCCTTTCTTTGGCTCATTATCTTCATATGTCGCACATGAATGTACATGTGTCCCATAATCACATTCTTTGCAGTAATACACCCAAAGATTCTCCGACATATCTACTTCACAAACATCACATATGAACATCACTCCGTCCTTACGACCTTTGCATGGTGTGTTGTAAAGTAGTGTGAGTGGGTGTTCGTGGTCTTCACGCTCTACGTTCTCAGGGACAAACGCACATCCCACGTGAACATGGTATTTGCACTCCGAGCAATGGTAAGTGAAAGCAGATCCATACTCACCGCACGCATCGCACGTGTAAGTGGATAGGCCATTTGGTGGAGAATGGAGCAAGGTCAAAGGGTGATTTGTGTGAGACTTGTGATAGATCTCATCGGGAAGGTTGAAACATGACTTGTGCAAGAAGTAATCGCACTCTGACTTTGTACACTTGAAAGCTTCCCCAATTAGATCACGTTCGCATCCAGAGCAAATGATCTCATCTTCTTCTTTGGATTTGAAGACCCGCAACGGATGATTGTGACTCGGGTGTCTCACTGATGGACGGTTAGTCGGTTTAGCCCTAGTTTTTCCTGAACCCATACTGTTCTTGATGGGATTTTGGTTGTTTTGAGGCCTTGTGGGAGGATATCATTGGAAACTATAAATACAAAAAACTGAAGTTATTGACCAAGTTGTAACTTAGCCAACTATATAAGGTATTTATTTATAAAAGATAGTTGACATTTGAGATGCTGAAACATATATTCGAATTAACATCATATTTAATTAACATCATATATATATATAAGGTTTTAACTAGGTCAGTCTCTTCTACTCAATGCTTATCTTCTGCAACCTCCACTGAATAAGAAAAAAACATAATTTATAACCTTTTTTGGCTGTGAGGATCACGACTAGGTAAGGGTTGATGCTACTATCGTGATCAAAGGAAGAACTCTTAACGCTATACTTTGTGGGAAATAATTCTAAGTTTGGGAAGAACTCTTAACGCTATACTTTTTTTTTTTTTTGTATGAAAAAGGGCGCTTAGCTCCGATTTATTAATTAAATATAAAACAAACTTCGAGCGAACTCGTCTATGGCGCGCAGACCCAATAATGTCATCACTAAAAAGCGAAGCAACAGCATCCGGAACAACAACACATGAATGAAAGCCAATAGGCAAAGAAAAAGCATAGTTAGCTAACCCGTCGGCTAGATGGTTAGCCTCCCTATACACGTGTGAAATACGGACTAACCAGTCCCTCGATAAAAAGCCATGGCACAAACGTACCATGAAGAACAAAGGATGCCTCTCGCTAACCCCTGTCTTGAGAAACCCACCACCAACTCCGAGTCTACTTCCAACTCCAGTCTCCGTACCTTCTTATCCCAAGCAATAAAGAGTCCGTAGTATACGCCCCACAACTCCGCTAATGGCGCCGTATACCTTCCTATATTAAGTGCAAACCCTCCACACCAAGCTCCAAACTCATCCCGCAACACTCCGCCAGCCGAGGCCAACTCTTAACGCTATACTAATAAAAGGGACAATTTGAGTTTTTAAGAATATCTACATCAGAACACTCTCAATGGGGGTTTCTAAATATGGGTTTCTTAAATAAAAGCAATGTGTAAGTATAGATAAAAAATACTTTTTAATTATGGGTATCTTAAATTTGGAAAAACTTATTTACTTTGCTGTAAAAAAAAAAAAAAAATTTGGAAAAACTTAACAACATTATTGGTAATCTCTTAAGACAACTCTTATGTTAAGAGACATGTCTTATAACTAACAAAAGTGTCTTAAAGTCTCTTAAATAAGAGACTTTTGTTAGTTATAAGACATGTCTCTTAACATAAGAGTTGTCTTAAGAGACCATCAATAAAGATGGTCTTCGACCAATTGTTTCCAAGTTAAGAAACAATTTTGCTAAGTTTCTCCAAATTTAAGATACATATCTAATATTTAAATAATATATATTTTTTTATTATTTATTAATAATCATGTGTAGAAATCCCCATTGAGGGTGCTCTCAGATCCTAAACATTTTTCTTAAGTTGCCACATCACCTAATAATGAAACAAAACAGAAGCGGCCAATTTCGAGTCGTGTAGATGACTTCTTTGTGGCGAGTAGATGAAAAAAAATTTCAGGGATCAACCCAAAGCCGTGCCTAGGATTTTTCATGCTATAGACGGAAAAAAAAATTAGTTTGATGTTTAAATATTTTACCAAAATTTAAGAAAAATTTATTAAAGACTAATATGTCGAAAATATTATTACAAAAGAATTTTGCTTAAATTTTGGTAAAATATTTAAACATCAAACTAAGTTTTTGTAACTAAAGACTAATATGTGAAAAAAAAAGTTTTGAAATTTTTTTTAACGGTGTTGATAGATATATTTGTAAATATACTATTAGTGCTATTAGTAATAACTTAAAACTAGTCCTTGTATTTTAAAGATCTTCTATATTTGTACGTTTATTATAGTTGCCTTTAGTCTAAGACACCTATGCCTTCCTATATTTTACAAAAAAATGAAAGGTTAATTCCTATTATAACTTCACGATAACACCTATGGCTTCCTATATTTTACAAAAACAAATTAAAGGTCGTAGGCCAGTGTTTCTTATTTTACTGAATAGCCACGGGCCTGGATCAACCCATCATTTAAGAGAAATTAAAAATTAACATGTATCCAATTATTATTGCATATAAAAACTATTTATTCTGATATTTTAAAAATTATTGAAGCATAACCATAAAATAAATGAAACTCAAGTTTATTTTAAAACAACACAAACATATAAATATCATTTTAATCGTCATCTTGGAATTAACAAAGATAATTTAATGTCAATGCAAGTGAGGTAAGAATAAAACAAGTTAGGAAACCGAAACAATAGGTTTAATTAGAAAGTTGTAAACAACTAAAGAAGAGAAATCAAACTAGAAAACCATAACACACAAAATAACATGAAATAAAGATTTAAGGAGATAACAAATTGTCAAGAATAGAGAAGAAAAAATGAGACAAAAAGCATATAAAAGAATACAGAAACCAAGAAATATGAAAAAATATAAATGCGTGAAAGGAAAAGATGGAATCAATGATTCATTGAGAAATTTGAAAGCTTTTTTAAAAGATAGGGCAGGCCATGGCTCTCCGGATAAACGTTGATGTCATAGTCATCTACCATTTTCGAATCGATTCATATTAAGACATCCTCTTTGCTCATGCGTATAGACAGTTTTACCGTGATTGTTATATTATGGGAACCTTTGGTTTATGTGCGGACATGCAACATTGATGTTATAGGACTGCGAAAATCGAAACAAGTAAGCTTGATGGAGGACAACACAACATATTGACTGCTCCATCTCGTGAGAAAGAGAGCCCCTAGACTCGGAGTTTTCGTTCAAAAAATGCAATATAACTGCAAGTTCTGACCTTGTCCCGATAAAAGTCATATTTATGGAGTCTTTTATAGACGATTTTATTGATATGGCAGGTTAGATTCCATTTCCAACATTGGAATTCTATCGATTATATATTATAGTAAATATAAATACAGAGGCACGAAAGCAGATACAAGTAAAAGAGTCAACTAAAAATAACTTAAAATTTTAAATACATATGAAGCTTAGCAATTTCGATTTATATTTTTTCTAGTCTTTTCCAAAATTGTCTCTCTTTTTTGGGTTGTTGTCTTCAGAATTTTGACGTTTTTCGTCGGATTAGTTTATAGGGAATATCCTTTTTCAAGGATATTTTTTCCGCTAGTTTATGTAATTTATCATTTCTTAATTATATTTATGATGACAAAAAAACATATAGGGCTAAGAAAAATATTACATATTACTCACAATTTTCAAACAATTAATTTTACCATCATAAGTTTACGTTTACATAACACCTTATTGTTTTTTTTAATACAAAAAAAATAAATTCACAAAAATAAGCAAAACAAATGTAAAACATAAGCAAAACATAAGCAAAATATAAGCAAGCTCTATAGAGATCCTTTTAACTATTATATAATTTATTTATATATAAGATTTAGATATATGAATTAGTTGTACAATCTACTAATATCATGCAACTATTCTTAATTGAAAAATCAATGGTTTGTGATGTATATAGATTAAAAGACTATGATACCAGAATATACATCAAACAGTTCATAAATCATAAAATTTTTATTTCATAACAATGTACATGAAATCTTACAACAAGAATTGTCCTATAGTAAATTTGCAGTTAAAAAGCTATTATGGGTAATTCAAATATAAGCTAAACACTGAGTTGCTTTTTTTATAAGGGTGAAACTTTGAAATACTTATGTTATTAAATGTTTATTACAAATAAGATAAGTATTTTAAATTTTTATTAGGAAGAAAAAAAAAGTAACTCAGTTTTGTTTGCTTATATTAGAATCAGTCAAGAATCCTCCATTTTTCCAAATCTTTAGTCACCAAGAAAACTTACTGAAAAGTTTGATATTATCTAATCTACTCCGAGGCAAAATATGTCACATTTTTCTTGGATAATAATTTTGATGTAACTTTTGATTTTTGGCCAATGGAATACATTTGCTTCCCCTTCTTTGGCAAACTTGTGGCTTTGTAGTGTCACCAAATTTCTCCTCTTAATCCATAATGTTTACAAAAATAACATTTATGAACTTGTAGTTAATTATAGGTAAAACTTGTGAACTAATAAGTTACACAAAGTTTGAACAAACAAAGAAAATAAGATGCACAAAATTTATGAGCTTTTTGAGGCCTTTTTGAGTACTTAGTTTATGACATAGATGGTCAGATTGAGATTTTGAGGGTCGACCATGGTAAAATTCCTTAAAACCCCTATCATAATTACATTTCATTATTTTGTTTTTAATGGTTTTTATGATCCTATAATATAAAGGGGAGAGTATAAGTAAAAAAAGGTACTAAAACACTCAAATTCATTCACTAGAAAAATCTGGTTCTACTGGTTTTTGAATCGAAGACATCATACCAGAATCCGAACCACTACGCGTATACTTCCCGCCGTTCACGGCTAGCCTAGCCGTCGCAGCCTCGAACCTATAGTGAAACTCTTCTTTTGCCCTTAGCTCAGTCTTGTACTTCCTCTTCCTGTGCCGTCTCCAAGCAGCTTGTACAAAACAAGCCGCCCAAGTCCTCCATTGATGCGAATAAAACCGAAACTTATGTCTCAATTGCTTAGTGTGTAGTCTTCTAAACTGTGAAGCCACAAATTGTAAATCTTCAGCTTTCAATGCAAAGGCCTCAACTTCGCAAATGGCTTTAACTGTGCGTGTGGAAGACGGTAAGATCACAACGGGACGAGGATCTAGTGCCCATGTAAGTAACTCTTCGCCGCAGAAATCGCCTGGTCCTATGAGACAAGAGTTGAAGAATCCTGTTCTGCCTCCATTGGTTGTGTAGGAATCTAAATGGCCTCTAATGATGAAAAGCATTTCGTTAACCGGGTCGCCTTCTCTTACAAGAAATGTTCCTTCCGTGCATAATGCCGGTTTTAGTCTCTCGCAGATCGCGTCAAGCATTCTTTCGTCCATTTGATCAAACAATGGTACCTGTTTTAAAGAACTCTCAGATCAAGATTTGATAAACTAAGGATCAAGAATTGATAATAAAAATGCAAAATGGAGGCTTACACGGCGAACAAGATCGAAACAGAGATGGCGTTTGATATCTCTTCGGAGATCAAGAGGAAGACTTATCAATAAAGCTTCTTCATCGACTCCTCGTGTCGCTAGCCACTTGTATTGATCATATTTTCTTACGGCTTGCCTTAGCTCTGGTGGAAGCTGCCTATGATGCATCCATTGTTCTGTATCTGTCCTTCTTATCCTCCACTCTTCAAGTCTCATTGTTGTTGACTGTAAATATGTCTGCATATTCCCAATAAGCAATGCAAACAGAACAAGCCCGAGAGTCGCAATGATGATGGCGAAAAGGATTTCTCCAGCGTAAGTGCTCGTAGCGAGGTTTTGTCCCAAAGAGCTAAAGAATAAAAACATGTTATGGATAACCAAATGGAGTCAAATCTGCAAAAACTATTTGATTCACCTGAGGTTCTTCAAGCCCCACCAGAGACAGTAAAAGTACTTGTTTATAAACTTTGATGAAGTAACAGTTGATGCTACTGCATCTCCGAATATACCGAACTCGTAAAACTTGCTTCCCGGTTTGCATATTGTTGTTATATTGCTCCATTTAAACCAAGAGTTCCTTTGCGGATCTTCCAGTCTTCTGCACTCGAAGAATCGGTATTGACAAACCACTTTCTCGATGTTGCAAGCATGTCTCCAACAAGCCTCTTGCCTCTCTACTGCAAGCAAATACCAACAAGCTCCTAAAACCTGAAAACAATTATCTCCATTTTCAGTTCTTTGCAAGAAACAGATTAAACTGCTCTCACCAACTCACAACAGCTCTAATCTGCTACATTCAGTCCTAGGCTAGATACAGTAGACCCTATAGTTAAGAGTTGAGTCACTTACATGGCTTGCTAGCATATATAACATAAGGTTGTAGGCGGCTCCTGCCCACGCGGTCTCTGTAACAACACCGGTGGCTTTAATGATCTGGCGAGATAGCGGGAAAATTAAGAACATCCTTGGAACATACTGGAAAATGATGATGAATCTAAGAACATTCTTGGTGTTTGTCATTGGTGAGCCTCTTAGATTTGGAATTATAATCCAAATCAAAACCTGAAAATGTAACAAACCAAGATTCAAATCAAGAACTGAATCACATGAATCACTGAAGCTGGAGAATATAGATCATTTATACCTGAGGTAATGGTAAAGCAGCAACAAGATGAATCCAAAAGCTTTTATGAAGATATCTCCAAGCAATCTTTCTTGAATCAATAACAAGCTCACCTCTACCGAATACACGAGAAGGAGGTGCGATATAAGCTGTTCTAAAACGTATAAGAATCTGAGCGATGTAAAAAGCATCAGCTAAAGATCTTATAAGTGTAAGAACCACTTCAAGTCTGACTCCAATAGTGATACACGCTTCATTTCTCATGACCGGTAAGAAAAAAAACAAAGGATCGACAAATAAAGAAACCAAACATGCTATGAGAAAAATCTTGTTCCATTTTCTTATCGTTTGTCCACGAGGATCGAGTATTTTGGTTTTTACTCTTTCAAGATCCTCAGAGAACACTCTTGAGAGTACTTTAGCTTTCAAGAACTTTCCTTTACTCATCATCTTCACATTCTTTATTTGAGTTCCATTGATTTTGAACTTGAGCTTAACTCCAGATTCTCCTCCATGAACAACTTCTTGATCTTCTTGAAATCTATAACATAAAAAAAATTTATTTATGGTTTGATAAAAGAAGAGAGAGAGATTAAAACAGAGGACAACAAGTCCTAACCTCACAGATCTTGAGTTACCATAACCCATGGCTTCTTCTTTATCAAATCCTCTTGCTTCACGAGTATTGATATTTAGAACCGTGACTTTATCAATGAAGTGACCATTTAAGCCAACTTGGGAACATTAAATTCCCAGGAAAAAAGGGAAGAAAACTAAACCTATATTTGGATCAGACACGTGTGTTTGTAGACAACTATACGAAAAAAAGATCAAATCCGAGTAATAATAATAATATCAAGAAATGATTAGCAATAAGAGAGAAGCTTAAAATGTGATTATAAGAGGAATTAGATGAGATGAATCTGGTTTATGGGAAAAAGTTTCAGTCGCTTAGACTACAAGCAAAAGAAGCCGTAAAACCCTCCAAGAGATACAGAGACTACTTTTAGGGGAAATGTTCGATGTGAAAACATAAAAAAGTGAAGTTGAATATTAAGGCACCGACACAAGAACACAAACAAAAGAAGCTGTAAGAATAAGAAGTAGGACCAGAAATGAGACAATGTGGTGAGAGAGAAAAAAAGAACAAAAGAAAGTAACTTGAACTGTTCTGTTCATATATGCTTTCTGCAGATTGAAAATTAGCTTTTGTGTTGGAGAAAGAGATAGAAATAAGTGCAGTGGTGTGTGTGGACAAAGTGGAACTTTCTTGTACGGATCACATGATTTATACACTTTTAAACGTAGCTACTGTGGTACTAATATATTTGTTTACACATATGTAGTTTATATAAAGTACAAAGCTAAATTATAATGACAAAAACAAGTCGGTAATAATAAAAATTGTGAATAGTGAAGTCACAAAATAATATTTGTGTTGACTTCATAGGTGATAGATTTGTTAAATTATTGTAGAATAAAAGAAAGACATATTTATTTACACTAGATATTGAGTTTGAGTGTGAGTACATGTATAGTAATAGTAGTAAACATATAGAGTTAAAAACAAATGTATAAGATGGTGGGTTTGTAAGATCCAAGAAGTTGACTCGTTTTTGGAATCCAACCATGTGTTTGTACCAGTTCTTGCACGGACCACACTGCTTGACTTTCAAGTTTCTCTTATATTTGTTTCCATTTTTACTATGAGTATTAATTAGTTTTGCAATTTGTTAATTTGTTTTCTTTCTAGATACATCTTGTTATAGAGCATTTTAGTCTACGCTAATGTTAGGTTCCAGTTTCTCTCATGTTTTAGATGTCCCTTTGTAAGTGTTGGTGATGATGTTTGATTAATATACATATGTCTAAGTTGACGAACCAATGAGTTTTTTACTCGTGGAAGTGTTATATATATTTGCTTTGTCGCATATAGCAAACAATATTTGTCTTCTAATTAAGTTTATCTGAAATTACGTACATGTAAGTGATAATAAAATTGGTCACAAATCTCGACGCATTTCGTCATTGGATTAGATTGCTTTAATTGCACCAATGTATCTTTCGTTAGATTATTAACGTGTCATAAGAATATATTACAAAATTATCAAACACCCCTCAAAATACGACGACTATTTGCATTTCTTTATGTTTGAAATATATATTACATTATCATATTGAGATTGAAGCTGTTAAAATTAGTATAATATGAATAGGTCAATGTAGTCTCGAAGTAGCAAAAGGACAGATTTTAAAAACTAAAAATAAGTTGGATATACACCTTCCACCACTTGGTAATGCATAAAAAAAAACTCCATCTAGTTTTGCATTTTAATTATTTTCTACTGTAAAACTCATATATTTATACATTGATAATGAATTGCAAAGAAAACTCACAAGTTTGCAAGCCTATTAAATTTTTTTGTCTTTTTTCTATAAGGGGAGGCACAGCTCTATATATATTGATATCTTCGGATCGATAAGACTCGATCCATAGTCGAATTCTACTATGCGGGATAACACTACTTAGTGGAGTCGAACTCCGGTGGGAAAGGTAGAGTCAAAAAGACTTAACCACTTGACTAAAGACACATCCCTTATATATCGTAATTGCTTTGGCAACAATGCAGTAAGTAAATTTTTGATATATTTCCTTATTTATTTATTTATTTGGTTCATTTTTATAGAGTAAAGAAAAAATTAAGAGACAAAGCTTGGGTTGGCAATTAATGGACGGTTACATTTGGAATAAATGGGTTTGGTTCGTCCAGTCTGTGGAACACACCATATGGGCTTTTCTTGATTGATCCCATCATCCCCCACCTTCTCTTTCTTCGATTATCCAACAAATGTTAATGTTATGTTAATGTTACTACTACTCAATTATTATTATTCCTAGACATTTGTAAAATCAGTCACAACGTATAACTTACCATATGGACTAACGTACGATTCTCTTCAATCAAAGATTTTGGTTAACTTTAAACTAACTTTAAAAATCCTTGCAAACGATTCAAGATAGTTCTTTCAAACTTAATATAGGAGACACAATCGGTATATGTGGTTGGAAGATTAATCATCACATGCAATATTCTCATAGCACAGGAAAACTTTTTTTTTTTTTTTTAACTACTAATCAAACCTATAGGAGAAAGTTTATAGCACTAAAAACATATGACTATGTTGAATAGAACTTCCACTCTCAAACATTTCGGTGCGTTTCTACCGGGGCTGACCGGATCAGCCGATAGGGTTTATCAACAACAAAAAAAAAAAAGAATAGAACTTTCTTGAAGCTCTCATACTTAGACTATATGATGTATTATCTTTGTATCGTATCAATTCTTTCTACATATACATTCTATGTACATAGGTTTTGATCTTCCAACAATGAGTCCTTCTAATTTAACATTTTCTCAACCAAAGAGAAAAATTAACAAATTTAACTATTATATAAATTTTGTTAAAAATATTTTATTAAGATTATAAATTAAAAGTCCTCTAGTTCAGAACAAATCTTGACACTCTCACTTATAGAAAACTCTCAAGTCTCAACACTTCACTCTCTTCATAGTGAGCTTTTATCTACACAGTGAGAGATTGCTGGTTTTGTTCTGTGCTTTTCTATCTACTTTTTTAAATATGTGCAGATGGTTCAAGCAAGACCGGCTTCACATTCGGCAAGCAGAAGGACTCGAACCGTGGCTCAGTCAAGTCCACTGTTTCATCCTCATGTCCACTCTTGCTCCCACCTCTTGACCATCCCACTTTGCTTTCTTTCTTCTTCTCATTGCTCTGCGAAAACAAATGTCACCAATATTAAGGTTTCGATTGTTTCAAACGGTAATTTTTGCGTTGTTTTCATGTAAAACATACCTGGAAAAGATAATTAATGGGGAAATTTCTACGTCTGGATGATGTGTCTGGTGTGACGGTTGAAAGAATCTGAACAACTTCTCTCATTGTTGGTCTAGCTTCTGGTTCTAAAAGCAAACACTCTTTAGCAAGATACGCCATTATCTGCATCTCTTCTTCAGCAAACTTCCCATTTAGCCGCGGATCAGGCAGTTCCTCGATCACCCGCTTACTATCTTGTAAACGCGGCACAGCCTAACACAACACACAACAAATAAGTTTAAGAATGGTTAAAGCTGCAAGCAATTAGAGAGATTCATTAACTTGTGTTTTTACCCAAATAACGAGGCTTTCTTCGCCTTTGTTGTTGCTGGGTTTTTGTATCGGTTTCCTTCCGGTTATAAGCTCAAGTAGAACAACACCGAAGCTGAAAACGTCAGACATCTGTGAAGCACATCCTGCAATTGCGTATTCAGGTGCAAAGTAGCCAAATGTTCCTTGTAGTCCTGTGGTTGGAGAGCTTGAACCGCTTTGTAAACCGTCGTTACTCAAACACTTAGCCATCCCAAGATCGGTTATCTGTAACAATTTTATGCGCATTAAAGTTCAAATTTAGACTCATTGAAACACTGAAAATGTTTGTGTTACTTACTTTTGCATGCCAATTCTCATCAAGGAGAATATTAGTGGATTTTACATCTCGGTGTAAGATTCTTGGAGCAGCAGCTTCGTGAAGATACTCGAGACCTCTTGCAGCTCCAAGAGCGACAGAGATTCGAATGTTCCATGTCATTTTCTCCCCTAACTCTCCATCTAAGCAATCTCTCAGACTTCCATAAGACATGTACTCAAAAACAAGAAGCCTCTCTGCATGTTTGCCATGAAACTCCGAACAATATCCAATTAACGGAACCACGTGGTAATGATGGAGTCTTGATAATAACTCTACCTGTGAAAAGACAGTTTCATAATCTGGATCAAATATGAATCCCCAAATGAGAAGTAGGAGAAATGAGATTAGTACCTCTGTTGAGAATAGAGTGTCAGTGTCATTTCCTTTCGGGGTATTCAGACGTTTGATCGCAGCAGTTTTACCGTCTTTGAGCTGCCCACGGTAAACACAACTACTTCCTCCATGTCCTATTACACTGTTACTGGAAAATTTATTGGTTGCTTGCTCTAATTCTGTGTATGAGAACTGAAAAATTGCACCATGGATTGTTTCAGGTCTGCTCACACAAAACAAAGAAACATTCTGAAAGAAGCAACCTGAAGAAAAGAAAAATACAAGTTCATTTTTCCTCATCTGTTTAATGTATAAAAAGCAAAGAGTTTTCAAGGAACTAAAAGGTGAAAAAATAGTTAACCTGACACCGAGGAGCTGATGCTAATTTTCGATTGTGAAACCGAGCTTTTACGGTTTATTAAGTTGGCAGAGCTATGCCAACTAGATTCTCTATCTGAAGAAACTGAAGGGCTTTGTCCAGAGAATTTGTTCTTTCTACAAATGTAGCAAATCATAGAGGCAAGGAATGCTAGTGAAGTGAGTACACCGCAGAAGAGGACTATAATTATAACGAGTTTCCTTGATAAATATTGCTTCTTTGAAGATTTGGTAGCTCCTGGAAACAAGTAAGTAGACCAACTTATGATATAATCGACTGAACTTTCCATAGAACGATGGATAGAGTAAAATACCAGCAGAGCAGTTGCAGGAAGTGAAGCACGAAGAATTGGAACCGCCAATGGCTATTACCGGAAATCCATTAGCAGGACACAAACATACCCATTGGTCTCTTTCTGCTGACATAAAGAAAGTTACAAAGTTAGTTTTCTTTACAATCTTGAAAATTTCCTAGTTGGTGAAGAGAAAACTAACCTGGTCTGCAATTACATGATGTGGAACAGTTAGATTCTAAGATACCACTTCGATTGCCCGAAGAGAAACACGTACACGTATAGTTGCTTAAGCCTAACAAAAAAACTTCCATGTATTTAAATGAAAGTCACACCATTTTTATATATGTTGCTGAGTAATCTTTGAATTCAGAAGAATACAAAAATATAGAAAGAGTATATATAAACTAAGATACTAACCTCCATAACATTGTTGAATTGATATGAGAACCAAGAGAATCGCAAGTGCGGTTTCCACTCTCATTTTCGTTTATGTTTGCTGGAGAAACTACACCAGATGAATCTTTGATATGAGTGACAACAACACGAGGATGTGGAGTTTCATAAACACAGAAGATTAGAAAAAGACCTTCATGTCGAATTTATTCTTTTTCTACTCAAACTAAGCTCAACCTCCAAGTGTGCAACAATCTAAAACCTGAAACAAAATATGTTAGATTAGAACCAGATTACAAGTAGAGTAGAATTTTTATAGAAATTACAGGTAAAACTACAGTGTAATGTGAATGAATGAGTTGGTGAACAGACATCAAAAAGATTCTAACTCTGTTACACCCACTGTGAACCAAAAACATTCCTATGATTTGGTCAGACAACAACCAAGAGACTCCAATTCTTTAAAGGTCCCAGAGTTAGAAGAGAAAACAAGAAACTTATAGCGATAGATATACGGTCACATCAATCATTTAAAGATCCTTTGTCACTCATCTGATTCTGCAAAATCTTTAGTTCCCTCTAAAGTTAGTTGGCTATGTTTTTAGAAAACGACAAACAACACAACACAACACAACAACCAAAACACTAAAAGAACCAAACAAGAGAGCTAATATAGATTACATTACCCTGTAAAGTGGTGAAGTTGAAGTAGCAACAAGAGAGAGCTAATGGAAGTTGCAGACAAAAGGATATATAAAAAGAAGAAAGTAAATGGAGCATCTTGATTACTAAAATAATGTGATTAAAGAAATGATTGAGTATAGGATTAGTCAAAAAATGGGGAGTACAATAATAAATGGAATGAAAACAGACCAACCACCTTAGAAAGAAACGGAATTGCAAATCTGAGAGTGACCTTTCAACCATTATAGTAATCAAAAGGCAGAATCATTGAAATTTATCAAAAAAGTTCTTAGCTTTAAACTGTTTACTAATGGCAAAATCTTTATATTATAATCAAAGTTCATAAATATTAGATTTTTTGAATCTAAACAAGAACCATATGATGATAGTCATGATACTGTAACTTAAGCTCAAATGACTCTTTTTTTTTTTTTTATGAATTTAATTCGATATTGTAGTAATAAACAAGATATAGATTCTTGATCCGGAATTAGACAAACCAAATTAGATAGAGCCAAAAAGGACTTTGCTTTTAAGGAAAAGCAAAACGTTGGTCGAAGCAAACTGTTGAAATTTGTTAGGACCCACAATTTCCGGTGTCGGTTGTCGGGAACCGGTTTGAAAACCGGTTTTTGATTGTGGGACTCACAATTTCCGGTGTCGGTTGTCGGAAACTGGTTAAGTAAACCGGTTTTTGATTGTAGGACCTATTTCCTCTCTGCCATTGACTGAAAAAATCTTAACTTTATGATGAAAGAATCATGTCCCACAAATTCAACGATGCTTCAAGTAAAAAAGTGAAGTTCTTTGGGGAAAAAACCTAAACCCACTTCATGATTTCTTGATTCATGTAGCAAGAATGATTTGAAAACGCTTATTTAAAACAAAGAATCGTATAAATGGGAAGCTAACCTTAAAATGAAGAAGCAACAATGTCGGTTTAGAGGATTTTAAGCTTATAGAAAAATAGAGAAGAAGATTCAAAGCCAGAACCAGCAATGGAGCTAAAACGCAAACGCGAAATGAAGCAAAACCGCGTTTGTAGTTGAGTTTCCAGCAAACATAAAACTTTTTCCTCGAAGATATGAGAATTGATAAAGCTAAACGCGAAAAACAGAGGACTCCACGTGACTGCGTTTACGTTTGCGTTTGCGGTCGAGTTGAGTGAGATCACTGAACTGATATATCGAGGGGGCGATTTTAAAAAGAGTTCATTTATTAGAGATCGGGGCATGTCACGTGCCACGTGGCGTTAAATTGATATCAGAGATTCGCTGCATGAAAAATATTTTCAAAATTCCAAGTAAACAACTGTATATTGTAAAAGAGACAAAAACAGAATTATTGAAATAAAGTTTGATTCAACTAAAAAAAAAAAAAAAAATTGATTCAACTGCAAATTTGTGAAAAATATTTTAATTTAACTACTTAATTTTCATATTCTCCAAAAAATTAGTATTCGAAATTATACTTACGTGGCATTCTCAAATGTTTTAAAGGGCCTCAATACTTATGTATTCCCTTACGAGAAACTTCAAAAACTATATACTATATTAACTACTGCCAAAGATATGTCACTAGTCGTCATCTGAGAGATAGACCAAGCCACTGTTTGAATTCTCTTGTTGCTGTTGTTGTCCTTGAACCAATCTTGGATATGTTGATGGTGCAGCAGCAGAGTTGGGAGCTCGAGATGATCGTAAATGAGGCGCCATGGTCCGTCGCACTATACCAGGTACAGGTGGAGCAGAAGCTGCTTGATAAGAAGTTGGAGTATGGTTGGAGATTAAGGGCGGTGGTCTTGGCTGAGGTGTGTTGCAAGGCGGTGAATGCAGAGATATAGCTTTTGATGTGACTGAGGGTTGAGGAAGGGGGGTTGAATTGATATCCGTGTTTGATTGTATTTCTGGTAGCTGAGATATTGGTTTTGGCTGCGGCGTCTTGCTGCTTGGTTGATGTAAAGGAGGAGCTTCTGCTGTGACTGAGGGTTGAGGAAGGGCGGTTGAATTGATATCCGTGTTGGCTTGTACTAATGCTTGCTGAGGTATTGGTCTAGGCTGAGGCGTGTTGCTGTGTGGTTGATGTAAAGGACGAGCTTCTACTGTGACTGAGGGTCGAGGAAGGGCGGTTGAATGCATCTGTGTGTTTGATTCTACTGCTGCTTGCTGAGATATTGGTCTCGGTTGAGGAGCGTTGCAGCGTGGGAGAGGAGCTGAAAGATTTGGAGGTGTAGCTGCCGCTGCTGTGACTGAGGGTCGAGGAGGAGCAGTTGAATTCATATGCGTGTTAGTTTGTACTGCTTGCTGCTGCTGCTGCATTGTTGAATGTTGAAAGCTCCTGGCAGCTGAAAGATTTGGAGGTGTAGCTTCCGCTGCTGTGACTGAGGGTCGAGGAGGAGCAGTTGAATTCATACGCGTGTTAGGTTGTACTGCTTGCTGCTGCTGCGTTGTTGAATGTTGAGAGCTCCGGGCAGTTGAAAGATTTTGAGGTGTAGCTTCCGCTGCTGTGACTAAGGGTCGAGGAGGAGCAGTTGAATTCACATGCGTGTGCGTTGAATGTTGAGAGCTCCTAGCTGCTAAAAAAGAAAGAGAATTAGTGTCGTTATTTAGCTCATTTGCTTTATCCAATTTCTTCTTCACCTTTACCTCTTACGGTTAAAGTATCAGTGGCTGCACTCTTCACTGGACAAGTAGACTTGTAAGCATTCGCCAAGAGACTGTTCATGGCAACCAAACTCCTTAAGGCTTCATTCTTCTTAGCTTGAGCGTTATATGCAGCATCTACCTCTTGGTATTTCTTATCATACTCGCTGCGTGCTTCAGCCATCTTCCTCTCGAGTTCAGCCATCAACTCTGATGTCTGCTTACAGACAACGAGACAATGAGCAGAGAGGAGAAAAACTGAATAAAGATAGATTTACCGAGAATTAGGAGAGACTAACCGTCTCTTCAAAGCTTTTCTTTAAGGTCCCTTGTTCTCTGCTCAGCTTCTCCAGCTCGTGGTCACATATGTCACTGAACGAAGGGACATGTAACCGAGGACTCTGTCCCATAGGATTGTTGGAAAGAGACATACCCGCTGATGCATTGACTGTTGATCTGCTATGTGAGATGTTAGGAGGCTGAACACCACCTTCATGAACATCCTCTGAATGGTTAACTACACAACGATCACAACACACAAAAATCTTAACATTCTAGTAAACACCAACTAAAATTAAAACATAGCGATCACTATCCATGTGCAGATCATGACCTAAAGAAGTTGATCTCAAAGTCCAATGATCTGCTGCTGTTGTGATATTTTGGACGAGAACTGATGAAGATGGCGTAGAACCTGTACCTTGAGCTCCCTGTAGACGAAAAATCAAATTCATAAGCACAATAAAAGATCTGAAACCAACTAAGAGAAACAGTCTTTTAAAGAAGCAGCAAGCACCTGATCTGATCCAGCAGAACCTTGAGTATCTAATATAGAGGCAGGGTCTGCAAAACGAAACGCAAACTCTTGGTCCAAAACGGCACCAGCATCATTACTTGTTCTATTACTTTCTTCTCTAATCAAAGAAGCTTCCTCTACATCCATAAGTAACTCTGTAAAAGAAGCTTCGGGCATTACTGTGTCACAAACCCGATCTTCAGTCAAAATCTCAGGTACATTTGCTGAAGACACCATTCCAGGACCATCTAGTTGAGTACTACAGAATCTAACTCTGCGCTTTTGGTAAGGAATATGTAGCCTCTTGAGTTTCCATTGGAACCATGACATCAAATTGCTTTCACCAATAGGGTTGTGAAGAGATTAAGCTACACATCAGAGAGCTTTTTCAAATGACAAGTTTCCTGCTTTTAAATCATAACATATCTCAGACTATTAGAGAACACAAACCCAAGCTATTCAAATTACAATCTTTGAAGAACACACACACACACACTAATCATTACCGATAAGTTGAAAATAAGAGTGACCCTTTAACAATTATAGTACCAAAACGTAGGAGCAATGAAATTAAATCCATATTATACATCAAAATCGTAACTTTATCCCCAATTTTCATATATGCTGGATTGTGAAGAACCATTTGCTACTGTAACTAAGCTAAAGTGACAATTCTTTTCCAATTCGATATTGTAATAAACAAGATCCGTGAAAACCAAATAGCGAATTGATGTTTGGGAAACTGAAAGAGAGAAAAACCCAGAAGCAAGAATAGAGTAAAACCCTACCTTGAAATGAAGAAACAAATGTCGGATTCAATGTTCTTCTTCCTCGTATACGTGAAGCCCCAGGCTACGAACAGTTAATAGAACGAGAGACATGGTGTAGTTAATTAAGCTGTGTTGGGCCGAAGGCCCAAACTTCGATTTAGTCGATATCTCGTTTAGTCGATATTTTGCGTTACTGCTTGTTAAAAGTTAAAACACGTGTAAAATATAAATTTTTAAAATCAATGTAAATTTTTAAAATCGCTAGTGTCGATTTAAAATTTTCAAGATTGTGTAAAATAGAAACCATCATCCATTATCGTGCTTATATTTTATTTTAGATTCATTTAGTTAATAAAATTATACATGAATTTGTTTATTTTCATTGTTTTACGCAAAGTAAGATGTGATATCTTAGTTATATTGATTCACCGTTTCAGTGTATCACGTTTCTAATGCTATTTTAAAACAAACATAACACTTTCTTATGTCTAAAAAAAATGTACACATCATCTTTTAATAAATCAAAATACAATAATATTTATTTGATGACAGTTGTTTAAGATTCCAACGATACTATAGAGATGAAACTTTTTTGTTAATAGGTCTTTAAGGTCTAAAATATACCTGTAAATATATATATATATTTTTTTTGTCAATCACACATTAATTAATAAGAAACTCCTTGATTGGTTGCCCAATTAGGAGGAGTAGAGTCTACAAAAGAAATTTCAAAAAATAAAAGTCTAGAAGAACGGGCTAAGCAGTCCGCTTTTACATTACATAAACGAGAAATAAGTGCAAGCGAGAAGAAAGGGAAATAGACACGGAGTAACCCAAACTCGTCTAGCAGATTAGAGAAAGCAGGCCATTCTTCAAGTGACTGTATCATTGAAACTAACTCCGAGCAATCTGTTTCAAACACCTGACAATCGATCCTTCTTGCAAGGATATTCTTCATAGACCAAATTAAAGCTTCCATCTCCGAGTGAAGGGGGGAGGGACCTGTCCGAAGGCACTTTGCTCCGAGCAATATCGTTTGATCGATTCCATGAAAGCACCACCATCCTATACCCATAGTTGGATCCGAATATTTCCAAGAGCCATCAATCCGACATCTTATAGATTGAACTGGGATTTCCAAAATTTCCGTAATAGAGCTAGTTTCGATCGGTTCCAACTGAGCTTCTTCCCACAATAATTTTTCACTCAAAGCGTGATTTAAAATATCTAAGGGTTCTGATTGTAATCCCTGTAAATATTTGAAGGTTTGTTTTGTTAATAATTTAGTTGAGGGGTTTTAAATAGACCAATTAACACTTAAGAGTTTTTTTTTTTCATTTACATCTCTTAGTTAAGGCTTTTTCATTATTAATATAGCTAAGGGTTTTAAAATACTATAGATATGTCGATACTTGAGGGTTTTTTTTCATTAACATCCCTATATTAATCTATACTAGTATTTCAGTAGCCTTTGTTTTAATAAATATTTTTATTTTTAATAATAAAAATTAAAAGACAGAAAAAAAGAAATTCTATTAAATTCATTCATAAAATCTATTCATTAAAAAGTGTGGATGTTAAATCATAAATGGCTAATATTTATCTTAAATATCTTACTATTATTTCTTTTTGACCATTTTATTTATAAGAAGAGAAAAGCCCAAAAACATGGCCAGTACAAGTGATGTTAAGAAGCCAAATTCTCCAATTTTACAATTTTAGTGAAAATTAAAACAGCTTATCCTACACAATTTAAAGATAAGGATAAGAAGAAAAAGTGTCACGTCAGAATGAGAGATAACAAAAAACAGTGCCGATAGTCGATAAATCTACGATCAGACACAGCTCCATCGATCGCATGGTGGCTTGTACAAATTACAAAACACCACCACGCGATCCTTGTACAATTTTCTCCGCTGCAAATCCGATTGAACTTCATTACAACCCTCTACAAATTACTTTAAGAAAACTCATTGAGTCTTCTTCATCTCAATCCAATTTCTTAGAAGGAAGCTCTGCCAAATACCTAACTCCAAAGTTCAAGTCATACCAAATGACAAAGATATTACTCCTACATAAAAGAAACGTTAAGCCGACAATAAAATAAAATAAGGTGCAAGAGCGGTAGTAGGGAACGGGGAGAACATAGAAATCTGGAGGAACAAATGGTTAGGTTCCAAGCCAGCAGATGCAATTCTCAGAGTTAAGAAAGTGGATCCCCAATATTATCGAATTACATCCTCATTGTCACGGGTCCAAGACTTACTTGATGAAAGTGGACGAGAATGGAGAAAAGACATTCTTGAGATAGTATTTCCAGAGGGAGAAAGAAGGCTGATTGAGGAATTACGACCATGGGGAAAGGGTACTCAAGATAATTATATTTGGGATTATACCAAGTTTAGAGAATACACTGTCAACAGAGCCGTGCCTATGGGTAAATAAAAAGGCATTTGTTTCAGGCCCCCAATAAATAAAAGAATTTTAAGGGCCCCCAAGTCAAGAAAATGGTGTGTCGTAATGGTTATGAGGGACGCTGATTTCCTGAACAACCTTAGTTCGATTCCCCTTCCTTATTTCTTTTGAAAAGAAATTTTTATTCCTGGTGCTAGCTATCATATCCATTGAGAAAAAACTAGTTAGGAACCTAGATTATGAGAATTTGGTGAAAGAGTTTAATCAAAAAGGAAAGAAAAAAATTATGTCTTAGTTAACCAAGTGTTCTTGGTCTAGTGGTTGCCACTTGTGGAGGAGTTGCCCTGTTGGTCTAGGCCAGGGATCGATTCCCCGCAAGCGCGCAATTGCTAGATCTCCACTTGGCCACTGCGCAATTTACCTGCGGGGCGCAGCGTCCCAGACCACCAGTTCCGGGGGGCCCTTAAGTGGAGGCTTAAAAATCCCAGGCACGCGGGCTTAGGTATCCAGTAGGCTAGTCGGATCACTGTGTGGTCTGGACACTGGGTTATCAAAAAAAAATTATGTCTTAGTTAGATTATTTTTTGTTTTCAATAATTTTTATCGTTTCAAAATTATGTCAGTAAAAAATTTATTGGGAAGACTCTAATTTCAATCTCGCCTTAAGCACGGAATCAGTGAACTATCTATTGTTCAAATGCAGCTTCGCTAGACTAATTTGGGCCATCTCACCTATTCCAGCTCCTCCAAGAGGTGAATGGGCAGATTCGCTATACGCCAACTTATACTGGGTCTTGAATCTGGAAAAGGAGCAGCCCCAATTGGGAAATACTGCCCATTTAGTACCTTGGCTACTATGGCATCTGTGGAAAACCAGAAATGAACTAGTGTTTAAGGGGAAAGAGTTATGCTCAAGAGGTGCTGAGGAGAGCAAAAGATGACTATGAAGAATGGAGCACCATGAGAGTGGTGGAGGCTAGGAATTCTGGTTCCAAAGTAGAGAAAACCTCACTCGGGCGTTGGAGACCACCGCCACACCAATGGGTAAAATGTAACACGGATGCGTCTTGGCATCAGGAGAACAATAGATGTGGTATTGGTTGGGCCCTACGTAATGAAAAGGGAGAAGTATTATGGATGGGAGCTAGAGCATTGCCGAAGACGAAAACTGTGCTGGAAGCTGAACTAGAAGCTATGAGATGGGCAATTATGAACTTGAGCAGGTTTCACTACAAGAAGATCATGTTTGAATCTGATGCTCAGGTATTGATCAATCTTTTGAATAGTGTGAAGCTTGGCTAAGTCTACAACCAGCTTTGCAAGGCATTCAAAAGCTGCTCCACCATTTTGAAGAGGTTAAATTTGTTTATATTCCAAGAGGAGGAAATGTAGTGGCAGATAGGATAGCAGGGGAATCTCTCTCATTTTCAAGTTATGATCCTAAGCTTTATTCTATAGTGCCTTATTGGATTAGAAGTACTTTGGTTTAAAACCTTTTGTTGTAAGAACGTTGGTGAATGAGTAGTTGAAGTTGAGCCCAAAAAAACAAAATAAAAGAATAGTGGAGAATCCATCGATTGCAAACAAAGAAATTAGAGAAAAGGCGACCAAACCTAAAAAAATCTGGACATCTCCGAAAAATAAATCCGATAACCGGAGTTTATTATCCGATCTCAATCCGAAACTAATTAACCCTTTTGTTTTTTTTATGTTTTGGTTGTGTCAGTTTCGAACAGTGTTTGTCTTTCTCCCTCAACAACAATGCCCGTGAAATGGTAAAGCTTTGATCCTATTTCGTTTCGAATCTTCAAAATCTCGAATCTTTCGTTTCTTTTCTGATAAATCTTCCGATTCTTGCCTCTGGGTTTTGATTTTTTTCTAGGGTTTTACATTGGCAACCAAACCAAGGATCAACAGTAAGCAGCCAAATCCTAAACGAAGTAACACAATGTGTAGAGAGCATCAATGGCGTCAAAGAAGGAAGATGGAAAGCTACTCTCAACTATTACAAACCCATGTTACGAGACCAAGCAAATCAATCGGAGTTTCCTCGTGATTTTCTAGGGATTTCACTTGCGGATCAGCCGAATAAGTACTATTTCATTATTAGGTCGCAGAGGATTGTGTTGGAAGCTGATTCTTCGATTCAATTGATAATGGAGAAGCTTCAGTCTTATAAATCGAAAGTTGCGCTTTACTTTGATGGGTTTCAGTATCAGCTTGGTGATTTTAGGTTGAGAGTTGGTAAAGTTGTTCCTACTCATTCTGAGAATGTTAGAGGAATTGTCATGGAGGTAATAAAGTTTGGAGCTTTTTTTATTGTTATCTACATGCCCTTTTGGTTTTGATTTTGGTGATGATGATGTTTCTTGATGCTATTTACAATGTTAGAGCTTGAGCAATCTACATGATGAAATCGTTGTTTTTGTCTTGTTAGCGGAGTGTTCTTGTAATCCCCATGCCCTTTTGGTGATGATCCTTGATGTTTAGTTACAATGTTGATGAATCTAGAACCAGAGTTTGGTGTAATACCTTTTGGTGATGATCCTTGATGCTATTTATAACGTTTAGAGCTTGAGAAATTGAGAGCGGTGGATAATCAATGTTTGATGCACTTAGTTGATGAAAATCCTTGTTTCAGATTGTATTTGTTGACAGAGTTTGCTTGTAATCTCCTTGCCCTTGTGGTGATGATCCTTGATAGTTACAATGTTAAGATAGATGATGAAAAGTGAACAATAGTTGTTGCATATAGAACAAATGTTCTTGTTAACAGATTTCTTGTAATCTCTTTTGGTGATGATCCTTGATGGAATTTACAATGTTAGAGCTTTTGAGCAAATTGAGATAGATGAGTAACAATATTTGATGCAGCTAGATTATTGAAATCGTTGTTCTAGATTGTCTTGTTAACAGAGTTTTTCTTGTAATCTTCATGCCTTTTTTGGTGATGATGCTTAGTTACAATGTTAAGATAGATGATGAGAATTGAACAATTTGATGCATCTAGAACTATGTCTTGTGAATGGATTTCATGTAATCTGTCTTTTGGTGATGATCTTTGACGCTATTTAAAATGTTAGAGCTTGAGCATTTGGGACAGGTGCATAACAATGTTTGATGCATTTAGTTGATAAAGTCCGTGTTCTAGATTGTATATTGTTAACAGATTTTCTTGTAATCTCTTTTGGTGCTATTTACAATATTTAAGACAGATGTGATGAACATTGAACAATGGTGATGCATTTAGAAGATAAAAATCTTGTTTTTATACAGATTTTTTGTGTTAAGAGAGTTTCTTGTTATCTCTTTTGGTGATGATCCTTGATACTATTTATGATGTTAAGACAGATGATGAAAATTGAACAAGGTTGACTATGAATCTACAAGTTTCTTTAGTCTTGTTACGTGTAATCTCAATGATGATGAAATCCTCCTTCTTTTAAATCTTGATTGTCTTAATGCGCTAATCTAATCTAATCCTCCTTCTATATGGAGCTATTCCCTTTTGGTGGTGATCCTATTTGATGCATCTTGAAGTCTTAAAATCCAGTTTGTCTTGTTTCGTGTAATCTCAATTTCGAGTTTGTGTGTTGTAACTTGTAACTAAAGGCTGTGTGTATCATTATTGCAGGTGGAGTATCTTCCTATATCATCAATGGAAAAGGCACAAAAAGTGATGGAGGAGTTCTTGGAGATATGGAATGAAGCTCTGGCTAAAAGATCGTTGCCGGGTAAGTTTGTGAACATAGATCTCAACTTTGGGGAGTTTGGACTTGGAGACAACTACACTCCACAACACACTGCTGTTCGATACGCTCTCGTGATGGCTCACATGATAGCTACCGTTCAAGCTGTGAGAGGCTAAACTTGTTCTGAAATCACCAATATGACTCACATGTATTTCTAGGTAAAATTCTGTGTTCTGCAATATTAGTGATTTCGTTGGTCATGTTTATCTATAAGAAGAATTGAGAATAAAAAAAATTGGACTTTTGAAAAATATGTTAAAAAAACATAACTAAACTTAAAAATAATAAAAATGTAGAAAAGAGACTCTCTTGGGGTGTTGTTTCTTCAACTCCACAATGCAGAACAATTTGTGGGACTGAAAGAAATCACATTTGTAGAAGAATCATAACCCACCAATAAATTGTTCTGCGCTCTATTCCCAAAGATAGAAGGCATTGACGGATCACCACACCCAATAGCCAGACAAAAGGTTCCTCCCGTCAATGTTTCGACATACATATTGTACTTATCCAAGACAAGATCCGCACCGCCAGCAAAATGAAATGTGATCACCGGAAAGATCTCCATGGTGGCCCAATTGTAGCAAAGCAAGTTCTCTCCGCTCGGGTCAGGTACTTGATTCGCTGCCACAACACTTGCCGCCACTGCCTCCCTCACTAGGTTGCAGTAGCTCGTAGGTAAGTACGTGTAAGTGGTTCCAGAGTCTATAAAAATGTTCCCGTCTTCGGCATGAAACGGTGTCCCCAATGTCTCAATGCGTTTGTCCCCAACGCTGACCGCGTCTAGGTTTAGGTAATAGAAAGGTTGATCTTTCTTTATAAACATATCGGCTGCTACCGTCCCATCTCCTGCCACAACAGCATTTGTTCCAAAATTGATCTTACTAGTTCCTTGACTAGAAAAGCAGTAAGACATAAGACCTGGGATGGGCATGTCCATCTGAGAGATAAGCGACGAAGGTCCCATATTTAGACCAACAATGCCCGAAGAACTCGCTGCAAACCCTGGTGTCATGAGGTTTGAGTTGTTGAGGCCACACCCAATGGATGTTTCAGCCATCACAAAGGGCTCTCCTGAAGTGGACTGGATCGTGACCGTCTCGGTTGCCAAGGTTCCCGTGGAATAGCTTTCGTCCGCGTAGATAATCTCGTAATGACAAGGTTTCCCATGGCATATTTTTTCTTTGAAGGTTGAAGATTTAGAAGGGTCGAATATAGGAGCGAATTGGTTGTAGCAGTTAGGACAAGGCATACATTGTGTCCATATAAGGTCACTTCCTGTGTCTATCTCTGCTGCGATCTCGAAAGGAGGAGTACCGAGTTGTAGTCTCATTAGATAGATGCTGTAATCAAAGACAGTATCGGCGTAAGGTGATGATCCGAGCAACTGATTTTTGGATAGTCGAGAAGAAGATGAATTCGAACGACGCTGGATTAAGTCAATGGTGAAGCCGTGAGGTGATGAGGCAGTGGCGGTGAAGAGAAAACATGTAATGATTTGAAGTAAAAGAACAATCATTGTGGTGGTTCCAAGAGACATTGATTTCGAATGGTTTTGAGACACAATGCAATGCTCTTCATTCATGCACGTATATATATAACTTTCTGGATTTTTTTGTCGTAATTGTTAAATGTCCTTATTTGTCAACTTTGTCCAATCTCGGTTTTTTCCAGGGCATGGGGAAATTAACATTTTATTACTTAGTTTTACATTTTTTTGGGGGGGTTTTCATTATTTTTAATGGAAATTATATATCATATCGTTATAGCAAAATGTATATGTTCGTCAAATTTTTAGTTTTAAGTAATTGTAGACGGGTAATTTTGTATCCTATACTATTATTTGGGAAGTACAATTTACAATTAGCCCTTAATATTAACATTCACCTTTGTAAGAATTTACTTAAGAATGCCATTAGAAATAAAATTTCAAAGAGTAAATTAATTCATCTCATTAAGGATAAACAAGTAAATTTATACAGTTTAATTAATTTAATTTAATTATAAAAACAAAAAATACATTATTATTATTATTTTTAAATGACCAATCAAAATGAATATATAAAGTTTGATATCTAACTTACCTTATTAATTTGTTATTAATCATTATATTTCACCTCTCATCTTTATATGATTCTATTATTGTGAAACAAAGAAATCATCATATCATCCATATATATAAAAAATAGATTTTTTTCCGCATATGCCATGATTTGAATTTTTAAAAACGAATATAAATTATTCAATTTATGAAAAAAAAATTTAACGAGTCAAAAATTTAGACTTGGATAATATATTTATTTTAAACAAAAAAAATTTTAACAAAAATTCCGCCTGAATAACGGGTCAGAATTTGAGTAATTATATTCAATTTCATATATTTTTTAAAATATATAATTTTATATACTACGATAAAATTTTAAATATTTTAATTGTTAATAATGCCACTTTTTCAATGCCACTTTTCAAAAATACCCCTTTTTAAAAACTTTATAAAAATGCTCTTAAAAATATAAGATTTACCCAAATATGTATGTAATATTATTAAAACATACACAAACTACATTTCTATGTATCTAAAATCTTATAAATACTTTATAAATACCTTATAAATGCATTTTAAATACCTTTAAAAACCTTTAAAATATCTTGTAAAACCTTTGAAAAACCTTAAAAATCCTTTAAAATAACTTGTAAAACCTTTGAAAACACCTTATAAAACCTTATAAATACTTGGATCGAGTCTTCAAGTAGTAGTTACAATCCATAAGTACCTTATAAACCTAATAAAACTTTATAAAAATTTCAGATTTAAAAAGGGGCATTTTTGAAAATGGACATCTAAAATGGGCATTTTTGAAAGGGGGCATGAGAAAAGGGGTATTTTTGCTAATCCCCCATTTAAAAATAGTTTTACTTGATATTTAAAAACAAATATCATCAATACTTAATAAATAAAAAAATAAAAAATTATACATACACTAATTTGGTTTTCTTAAAACAAATATATTTAAAAAATATTTATAATAGACAGTGGGTTAAATATAATATATTTTATAATGGAATGAGTTATGATCTTTATAACTATTTGAATATTTATATTTAAGTTCATACAATTATTTTTAAAAATTCTTAATTTTATATTCTACAGTAAAAAATAAAAAAATATTTTAATTTGGAAAAATTTAAAAATAGTTTAATATAATATTTTAAAGAATATCATAAATATTTAATAAATCAAAAGATAAAAGTTATAAATACTCTAATTTCATTTTTTAAAGCATAAATATTTACAATATTTATAGCAAGCAGCAAGTTAAATGTAATGTATTATGTGATAAAAAGAGTTATGATCTTTATAACCGAAACCATGTTAAGATTATATGATGAGATGAGTTAAATAAGGTTTGACACCTCTAAATATTTAAAATTTTGATTCTATAAGTATATATGAAAATAATGAATGATGGATTGTGCACATAATTTTTTCATTGGGATTCTAAAATAAAAATATAAGTACGCACAGGTTAAATTTAATCTTATTATATACCTAAATATGTTTATTATATACGCAAATTTTTTTCACTTACTACTAGCATATATCAAATACATACGTTTTATTTTTAACCAAAAAAACGAAAAAAAACCGTAAAAATAGAACTGTAACTAAACCGAATTACATACGGTTTCTATATGGTTTCACTTTCTACAAAACGAAAAAACGATACTAAACCGAAAAACCGTACCCCACCCCTAATATTTTCTCATCAAACAAAATAAAATAAAATAAAAAATCCTTATATGACATTGTATTATGTAAAGAATTATTAAATTGTACTATAAAACAAACAATAATCCAACTTTATATAAATATTTAAAAATTAAAATTTCATCCGTGCTGGAATACCCTAACCAATTTTTTTGGTTAGTTAACAAATTATTAATTTTTATTTGATTATACACCATAATTTCCCTAATATTTACATTATTTACTGTAAAAATAAAAGGAAAATTGCATTATCATGAAGATTTTGGTCTGTATAAGTGTATCTCACGCTTATTTGTAGGTTGAATCGGCCTTGCATTTGAATTTGAATCCTGCAAAAAAAAAAAATTGTAAACATATATAATTCACTGCTAAGACATATGTTGTAACATTCGATTAGTATAAAATTATCGTACTGTAGAATTCATGTATCATTAATTCATTATATATATAAAACTCACATCGTGAACAGCCACTCGGAGTAGATTCACTTGTCTCTCCGTCACAGTCCTTGTCTACAAATTACACAAAGAAATTATGAATTAAAAGATACAATGGTCGTACGGAAAAACTAACACAAGAATTCCCATTGGTGGTATAAAACATTTTAACGAAAAAAAGAAAACGGTAAATAAAATAAATATACCGTTCTAATGATGGTCCATGTAACATTTTGCGTACAAGGAGGAGTGGTAAGTGATCCAATATATCTATAATAGTTTCTGCTCTCAATATTAATTTTACTTGGATCTATCATTACTACATTTTTCTTGGCGTCATTTTGATCTGTAATCGCCGCTAATTTATGTTCCAACTAACCAAAGCAAAACAACAACAAAAAATTTTGGTTAAAAAATCTATTATTTAGGAAACTAAAAGCTTAATAAACTCATAGTTCTGACAATTTATACCAATCCGAGAAAAGAGTCTGGCTTTCCAATTTTGTAGAGCACTGTGACTACAGCCATACTTCCGTTCTTGCTTTCGTGAACCATGTGTAGCTCGAGAGCAAACCTGCCATTTATCATTTACCATATTCAAAGAATTACCAATAAGTAATAAGTCATGTTTTCCATTGTAAGAACATTTTTGTTTTTGAAAATGATGGAATTTTGTTAATCTTTATGCATATATATGCATGTGACATTATTTTATATGAAATGATGTTTAATTGTTTATATAAATTAACTATTGATATATAAACAGAAACTACTTCATATTAATTAGTGTATAAATAGAATGTTACATGCATGTGACTAATGCTTTTTTGTACCTTCTTCCGTTGATAGTATGTTCAGAGGGAGAATGCCAATGAAGCTGTAGGAGTTTATATTCAGTTCCATTGATCTTAGTACTTCCTGCTGACCCTTCTTCTCCAAATTTCAGCTGCGACAAATATATAAAATTATGAAAACTTATAAATTAGGGATATATATATAATATGGATAGATAAAATATACCATCATGTCATGGCCTCTATTCTTGAGAGTGGCATTAGAAGGTTTGTAGTTTCTAGTAAGCTTTCCAAGATGAGAAACAAGTTTAACTCTTTTGTTCATAAGATCAATTGGAGATTGCATCTCTCCTTTTCCGCACATTTTCCATTCCGGTTTCAGTTTTCCCCATTTCGCAGGCCCGTTTTCTTTGTTCAACTCATAGCTGAATTCACTTTCATCCTCTATATCCATCCATATCATATAATATATAGTTTTTAAAATGCAAAAAGAAAAACTTCTAAGCCATATATATATGGTAGGAAAAAATGAATCAATATAACTCGTATAGCTTACCAACTTCTCTATCTTGTTTTGCAGCACTAGAACATGAAACAATGGTGCCGAAGATGGTGAGAATTACTACAAAAAAGAAACACCGTATTGATGATTTATCCATTTTAAGAAAGGAAGAGAGAATTATTCTTAACCTAAGAAAAAAATTGGATGTAATAGAAATATATAGGATCTGATTGTTTTTATAAAGAAAGAACAAAATTCTACTGGATCCATTTATTTTTAACCAGTAAAAAAAAAGGGTTGGAAAATCTTTTCCCTACATTCTAGGTGGAAATGAGAGGAAAAGAGAGTAAAACTTCTATCCATTTAAAGAGAGGGAAAGGGAGGACAAATGCAAAAGTTTTCTTTCTTATAACTTTAATTATAAACAAGTATTTTATCTTATCTTAACAACAATTTGATTATTTTTAGTTTTTTTTTTTATTTTGTGATTTGTGTCTTCAAAAATAAACTTGATATTTTAAAAAATAATACTCAATATTTTAATAATTATCAAATCTTCTTATTTGCTCTACTTATCTTTTTTCTTCTTTTTTTTCATTCCTTACATTTTTTTTCTATTATTCTAGATGTTTACCGATGGCAGTATGGCACCTATATATAGTTGATGAGATTATTATAACTGCGTTATGATTTCGTATAGATATGTTACACGCCATCTTAATCGTCATGTGAAACGCCATCTTATATTATTTAAAGTATGTTAAATTTTAATACCAATCTAGACGACATGTGTAATGCTTGACTCTTGTTGAAAACATGCATGCTTTCGTTTACCTTTCACATTATTTCGTTCAAAACTCTCTAATTCATCTTTTCTTAGATTTTTCATAAGATTTATTCATATTATAGTCGCATTCATTGTTTATTCAATTTGTCAAGATAATTTATGTATACATATTATGACCAAGTTATACGATGAAGTTCCCTGGACAAGTTTTATAGATGAAAAAATAGGATAGAACATAAAAGTGGCTTTCATTTTTTCTAGGGAAGATGGGACACCAAAGAATAATCAGGGAACACATACATCATTTATTTCGTATCATGAAATAAATTTTACACTTTAATAGAAAAAATGAAATAAATGGTACTGCATTTGATTCACGACGCCTTGATTCATAGAGATTTTGGTCTGTATAACTTTACCACACGCTTATTTGTAGGTTGAACTGGCCTCGCATTTGTATCTGAATTCTGCAAATTATTTTTCAAACATATATACATTTCACTTCTAAGATATAGCAAAGTTGTAAAATTCAATAATAAGTACATTATTTAAATAAAACTTACATCGTGAACAGCCACTCGGAGTAATCTCACTTGGTTTTTCGTCACTGTCCTTACCTAAAAATCACGCAAATAAATATAAACAAAAAATTATAATATAAAAGGTAAATAAAGCTTTTGGATATTGACATTCACACTATTTGTACTTCGTAATTAATGATTTACTAATGGTGTATTTAAGTAAAAAAAAGAGAAGAAAATATCGATGAATAAACCTTTTTAACGACGGTCCAAATAACATTTTGCGTACAAGGAGGAGTGGTAAGTGATCCAATGTATCTATAATATTTTCTGCTCCCAATCTTAATATTCCTTGGGTCAATCATTTCTACATATTTTTCCGCCTCATTTTGATCTGTAATTGCCGACAATTTATGTTCCAGCTAATCAAAAAGAAAAAGAACAAGATTAGTTACGATCATAATTAATTATTTAGAAAACTAAAAGCTTAATTAGTCGTAATTCTGATTTATACCAATCCGAGAAAGGAGTCTGGTCTTCCAATTTTGTAGAGCACTGTGACTACAGCCAAACTCCCGTTGATGTTTTCGTGAACCATGTGAAGCTCGAGAGCAAACCTACCATATATGATGTACCCACTATATATTAACTGGTATGTAAAAATCGAAAATGGTTTTTAAATATAAGAAAATTGAAACTAACTTTTAATTTACAAACAATAAGATTCCATGCCATTAATTTATATAAATTTGAATGTAATTTATAATAAGCTCGACAAATAGCATAATTTTAAGTAACTCGATTACGATATGATGTCAATTAAACATTTAAATTTTAATATGGATCAACTATTTATAAAATTGATTCAACATTATAATTAAAATATTAAAATTTTTATTTTTTGTAGTAGTTATTTATGCCAACATTTTTAATTTTAAAATTAGGAGAATCGTAAATTAGACTCAAAATAAAATAAAATGTTATTTATTAATCATCAGAACTTTTTTTTTTGTATATGTTAATGTCTCTGTGTTTTCTTTTTTTTTTTGGAGAAATGTATTTGTGTTCTATTAGGTTTCTTTTGTAGGATAAATGGCTCCAATATCAAACAATTATCAACACAAATAAGATTTTGTTTTCTATATACATCTACAAAGTTTTACGGTTCAGAGATAGATTTTACATGTATGGTTCTGGGATCTAAATTTTGTAATGTATATATTCTTCCTACAAATTATCAGAAAATAGCATAACTATTCTTTTATTATCCAGAAATTAATAATTGTAATACCTTTCAATTAAAGTCTTGATGTGTACTAAGTACTTACTAAAAAAAACAGCTAACCTTTTAAATAGCATCAACGATATTGAATGCAAAAAGTTTAAATTAAAGTCGTGATGTGTACTAAGTACTAGCAATGGAAAACAACTTTTCTTTTGATGTGCGTTCATTAAATTATTTTTGTACATGTATGTTTTAATTTTGTTTTAGTTTTTGTTTTTCCACTCTTTTGTACATGTGTATTAAGCATATAAAATCTATTTCTATTATAGTTTTTTTTGTAATTAGTTTAAGTCATATGAGATTATTTTCAAGTCATATGAGATGTTATTTAAAAAATTTCTAAAATACTGTAAAGAATAAAGTTATTTTGTTTTATATTAAGTTTTAGTATTATAATGGTCCCAAGTATTATGGTATGGCTTAAATCTGGATTAGGTCCAAATTTATATTCATACAGATGATGAAATTTAGTTGTTAGAAAACATAACGAAAAATAAACTAATTTTAATAAGAAAATGAAAATAATTCTCAATTGTTTGGTATTAACAAAAAAATGAAATTTGATTTGATTTTTTTTTTTCTGGATAAAGAGAATTTGAATTTTTTTGAATTAAACCATATCATTTCATAATAAATTAAGCACATGTACATCGAACAGGTTATAATCGAGACGAAAGGAGAGCAAATTTTGTTATTAAATATTTAACCAGTAAAACTAATGTTTTTTATATAAATTTCATGTATATAGTTATGTTATAGAATGTTGCACACACCTTCTTCCATTGATGGTATGTTCAGAGGGAGAATGCCAATGAAGCTGTAAGAGTTTATACTCAGTTCCATTAACCTTAATACTTCCTGACCCTTCTTCTCCAAATTTCAGCTGCGACAAAATAAGTAAGAGTATATATATGTAAAAAAAACATTTAAAACTTTTAAAAAAATGAAAGATATCTATATGAATGGGTAAAAATTGATACCATCATATCATGGCCTCTATTTTTGAGAGTGGCGTTACAAGGTTTGTAGTCTCTAGTAAGCTTCTTAAAATGAGTAACAAGTCTAACTCTTTTGTTCATAAGATCAATAGGCGATTGCATTTCTCCTTTTCCGCACATTTTCCATTCCGGTCTTAGCTTTCCCCATTTCGCTGGCCCGTTCTCTTGGTTCCATTCGTAGCTGAATTCGTGTTCATCCTCTACATATTCATCCATTCAACATATAATTAAGTTTTCAAAACGCAACAAACAAAATTGTAAGCCATTATGTAGGAACAAAATGAACCAAGATCACTCTTGTAGCTTACCAACTTCTCTATAATCTGTTGTAGCACTCAAACACGAAACAATGGTGACGAAGCTGGTGAGAACTAGGAAGATAAAGCATCGGATTGATAATTTATCCATCTTTGTTTGTGAGAGAGATAGAGAGAAGGAGAGCGAGAGAGAGAGAGGTGATGATTGGAGTTAAATGTTTTGGTGAATGAAACTTGGATGCAATAGAACTATTTATAGTAGATGATGATTTATAAGTGCATTAGGATTAGATATGTTATACGTCAGCTAAGTCGTCACATTTTTTCTCTAATATTATTTAAAGTAATTTTAATGCCGATCGAGACGACATGTTTGACTCTTGTTGAAAACATGTTTTCGTTTCTCTTTCACGTTATTTTGTTTCCAAATCTCTTTCTTATAGATTTTTTCTTGGATTCGCAAGATTAATTCACATTCATTGTTTATTCAATTTGTCAAGATAGTTTTTGTATGTATGTCGACCAATTTCATAATATGGCGAAGCATTTCCCGGACAAGTATTTAGATGAAATGACTCATAAATAGAAACACAAATTTTAGCCAAAAAAATCGATATAGAATTTCAACAAAAAAGTTTATTTATGTAAGTGCACATTAAAGAACACATTTTTAAAAGTTTATTACATAACACTACTTACAGTTACAAAGCACTACGTGTACGTTTCATATCGATTGGTTTGGTTATCACAACCTTTTAATGCGCCAAGAAAAATCACAGCAATGTACATCATATTATTAAATAAAAGTTAGTACAATTAAATATTGATTCTGACATTTTATTTATATTGCAGAAAGCTCGATTTCTCAAGACAAGAAACACAAAAATATCGAAAGCTAATAAACATAGAAGTAGCGTTGCATGCATCCAATTTCTCAACGACTCTATCTATTCTTCAACCTCATATATCCATGGAAATAAGAATCTATGTGAAAAAAAAAAAATCATGTGATTAAGCAAATTCCTCTCTAAGACAAACATAAAAATATCAGCATAATCACGCATATATTATTTTATTCTCCGCCTTTTTCAATGATCTCATGTTCTACAATTGAATAATACTCTCATGCTTTTGAGGAATTGTAATTATTTATAATTATTTTTATGTAATATTATTCTAAACTATTTCTCGAGTTTTTCCTAGGCAGTATGTGAAACCATTTTATCAGCAAATTAAATTTCACGTATACAATGATGTAAAGAGGAGGAAATTCTTTGTAAAGGAAACATGAAGCAACATAGATATTTTACATTCATGTCCACGACCAAATGGAATCATGGGAGGAAAACTGTTTGATCTTTAGAGACTATTAGTCCAAATAATATAAAAATTTAATTATGGTAGTTGATATTTATTGGTTGAATACAAATATTTTACAAAGAAAATAGAAGTTTCGTATGCAAGGTCAAAAGAGTGGTTCAAATTTTCATATATGATAAGCTAATGAATGATGAAATGATGCTTGAATTATCTATCTAATCATGGCTAGTGTCCAAATAAATCAGTCAATAGAAATATATAAGCTGGTCGAATATTTTGAACACATGGGTGGCTTTTTAAGACTTGTACACGGTCGATTTAGTTTTGAATTTTTTTAAATTTTAATTGTTGTGTACCTAGAAGAGTCTTATGGTTGTTTGTATCATGACGGCTAAGAACAAATGCAATTTCAATTACTATTTAGTCTAAAAATATTTCTGATTAATGTATGTACTGATTACTATATGTATACTTTTAAAGTTGTTGGTTTATTGTCTAAGTGATGTGTATTTCAAATTGTTGAATAAGTACGAAATGAAAAACATAAGGCCTATATTTTGTAAGGCTTGTGTAAGAAAAACTGAAAAAGTTTAATTATAATAGATTTAGAGGCAAAATGCTTCAATGGCCAAAAAATAAATTAAAACTCCCAAACTAAAAGATATATATAACAATGGCTAAACAACGAGTGAGCAAACCTTTGAGAAAGAATTGACTACAACCTTTTCGATAAGGACGTGCAAGAAGTGTATCCCAAATACTTCTATCATTCTATGCAAAGACTGATGAAGGAGTAGAGGAGATAGAGTTGTGGAGACAATTATTTCTTTCCCTCCAAAGTATTTAGATTGTGTATTAGACTGCAATCCGCTTCAACGTTGTGGGAAAAAGAGACAGATTGCGACAAAAGGCGAACATGAGTGAAGACCAGTTCCAAAAGACACATGGAGTTTGGCAAAAGGCAGCATAGCAAGGAGTGCCACACTTGTTAGGAGAATGCACAATTGAGAAAAAGATGATCCAAGGATTCTTCCAAGGAGTCACAAAAGCAATAAGTAGAGAGAGCTCCAGTATTCATACCTCATTCAATAAGTCTAGCTCTGACTGATATCAAGATTATCAATCCAAAAATTAAAGACATGTTTAGAAACAAAACCTTCAAACCATACAGTCAAAACCCAATGTTTTCTCATATTAGCAGGTTTAAAGTAATCCCAAGGGATTTTAGTGGAGAAGACGGATTTGCGGGGATCAATAGGACCACAGTTGAAGATGTCAAGACCTCTAGATGTGGAAGGAGGCTAAAGTGAGATCATATAATTGCAAAGTGTAATAGCCTTTGGATTTCTTGACATGCTTGAGGGGAGGTACCAATCATGATCACTACCTACCTCTACCACATACTTGCCATAGGTCTCAGGATAAGAAGGAGCTTCCAAATCCAGCTAGCATTGGGCTAAATATATGCAAGCCAAAATTTTGACCTTTAGAAGTAATGTTATGGAATCAAGGCTACCTAGAGACACTCACCATTTGGAAAGAGAAGCGAAATTAATTGGAGGTTGAGTACTTTGTTCCAAACATTGAAGTTTTACATCCTTAGAGTACCTCATATTTTGGAAGATATAGATTAGACCATAAGCAGTGCAGACCATAAGAACCGGCTACTGAGCTTCTCAATCTCCCCTAAACATCGCTTAGGAAAAGCAAACATAGAAAACCATAAATTCACCACACTTAATATGACTCAGTAAATAAGGAGAGAAACTTCACAAACCAATCATTAAATCTAGTCGATACCTTATCAATGAGGGGGGAATAAACTAATTTTTGCTGCCCTTACTATCAAGGAGAGGAAGACTAAGATAGATAATAAGGAGATTACATGATCGAAAGCCAAATTGAGAGTTTGCAGATGCTTCCTCTTTGTTCAAACCGACATGAAATATAGAGGTTTTTCTTCTATTCATGGTCAAACGTGAGATGGCATGAAAACTCTCAAGAGTGAATGTGATTTCCTGCATAGAAAAGGCTTGCCCATCAAAATAAAAGCATTACATCATTAGCAAAAACAATATGAAAAATCTTAGGATCTTTTCCCAGAGGATGATAACCAATACAACATTCCTCATATTTTGAGTTTAACATGTTTGTGAAGATCTCCATGGCCACTACAAACAAAGGTGGGAGATAGGGGATACCCTTTCATAAGATAGTTAGGTCTATTACTTCCTCTTAAATTAATATTTCGAATATATTCTATTTTAATATTTTATTTATAAAAAAAATTCTTACTTTTAAAATTTTCAAATTCTAACCACTTAATTTACTGTTTAATCTTTGTGATGTCATTTTATATTCTAAATTAATATATGGGTTGTGTGCAAAAAAAAACCTCAAAGTCGTCTATTTTTGTAACTTTACCATCCACCTTCGAAAAATGCAGAATAATCCTACGAAGTCAAAAATAATATGCAATATAGCCCTTATACATAATGTATATTGTAAACGTATTCACGAACACATATATTTGATTTTTAAAAATCTAAAGGTAGAGTTGAACTCCTCGTCTCGAGGGTTTCGATTTGATATATTACTTATCAAATTTTTAAAAACTTGACAATAGCAAAAAATGGCTATATTGCGTAATATTTTTGACGTATGATTATTCTGCATTTTTCGGAGGTGGAAGATAAAGTTGCAAAAATGGACGACTTTGAGAGTTTTTTTGCACAAAGCCCTTAATATATATGTTGTTTTGTATTTTAAAATTTTAATTATTTTAGTAACTATGTTTTTAATAGAAATTTATGTAACTATAAAATTTAATTATATAATTTGTTTTGGTTAAATGTTATCTTAAATTATTTTTTGTCAACAATGTTATATTAATTGAAACCAACAAAAACAGAGTACTTACAAAAGGGTACCAGAGTGAAAAAGTAGCTTAAGGCATTAAAACCAGCCCATAAAAAAACAGAACACAAAACATAGCTTGATTACAGCTTTAGCCCAATTTTTTTTTTTTTGAACACCAACAGCTTTAGCCCAATTATATAATTTTATTTAGGTATAAAATGATAATATAATAAAATTGAGAGATTATTATGTAAATAAAATTTTTTTGCTTCATTACGCTATTTTTGAAACAACATATAGAGCACCATTAGAGATGTTTTTAATCCTATCATTAAAGATGATTTTATTCTAAATATATAATTTGGAGAAACATTTAGAGCACTATTATGTTCTTCTTCTTTTTTTTGTGCAAAACACTATTATGTTCTTAATCCTTTTAAAACCCAACATATATTATGATGATATACTGGATATAGAAATTATTTGTTAACCTCAAGGGTACATATGGCAACATTTAATGGTTAGAGAGAACGGGTGGCGCGACATGACTTGCAAAGTAAGGGTCTTTTATTTTAATTAGGCGTAACGAGTTAGCTTAGAACTGAAAGCAACTTGGTCCATCCCCATAATTTATTACTATATCTTCTAATCTTTGAAAATGTTTGATAAGAAGATTATGACTGTATGATAAAGAAATAGGTGGATCTATTTAGTTTTTAGCTTTTAAAATTAGCTTACTTAAAGAGTGTTGGGGTTTAAAATGTCAATAATGGGCCAGAAGATCGAACCGTATGCTTCGGAAATGAAGCATATTAGTGTTTTTTCAGTCGAGGTACCGACATTTGATACATTACTTTTTAAAACATAACGAGTCAGAACCTATATATTGTCGGGAAACCTTTTTAAAAATCTACTAAATCAACTGGAAAGGTTACATTTACATATTTCACACACAAAAAAAAAGAGCAACATGAAATCACATAAGCGTTGACATAGGAATCGGTTATGGTGGCAAGCTATCTTTTAAGGAGTCTTGAATCAAATTCAACTAGTAATACCGGAAGACATGAATAGTTTTCTACCACAAGATGTAACAAAAGTCGATGTAAGTACAGAGAAACCACATTAAGAATATAGTATCTACCTATTCATTGTAGCTCTATAATTTTCTCACTAATCTATAAAATAAAGTCCTCCAAAAATAAAGAAATTAAGATCATGAGAGAACAAGAATATAATTTATGAAATTTAATTTTAAGAATAAAAGTTGGATCATGGATACAACTGCAAGAATAATTTTAAAAGAGAAGCATTGGAAGCAAGGAGTGAAGCGGTGAGTGAATCTTGTGACTGTTTCTGCTGTCACTGTTTATCTTTTTCCTTTCTTTAATTATTTGATTTTTGCTCTTTTTTCTTTTTCTGTTCTGTTATAATAATTGTAAGTCTGTTATAATTGATCAAAATAATTCATATATATAAAAGTGTAAATGTGGTGACCAGAAAAAATAACAACCCAAAACCAAAGAAGAACCTAATCCACGTCTATTTAGTTGTGGTTGTGATTCTCTTGCCAAACCCTAAGCCGGTCATCACCACGTCCATCTCGTGTCCACTACCTTTCTATTTTTCATTTTTTTATCAAATCACATTTATTTACATGATAATGTTTTTCTAATTTTTATTTTTCTTGAAAATATGAATCCAAAAACGTATTTACAGAAATGTTGGTTATGAAAGGAGAATGATGAGAAAATTCTCAAACTAGCATTGGTCCTTATAGCATAAAGTCGTAACAGAGACATTATTATATATCTCTGCAAAGTAACAAAAATAGTCAGATATTTTTTAAGAGTTATTATAATCAAGATATTTTAAGTTTTAATCTCAAATAAATTTCTAAAACTATTAAAATCAGATATTTGTTTAAGTCAATTTAAATTTTTTAAAAGGGCCAACATATAATTCTAAATGTTTATTGCACCAAAGTCCAAACTAATCTCCATATCTACAGTAACTAATCATAATTAAAATTGTTGCCAACTCAAAACACCGCGAGATAGCGTTTGCAGCCAAACTGCAAACGCAGAATCTAAGTAATAGTGAGAAAAGAGGAGTCTACAACTACAAGTAATACAAATAGTTGTTTCACATGTTCAAAAAAAAGAAGGAAATTTTATTAATTCATAATATGCAATTTTAAAAAATAACAAAGAAAATACCTTAAAAAGAGGGAAAGAAAAGATGCCTTGGAAGTCACTTACTTTTCGTGAATGAAAGGCAACCATGAACACTAACCACTTGCTTACTCAAACTATTCTTACTTCAACAAGTAGATCATCTAACTATCACACAACCCTTTACTTAACTCCCACTATATTCCTCTCTTTCATTATAACTTGCACATTTCATTTTCCTCTTCTTTTTTTCTTAAATGATAATATTTGATTCAATTTTAAAAAAATAATTCCAATGATCAACAATATAGTAGTAAGTAAGAAGAATTCACAAATATTCATCATATTATGTAGTAAAAAAAAATAACAACTAGTAATGACAATCTATTAACGCTGGTGTTGCTGAGAATACTATCCCTTGAAACTTTGACTCTCTTAGATCATCTTCTGGTGCTGGTAGATTAAGATCCAACGGTAGATATTTCCTCTGCTGTTCCATCGAACGGCCTATATTTATCTCAATCTCTTCCTCTGTACTGTTTCTGCTAACTTCCGCGGTAGCGGCAACAGGGCTAGCCGCGGTGGTGGCTGTCCTGTGCCGCCTCATGTGGCCACCGAGAGCTTGCCCGGAAGTGAACTCAGAACCGCAGATGGAACACTCGTGTACTTTATTTGCCTTGTTGATGATGTTACTTGCCTGTGAAGCTAGGGCTGAGCCGGAAACTTTGAAATGACTGTTTTGCCCTTCTTCTGACAAACTAGACTTGGGTTGCATCAGGGGTAATCTAGTCTTTTCTTCAGTCGACGTCCTCGGCTTCTTGTGGCTTGCTCTGTGTCCACCAAGTGCTTGGAACGACGAAAACGTCCGGTTACATGTTTTACACTCGTACACATAGAAACTAGAATTCTCCGACGAGACTTTCTGATGAGTTTTTCTCGAGTTCTTGAGATCCGGCGATGGAAGAACCGTCCCACGAGCCAACATGATGAGACAAATCGCCATGTCTTCTTCTTCTTGCGTACAATCAGTAGTCACCGGAGACGAAACCGCCGAGTTGTATTCATCAGAAACCGCTCTTCCTCCTCCACTTCCACCGGCTGATGAACTTGTTGAGGTCACTGTCGTCGCCGCCGTCACCACAAACGTCGAAGACGATCTCTGTCGCTTCGTACGCTTCCCTTTTATGATTTGCGTCTGATCACTCCCAACCTCATCTTGACCCATCATCATATCCAAAAATAGTAAGAAAAACAAAACCCAAAACACAATTCAAGAAACCAATCAAGAAACAAACCCAATTCAAGAAACTTCGAAATTGTGAAGAAAAGAATGAAATCTTTGGTGTATATTATGTGGAGTGAACTAACAAGAAAGAGAGAGAGAAGAGAGAAGAGAGGCAGTGAAGAAGACGATGGTGGGGCTGCTTATATATATATTTATCGGAAAAAAAAAAAGAGAGAGGTTATAAGTTTGGTGGTTGTTAATCTTTTTAGTTTACTCCACAAAAGATTTTACACATCGATCCACTTTACATTATTATAATGTTATTAGCTAACCAATAACATTTTGACGGTTCACTCTATACCCATTACCTGACACTTCTGCGTTTTCTCTGCCAAATTCCATAACAATAAAATCAACAAATTTATAATTCAATGATGAAAAAATATTACATGAAAAAAAATAAAACCTTATGTCTTCTTCTTTTCTAGTTTCTGTTCTGTTGTATCTACTTTTAATCCATATCTTCGAAATCTGATCTCTACCTAGATCTATATACCAGAAGTCAACCCTTCATGACGTTTTTATTTATTAGTATTATATTAGACAGCTTCTTCTAGTACATACTTTCTAATAACAAACATATTAATATCAATTGGTCTGATTAATCAAACTCTTGAATCATTCATATTTGCATAATTAAGAGAGAATTATTATTAATTCTGAGTGAAAATGATTAATATTGTTGAAGCAAAAGTAGGAGAAATAAAAGGGAAAGTGAAACCCGTGAAGAGTTAACCACTGAATTAGGCAAAGGTTCATTAGTAGTGTTGAGTGGCACTTAGGCCACCAATTCACGTTTTTGTTATTTGTTTTTATTTATTTTATTTTCGAGTTTAATTTTTGGGAGTGTGAACATTCAGTTCTAAGGACAAAGCAAAGGTTTTACTTTCACGCACTTTAGGTCCACGTCATCAAATCGACGCTTTCAATGAGAACCGAAATAGATAGAACTAAAGATAAAAATGTTCACGACAGCAAATAAAAATAATATATTACATATTATTAATGGTCGTGACGACTACAAGAAAACTTTTGATTAATTTTTTTTAATATACTTATAAGATTATCAAAGAAAATAATGATTCACAGACATACATGGTTCATAATTAGGAGGCGACATGCAGTGGCCGGTGTTTATAGGATTAGGTGCATTCATCGGTGGCATGTTAGGCTAAAACAATTCTAAGCTTAGTCTTTGTTAATGTGAAGAGACAACACCACGACTTTTTATTTGTTCTCTCTTTTTTAATCATAACTTAGTTTAACATTTATATATTTGTTAGAGAGAGTTGAAAGCTAGTGATCAATTGGTTATCTACTTATCTTAGGACTGGAAACAGTTGCCCGTATAATGGGCTTATTTAGATAAATTTTAAAATAATTAGAAATTAGTTTTATCAGATTAGTACTGTATACTCAAATAATAGAAATGTTTTTTTTTTGACGGGTCATTTCTTTTAAAACATTTGCCGTCAAAAGAAATGTTTTGTATAACTTACTTTGTTGTAATATGTGGAAATGTTACAATATTGTTTTGTATGGGCAAGTGACAACTAACCATGCAGGTAAAAATAGTTCATGGTACAACCAAAAATAATACTCTATTGACTTTTAGAATAATTTTTTTTTTTTTGCTACGCATGTAAATATCATTAGAATGAATAATCAGGTTTTACAAACTTGTTAAAACCTATACAATTGAAACCTTGGCAAAAAAGATTAAAAACAAGGTAATCAATAAACTCTTGAAGAAATCTGGGTAGAAATCATCGCAGCCAAAGTGTCATTAACTTGTGGAAATGACGGTTCTGCTTCCTCGAGGTGATGGTGTTCTTGATGTCACGATCGATGAGCCTGAAAATAGATTGCGGAGTGAAAGATAGTTGGTTGTGAAGGATATTGTTGCGCTGTTTCCATACATGGAAGATGGAGGCCTGTGTGACTTTTAGAATAATTAGTTTTGCTGTAAGAAAAAAATAAAAGAAAAAGTAGTTTTATAGAGAATTTTTCAAAACGTAATACTCTATATATAGGCGGAATAAGTAATGTCAAGATTGAGAAGAAATTTATGAATTTTAGGTACGTCAAAATAATTATTTAATTCAACTAGAGTAAAATAGGTAAAAATAATTTATTCTGGAAAAATTATACACTTCTTTTTCTGTCAACTTACTTTGTAAGTCTCACAATGGGAGATTGAGGCTTGAACATATACATATGCATAAGGTACAATACGTAGTGGCTAAACCACCCCACGAAATCCTTGTCAAAATAAAAAGAAGAAGAATATTTCACAATCAAATTTTGGTTTATACCTTTCATAATAAATATTGTTATAGGATCTTGATATAGATTTCGAGTAGAAAAATACAATTGTCTTGACTTAAAATTCATACACACTGTAAATTAGAAAAGAAATGCAAGAGTAAATTTATTTTTAATGAAATAATAATTAATAAGATAATTCACTTAAGAAACATCAAAACCGAAACTTATATTGAAATAAAATACTAAGTAGTATTTCCTCCAAACAAGACTGGGATATTTTGTTTGGATATACAGTAAAACCTCTATAAATTAATAATGTCGGGACTGGAAAATTTTATTAATTTAAAGACGTATTAATTTATCGATAAATTAATAAATTATTAATTTATCGATAAATTGATAAAATATTAATTTATAGAGTGAATTTTCTGTTTTCATATTTTGAAATTTTTTTTTTTTTTTTTTTGTCAAACTTGAAATTTTCTTATTTAAAAATAAGAAGCTTTTGGTTATAATTCCATGTTTTTAAAAAACTTCTTTTATTTGTAGTACTTTATACTTTTATAATTTACATATTTTTTAATTGATTTTTCCATTTGTAAATTGTTTTAGGATTTTTTTTCTTTTGATTTCCTAATTGCTATGGTGTTTGATGTAGAAGCTTTTAGAGAAATTCCTAAAAATAGCCCTAAAACAAGTTTTATTGACAATAATAGCACACACTCCATAAACTTCCAAAAATAGCACTAGTTAACTTACTATTAGTGTTTTTGTTCTAAAAATTTTATCACTAGTTTTTTTTTCAATAATACCACAATTTTTATATAAAAGCTATTCAACAAAATAAATTTAAAATATTATATTTGGGTTCTCTATTTCCAATTTAGGATATATATTTCCACCATTTAAAAGAGATTTTGATTCATTTTAATATTAGTTTATGGTATTATATTTGGGTTCCCTATTTCCAATTTAGGGTATATATTTCCACCATTTAAAAGAGATTTTTATTTTAATATTAGTTTGTGGTATTATATTTGGGTTCCCTATTTCCAAATTAGGGTATATATTTCGACTATTTAAAAACAATTTTGATTCAATTTAATACTAGATTAATGTTTGCTCTCTTTTTTATTTTCTATCTTATATTTTCATTAAGTTAAATTGAAGTTTATGGTGCTATTTGTGGAACTTTTCAAATGAGGTGCTATTTTTGGAAAAAACAACTTTTTGGGGGCTATTTGTGTCAATCGCCCAAGTTTTTATATTAAGAGCATCGTAGCATTAGTTTAGTTAATATATTATTTTTTCTTTATAGGCCAAAACTACAAAACGAGAATTTTTTAATGCAGTAAGGAAGATTAGAGATGGGCTCCAACAAAAATGCAAATTCAAGAATAAGCAAACAATACAAGAGTCATATTTCACTAAATTTTCTTAGATATATATATATATATATATATATATATATATATTATATTTTATCTAATTATTAATTTATGGTATAGATGGGACCATATGTTTACATACGTTTTTCAAAAAAATTATTATCTTATTAATTTATCGATTTAAGTCATATTTTACACTGGACCCAACTCGGGACCGGAAGAATTTATTAATTTAGAGAGGTTATTAATTTATAGAGTATTAATTTATAGAGGTTTTACTGTAAGAAAATTCTATGTAGTCTAAATCTTTTGATGGAATAAAGATTTCATAAAAGGATAAATCTCAAGATTTCCGCCACCTGGGTTCGATTCCTGGTCACTGCGGATTTTACATGGCGGCTGCAGGCCTCCAGGAACCGACACGTGGAGAGCCATTTGGCCGTCCACGTGGCTAGTCGGGCCACTTCGGTGGGCCCGGACACCTAGGTTATCAAAAAAAAAAAAAAAATCTCAAGTGGATATATATAACATAATTTTTGGGCAAGGAAAGGTTATGTGTGGGATGCAAGTATGTTACATACACAAAACCCATCACTTCTTTCCTTCACCAGAATATTTTGCTAAATTCATGCAACATTTTGACTTTACATAGGGATTGCTGCTCCTATATAATATGTATGCCACTATGGACTATATAAACAAATACTCACGTTTGTTTTTGTATCGATGTATGTGTATGCAAGTAACTAAAAAGTGTTACCACTTGCCACTGGAATATACCAATTTATACCATTAAATGATTACGATTTCGCATTAGATTTACTCTTTATATAGCCGCAAATATTAAATTTTAATCTTGATACAAAAAAACGATATTAGTAAGTCGTACCAAATTAATGCTACCGTTAAGCTATAGTATATAAAAAAGGACCTAGTTATTTTATTAATAAAAATTTGATTAGGCGCAATAATTCTATAACACGATGAAATGATTGGAAGAAGTTACTCTTAATCACGTTGGGCTATTCCAAACCTTATTGTCTTGTACTTAAAGTGGCCCTCACATCCTTTACACAACAATTTAATAGATACACTCACACATGGATATTCATATAAAACTCATTATATGTATTTAGTGGTCCTAAAAAAGCTAATTATATCGGTTTCAATTTTACAGTCGAGACGATACACGAACATGTATTACTTATGTATATGTTTAGATACATAATGAGGAAATAATTGAAATGATTTGGTTGCTAATCATAAACAATAATAAAAAAAGAGAATATAAAAACAATAGAAGAAGAAGAGATGCATGATGTTGCGTAAAGCAACGACACCAACAGATGTGTGGCTAAAAGTGAT